AACTCATTTGTATGGGTTTGGCTAAAAATGGGCTCGCGAGCTAGCGGAAATGCGCATTTCGCCGGCAAACGCGATCCGCGAGCAGGAGCAGGTCCGCCGCCGCCCGCACGACCCGGCCGCCGCGAGCCGCCTCCCGACTCGCCTACCCTACACCTCCCGAGCCGTCTACCCTGCACCTCCCGCCTGCCCACACCTCCCGACTCGCCTGCCCTACACCTCCCAGCCCATCTACCCTATACCGCCGAGAGCAAAGCACCCGCACTCACTTCCCAAGCCACCTACCCTATACCTCCGGTCTACCCTACACCCCCAGCTCACCTACCCTATACCTCCCGCCCGCCCACAGCTCCCATACCAGCTACCCTATGCCTCGGTCACATAATAATAACATTTCAAGTTACCAGAGTGAAAATATTAAACAAATCTAATTCCTACTAGATATTCTCCATGTAGATCTTTTTCCAAGTTGAAAATAAAAATCACATCCGAGATAGTTTCTACCAGTAGAGCAAGAAATCGATCGCTACTTAAAGAGCCCTTTAAAACAACCCCTGCCCTAAAAGATCTAATCTCCCCAGCTAAATCCCCAGCAACCTACCCTAGCATACAGTGGGGAGCCCCCCTCACTGTAGGGTCTATTGTATACCACCCAGCACCAAACCACTGCCAGTTACCGCGGGGCAGGCAGAGGGGTGAAAACCTACCTACGCCCTCCCGAGCAACCTACCCTATACCTCCTACCTACCCTACACCTCCCATACCGGCTACCCTACACCTCAATACACCTACCCTATACCTCCTGTCTACCCTACCTCCCAACCCATCTACCCTACACCCCCCGAGACGCCTACCCTACACCGCCGGGAGCAACCCACCTGCACTCACTTCCCAAGTCGTCTACCCTAGACCTCCAATCTACCCTACACCACCTCCCGCCTTGCACCTCCCGGCCTACCTACCCTACACCCCCCGAAGAAAGCACCTACCATACACAGTACGCCTCCCAACCCATCTACCCTAACCCCCAACTGACCTGCCCTACACCTCTCCTTTCTCTACCTCCCAAGTCCGCCCCGTCCCAAAGGACCTACCCTACACCTGGACATCTACCCGGCCACCTTGTGCCTCCCCACCTGCAACCCCCAACGCGCCTACCCTATACCTCCCACCTCGGGTCACGTCAAGTCGCACCCCAACCCACCTACCCTACACCTCGACCCCCGCGTCGCCCAAGAGACCGTGGAAGGTCTCAAGAGCCGCCGCTGCCCGGCGCATTCTCTCTCTCTCTCTCTCTCTCTCTCCACTGTCTATCACCCTGCTAGGCCCCCCGGCGGCTGCCGGCGAGCGCTGTCTGGGAAATCTAGGCGAAGGAGGGCTTACCCTCAGCAGATCGTAACAACAAGGCTACTCTACTGCTTACAGGACCCTTTCGCACAGCTAAGTCGTCTGCAAAGGATTTGATCCCGCGCGTGCTGAAATTACAATACGCGAATTACCGCCGGCCACTTCAAGGCCGGCGGAAGAATCGCCTGCTAGGATACGAGGCCGGAGCCTATTCTTATACGTCTACGACGTGCGGGTAGTATCATCGCGTTCTGGCATGGATTCTGACTTAGAGGCGTTCAGCCATTATCCAGCAGATGGTAGCTTCGCGGCACTGCCCGGTCGGACAACCGCAAAAACCAATTATCTGAATCAGCGGTTCCTCTGTATATTCTTTATTGAGAGATTTGGAGTTGAATCTTGATTTGGCTGTCCCTTAACATTTCCTTCTTTCATTGCCATGTCCTATTGTTTCCCTGGTCTAACACCTCCGCGTTTAGTTCCTTGTTCTCTCTTCCTCAAATACAGTGATGTGGCTCGCACTTCATGTAACCCAATCATGACTGCTTAACTCCCCATTCCACCCCATGCCTCTACATCTACAACCTGCCAAACCCAATTTCTTTTCAAGTCTTCGTTGTGCATCCATCTCAGCATATCGGTCGAGGTTGCTGCCAGGCGAATTAAACTCCATGTCGTCACTCTGAATCGACATGATTATGGGACTGACATTGCCTACCGGGACACCAAATCCCTCCCTTAGCGGGAGGCGCTGGACTTGCCCTCACTTCCCTCCTTACATCTATAATCCCACAATTGCCGCTGGGGACATTGCTAGAGGGCGAACAGGATCTGGACACTTGTTTCCCGCTACTGATGGATGGACTAGGCTGTCCACCTAACACTAGTGGTCCGCGGGAGAGAGTTTGGACACAACGAAGCACAACTTAATCATCAATGAGGTTGTATAGCTGTTCGCGTTGTCCACCTTGCCATGCAAGGCCACTGTCGCCGTGCTAGTGGGTGGCTATCGCTTTCGCCAGGTTTCGCTCTGCATCGAATTATAATAACGACTGATGGATAGCGTGCACCGGATTGGCAAACGTCCGGGCTTGTATTGCTCCTCGGTAACTTCACGAGCTCCATCTTGCCTCGGGAAGCAGCTCATATCCGGGCCATGGATCATTCTACATCTGGCATACCTCCGTCGATAAGTAAACTGAACCTGAGACCCCGACCTCTCATTCCCGTTGAATCCCCCCACACTTATTGCCTGCCAAGTTGAATCCCATTCACTACCTTCCCAGCCCGTGGTTCCCTACCCCTTTTCATGCTCCGAATCTAGGCAGGGGTAGTGACTGAAAGATAAACTTTCGCTTGAACAGCCGCACTTCTGGTACGAAGTCTTGGGTTTGTGGTATTTTGGACTACGAAGTTGTCATGGTGAAAAGAAATGCCGTTTCAAGATATCCATTATCCAGGAAGGAAAACTCGCAGATAGGCACATACACATGTGGTCTCGCACAGGGGTTGTCGCAACGAACGCCCCTACTATCTGGCATGTTGCGATGACACGATGGGTAAGGTAGTTAATTAGTCTCCTTATTTCCACTAGAGAAATGGCGGCCAAATTTGGCAGCAGTCCTCTCTCTATATATAGGTAGCTTCGGCTGGTCCGGACTCGAACTGTGCCTGAGCACGCCGGATGTTTTGCTCGCACAAGTGTCACGTTGATGCCTCGAGATACATGTGCACACCTGCCTTAGGTCGCTCGAGGAGGACCTCACACCACGAAGGACTGATCATAGAGTGGTGGGCACACAAGCTGAGGTCGACCCAAATCCGCAGATCTAAGTGGCCCACTCAGCTCCAATTTACCCCACCATCAAATGCCTCCCCAAGATAGCCCCACCACAAGCTCCTCGGCCTCCTCATCCGTTCGGCATCATCGAGTGCCCGTTACTTTGCTTTGTTCTCTTTCCAACTCCGCCATTCACCCTTGTCCTTCAAAAATGGCGAGCACACTCACTCAAGAAGCGACGACGTACGCAATACGGGCGCAGAGTCCCATCCCTCCCCAACGTGTGATCTTTTTGCTGCTGTTGTATCGCGACTGACGAACGTGTGAGCATTCTAGAACCGTCACGCCCTCTAACCCTCGCGGTATTCCAAACGCACCGTTCGTCGATAAAGTCGAGGATTATGTTACTTCGCGAGCGGATGTTGAGCCGACGCTGCGGCGGTTCCAAGAAATGATTGCGTAAGGGACTTTTCGACACCTGCGACACCAATGATCCGGTTTTGGCTCATACGCCGCTTGGAACTGTAGGAAGTACCAATTTATGGAGCAAAACCTCCAGCGGAGAGTGGCAGGCCTCAAGGATAAACTGCCCGACATCCGCAAGACCTTGGACACTGTTCAGTTCTTGAAACTCCGGAAGGTAACTAATCTCTCTCTCTTCGGGTGATAGTGAACATGGGACTGATGGTGGTGGTGTACTTTGGCAGGTGGACTCCGAACCGATCGAGACGACGTTCGAATTGAACGACACACTTTACGCAAAAGCCGAAATACCACACACGGAAGAGGTTTATCTGTGGCTTGGTGTAAGAAACACCCAGGTTTCCCAAATGATATCTCTGCATGGGGCTAATAGATGATCGGCGCAAGGCAAACGTCATGTTATCATATCCGGTTGATGAGGCCGAGACGTTGCTCGACTCGAAGCTACAGACCGCAAAGCAGAGCTTATCCAACTGCGAGGAGGATTTGGACTTCCTCCGAGAACAAATAACAGTAAGGATGTGTCATGTTATTGTAAGGATGAGCAAAACACTGACAGTTTACAGACGATGGAAGTGGCTGTTGCTAGAGTGTACAACTGGGACGTCGTACAGAAACGCAAAGATAAAGAAGATGAGAAGGAGAAAGGGGATGGAAAAGGGAAGGGGCCAAAGGGGTCGTCCGGGAGCTGAAACTTGCTCTAGCTAAAGAGAGGACTGCCCCATACCCGTTCGACGGGAGACAAAGCTGGTGGGTTCCGTCCGCTGCCCGGATATGAACGCGCGGCGCACGTTCGGCCCGTCTCTCTACCCGGGCGGGTAACGGGAACTGAAAGGCCGACGTGTTGGTATCGATTCTCAATTGGGTCAACAGGGACTTTCTCGAAGGAAAAATGCGGATAGCGCCACGTTTGCAACCAAAGCGATAGAGTGGCCAAAGTGGCTGCGACCCTGTTTCATGTGTTTTGTTGGCTAAGCATTAATAGCTAGGCCGGAGCTCACATGTGCTCAGGAACCAACCGCCCCCAAAGATGTCGCCTGACAAAATCAAGCGTGATGTGCCGTGGTGAACCGATTGAATTTAGTATGCGCGGGTGGAGATCGCAAGTGCTGTCGTAATTCTTCTTGGGCTTCTCGGTATGTGTGTACTAACGTTATGTAACTATTTATTTGTTTCGTTTTCATAACTCCCTCCCGATTCCGGGTCGGGGTCCGTGGAAGTGGGGCAGGATCTGGCCGTTGCGGGGCGCTGGCTCGCTGTCGAGTGGGGCGGGATTGACCGCACATTTGACGCCCTGGTCGCCGCCCCTTATACCCAGAGAGAAAATTCCACGGTGCAAGCCGCCTGAGTGAGAGCTTTGGACTATTTCAGCGCCGGCCGACACTCGTCGTGTATTCTTTTCCTTCCTGCCGCCCGACTTCTTTTTTCCGCCTCAACCAGTCTGAAGCCTATCCATCCTTTTCACTCCTCGGCTCCCTCTTATCCACAACTCCCCCTAGCCCGTCTCCCCAATAGCGGGGAAGCCCAGCCCGATCCCCAAAAGGTCAACACCACGAACACCGCAACCTTTTTATCGCATCGTGGGCAGTTCTCGCCCGCAACGGATCAAGCACAATGGCTGCACCTGAACCCTCGCCTTCGCCCCTCAAGCTCGAGCCCAAGTACGATGACTACGATTTCCCTACCACGGCTCCAACCGCCCAGAGCGGCCACGCTGGATACCTGACACCGGAACAAGAGGCCCAGGTCTTCCAGTTGCGCATGCTTCTGGAGTCGGAGGGTTACACCGAACGCCTCGACACTCTCACACTGGTATGATTGTATCTCCTCGGAGGGAGTGCGAGGAATGGGGGAGGTACCGAAAGGAACAGAACTCCGAGCGAATGGGGCTAACTGGCGAGGTAGCTGCGTTTCTTGCGCGCACGCAAATTCGATGTCACGCTCTCGAAGCAAATGTCAGACCCCCTCTCCACATCCTAGCGCTTTCAAAAAATCACTGACACCGGCCGCGTAGGTTCGTCGAATGCGAGACGTGGCGGAAAACGACCAAGTTGGACGAACTGCTCCCGACCTGGGATTACCCGGAGAAGAAGGAGGTGTTCAACTACTATCCTCAATACTATCATGGAACTGACAAGGTACGTGAATCTTCTACGTTTGTTTGGCTCATTTGCCCCCCAGACGCGAAACGAATGTTAACGTTCGGGTTTCCGGAATAGGATGGCCGCCCTGTTTACATCGAACAGCTGGGCGGTATCGACCTCACCGCCATGTACAAGATCACGACGGCGGAACGTATGCTGACGAACTTGGCCGTCGAATATGAGCGGGTGGCTGACCCCCGTCTCCCCGCGTGTAGCCGTAAGGCGGGCACTCTGCTCGAGACATGCTGCACGATCATGGACTTCAAGGGTGTCGGCCTCACCAAAATTCCCCAGGTTTATAGTTATGTGAAGCAAGCCTCTGTGCTTAGTCAAAACTACTACCCGGAGCGCCTCGGCCACTTGTATCTGATTAACACCCCCTGGGGATTCAGCAGCGTCTGGAGCGTCATCAAGGGCTGGCTAGATCCCGTCACCGTCAAGAAGATCCATATTTTGAACAGCAGTTACCAGAAGGAGCTGTTGGCGCAGGTTCCCGCGGAGAACCTCCCCAAGCAGTTCAGCGGCACTTGCGAGTGTCCGGGCGGGTGCGAGCTGAGTGATAAGGGTCCGTGGCGGGAGGCTGAGTGGGCCAAGCCCGCTAAGTGGGAGAAGCAATCCACGACCAAGACGGAGGAAGCGACTCCCGCCCCAGCTCCCGCCGCGCCCCAAGTGGCCACCGAGCCCGAGGCGGATGGTGCCGCTGCCGCTGCCGTTGCGTAAGTGGTTGACAGCATATGCTCGGGGGTAATTGGGGTTCTACTAAAGCTGGCTTTGGAGAAGCTGCAAAACTGAATAGACGGCCTCACAATATACATCAGTTCTGCGTCTCTTGTGGGATAGACGGAGCGGCTCCTGATCCAGTGATCGTTTTGCAGAGGGCTAGTAACATTTAGATCTTGGTGTGCTCTCTTTGCTTTCTCGAGTGGCCCTACTGTCCGCAAACTAGAACTCTCGCACCCGCTCCCTCAACCTACTCGACAAGGCCTTTTCCACGGCCTACTCCGGGTATCAAAACATCACTCATCGCTTGGTCCAATTGATCCACCGAACGTCACGACAACTCATCTCCAACCACCTCGAAGCTGGGCCCCAAACGCAAGTTCACCCCATTAAACGCTTCATAATTTATCCCCACCCCCATCATGATCGCGCGTCACATATTCCCCCGCGACCCGTGCCCTCTCCATCTTGGCTACTGTCGCGGGCATATCCCTCTTTAGCCGCCCCAACCCAGCCACTGCCTGACTAAACCGCTCTTCTACGCCCTCCTGCCTCTCGAGCGGCCCCATACCCTCAAGCGTTTTGGCGCCCCCCTCTGCTCCCTCTTCTACTGCCCGCTGCCGGGCAGCCTCTAATGCCGCGTCGTCCGTTGCCAGCTGTGTCTCGGTGGCCTGAGCCCACCGCCCGGCTGCAGCGGCTGGTGCCCGCCGCTTGAGCGTCGCAATCGCTCGAAGCAGGTCTTCCTCCTCAGAAATCAACTGCTCCATGCGGTCACGTTTGCGCCCGTCGAAAGGTTCGTATTCATACCGGACTTGCGGTTGCCCTTCGGCGGAGAGGTATTGTTCGCCTTCCTGCCGGGATAGCGAGGAGAGGAAGGTGGTGGGGTCGGTAATGGGAAGACCGTTGATCGAGAGGGAAGGGGAGGCGATGGTGAACGTTCGGAAGATATACTGTGTTTGGGGCGAGTAGATGTCAGTGAGCATACTTGGTTAAATTGATGGCATCACAAATGGGGGGGGGGGGACAAAACGTACATCGTTCACCAGCTGCTCGATGTGGTTGCGTAACTCGTCTTCCTGCCCATCCAAGGGATTATCAACGGGCGGGAATGCCGCGTTGATACTATCGGCCGCGGCCTTGCGCACATTATCAATAAGATAGGTCAGGTCTTCAGGTGACTGGAGCTCGATTCGCCGGTGCGCGGGGTCGTCCATGGCCTGTCGTGGCTCTTGAAAAGAGGGCAAGGGCCAAGCGGGCCGAGTACCTGCGTACTCCGCGAAAGGCGGTGATATATTATTCGCAATTCTTCGGGTGCTAAGTCACAATCTTGACTTGCCTGGCAAAGAAACTTGAAACGAGCTGTCCAACGTGTGGTTCATCTGGGCGTTGCTCGCTCAACTTCGGCTGTCCAACGCGATATGTGGACGCGACGGTGCTTTGCTTATCGATAATCAAATGCAGGAGCTCTCCGCCATGTGGGTCACTGCATGTCTTGATTGGCGGGTCGCTGTGGGCTTGGATGAAGCGGTCAACGACGTGGGGTTCTCGACGAGCCGTGTTTGGAATGGCGCGGGGCGGGCCGGCCTGGTTGGAAATTGAACGGTGCAACTTATGATGTACTTGGTAGGTCTCACAAAAACGGAACAGATCACGCCTGGACGTAGGTCTAATGCTGAGGACAAATATCTAATGGCAACCTCCAGATTTACAGGCTTCTGCGCTCGCGACTCCTGTTCTATTTCTATTCATTAAACTTGGGTGTTGGGGCCGTCCTGCGTGGGGCTTCTCCTGCAAGGATGAGTGTAGTTGACGATCCATAGGAGATAGAATGACGGTCACTTTCGCGCCCCATGGAACCGGTAAACTTGTCATATTTAATGCTATAAATTCCAGTGTCAACACCCGGCTCGAAAACATGCCAGAAGGAGAGGGGTAGTACCGTACAGTGTAAACTACCTATCGCGTTAGAATGTGAAAAGTGAAAGAAGGAAAGTATATGTGAATGCGGGACCCAAACAACTCCTGTGGGATATGAATGAAATGATGAAGCGCCCCCCGTTGATTCCTACCCGCGTAAGACTCCTGTGCTCCGGCCAAGTGGCCTAAAATAAAACCCTCTCCCCACCCAAGTTCTGATACTCTCTTGGTCTTGCCAAAAGCTACCGTCGGTAATCGAACATACCCCATTCCTCATACATGCTATGCTGGTTATGTCGACTGGATATCGTTTGCTTATTGAGGAAGCATTCTCTTGATCTCCTCGTCGCTCAGGTAGATCTCATGCACGGGGTCGCGGCGCTGTTCGAGTGGCACATACTCATAATCGCAGAAAGACGGAACGAAGATCTCGGGGTTCCAGACAAAGCCTTGACCAGAAGAGAGATAGGTGACCTGCAGCCGAAGACAAATATTAGCGGTTGAGATCGACGACGAGGGGAGCCTGATGGCACAGCATCACGTGCCGTGCCCGAGACGGTACTCACCAGCCGCATGGGCCCTTCGGAATCGTCGCCTATCTTGATGGTGGTACATTCCTGTTTTGTGAACGCCGAGCCTGGCAGGAAAAGTTAGCCAGGACGCAGGATATGAAATGGAGTAAGGACTGAGGGTACAAACTTAAAAGGCTCGGGCGCCTGGTGTGTAGCATCCTCTGCTTCCGTGCCACGCGTGATGGGGTCTTGGGTGACGACTCTGGCGAGCTCGGGATACTCGAGTACGAGGACGGTGAGCAGCCGACCTCGGCGTCGGTCGCTCGATGGCGTTGTTCGGGGATAGTGATGGACGTCGGCGTGTTTTCCATTGCGACTAACCGTCTACAAGAGCGTTGGGCGGTTATATCGGTCGATTTTCGGAGGCTGAGAAGCGTCACAGCGGTCGGTGATGATTGACGAGGGCGTTGTCGAGGGGCACTGCCTCGCGGGCGTGAACTGCAGAGTAGCAAGGCGGGGTGTCTAATCCCAGTCACCGGGGTTGCACAATGGAATTCTTAAGCGTCGACACGAGGTCGGAAACGTGGATTCCGAGGCAGCACAAGCGGGATGGGGTCGCAAGATGGGGTTGCCGGCCTGTGCGGTCTGGCGGAATGAGAGAAGGTATTGAGGGGGGAAGAGATGATTGAGAGCCTGAAAGTGGGAAGTTGACCCCAGCCGGCATCAACTGGAGGAGTGACTAAGTTGGACCGGGGCTGTGACTTGTGAATGCACCAAGTGACAAGGCACCCAATGGCTGGACCAACTAATGCAGGTTGGGCCCATCCCTCACCACATGGCACCTGCCCCGCGGCTTTGTTCAGGACCCTTGCGAAGGCTGCAACTGCTGGTTGGTGGTTGTTTGTCCGCTGAGCTGCGTGGCGGGTAGAGATGGCAGTGATGCAATCGAGCCCACCACCGTCGCATCACCTGGACAGTCCTGGCACAGTGCTACTGATAGTCTGGCGAGATAAGCTACTGTTCAGCATTGTTCCACCTCTGAGCCGAGGAACCGGATACCTTGGCAAGCTTAGGTGGTACATACATAGTTAGTGTACCTGTCTACTCCATACCCGACCGAAGGCGGCCAGGCTGAGATAAGGGAGAGTCGGACGCAGTGGGATTCCTCAACAGTCTCGGGGTCGCTGCATGTTCGTGTGGGGCTTGGCTATCAAGGTTACTGTGTGGGTTCCGGATTTGGGGTATGTGGAGTAATTACACAGGCAATTCCAGACCTTAAAAGTCCAGTACACTCCGCTGCTTACAAAAAGTTAAACTCAAACAACTGTAGAGGCAGGGGAAATAACAGGAGAGGATAGAAAGACTCGAGAAAACTTAGAGCACTGGTAAATGAGGTCTCTTAAGAAGAAGCCCTGCATTGTTGCGTTACATACGCAGTAGCGTAACGATTGTAAATAAAAACAGTCATCTGTGTACGGCACTACCCCTGTTTCGACACCAACCGCACTTGGAAAGATCGATGGAGAGGTCAGTGCACGGGCCAACTCGAGCTGAAGCAAAGGCAACAAGGCCAAAGTCAATTCAGGTGGGGTCCGCCGCCTCAGGCTCCGGTGGGATGACGAGCGCTTGGCTAAGTGAGCGCTGGGCTGCGCCGACCACAACATTCAAGCGACAACCCAACAACAACGAAACAATATCCCCAACACCGGTCGGCCATCAGACCTCCAACTTGTGAGGTGCCACGCATCAAAAACATCACCGAAATTCTCGCTGCGCAGTCTGCATCGCCGACCCCGATTTCCCTTCCGGGCTGCAACAGGCACCGCATTTTCAGCCGCGAACAGGAAAAGAGGCAAGGGAGCAGGTGCATAGGAGAGGAAAGTCACTGGCAAGATGGGCGACGTCCTGATCGAGAATGCCACCAGCAGCATTCAACCGTTGAAGAAGAACCACCCCTCGACCATTCCCAGCATCGAAAATTTTGAGGGTGTGCCAACAGAAGGCGGCGATGATTATGCGAATCTGAAGCGGCTGCAGCGACAGCTTGAGTACATCCAGTTGCAGGAGGAGTACATCAAGGATGAGCAGAGGAGTTTGAAGCGGGAGCTGGTTCGGGCACAAGAAGAAATCAAACGCATCCAGAGTGTGCCTCTAGTCATCGGCCAGTTCATGGAAGCAATTGACCAGAAGTAAGTCGCCCCAGAGCTTCGTCAAAGCATGTTTGCCCGTCAGGCACGAAGTAGGCACGAAGTAGGCTAACAGGTCGCTACTTTCTCGCTCAACTTAGCACCGGCATCGTCCAGTCCAGCACCGGCTCAAACTACGTTGTCCGTATTCTGTCGACGCTCGACCGCGAGCTCCTTAAACCTTCTTCTTCCGTCGCCCTACATCGCCATTCCAATGCCCTCGTCGACATTCTCCCGCCGGAGGCCGACTCCTCGATTGCCATGCTTGGCTCCGACGAAAAGCCGGACGTGACGTATGCCGACGTTGGTGGCCTTGATATGCAAAAGCAGGAAATCCGCGAAGCCGTTGAGCTGCCCTTGACACACTTTGACCTGTACAAGCAGATCGGTATCGACCCTCCACGCGGCGTGCTGCTGTATGGGCCTCCCGGGACGGGCAAGACCATGTTGGTCAAGGCGGTTGCCAACTCCACGACGGCCAACTTCATTCGCGTGGTTGGATCCGAATTTGTGCAAAAGTACCTTGGTGAAGGTCCGCGCATGGTGCGCGACGTGTTCAGGATGGCACGCGAAAACGCACCAGCCATCATCTTCATCGACGAGATTGACGCGATTGCGACGAAGCGTTTCGACGCCCAGACCGGTGCCGATCGCGAGGTCCAACGTATCCTACTTGAACTTCTCAACCAGATGGACGGTTTCGACCAGACGGCCAACGTCAAGGTCATCATGGCCACCAACCGCGCCGACACCCTCGATCCAGCGCTTCTCCGACCCGGCCGTCTCGACCGCAAGATTGAGTTTCCCAGTCTACGTGACCGCCGCGAGCGCCGTCTCATCTTCACCACGATCGCGAGCAAAATGAGCCTTGCTCCCGAGGTCGACCTCGACAGCCTCATCGTGCGCAACGACCCTCTCAGCGGTGCCGTTATTGCTGCCATCATGCAGGAGGCCGGGCTACGTGCCGTGCGCAAGAACCGGTACAACATCATCCAAGTCGATCTGGAGGATGCATACAGCAGCCAGGTCAAGGGGACGAGTGATGAGAACAAATTTGATTTTTACAAATAGACGCGAAGAAATCAGGGCATCGAGATGGGGGATGGCTATCGTGGAAGGAGCTGGGGTGTATGTACGATGATGATCCACACGATAGCTTCAATGGGCCGGACGGAGGCACTATGCGCATGCATCAGGTTCTTGCGTTGGACGTGGTCTTATATATATATGCACGCATAATGCGAAAGACTGTAAACATGGCTTTTCTGTACGGCGTTGGGGATTCAAGCACCCTGACTTCCTCGGTGTCTGATGCTCTGCTCACCTCCATGCCTGACTTGTCCACCCGTGTACCTCCCTCCACGGCGAGGTTAACGAAGGTGAGTGTCCTAGATCCCACCTATCCTCCGCTGGAAGAGGGTAGGAACTACGGGCGAATAACAGTGACAACAACGGTACTAATACACAACTGTGCGAGTGTTCTCGATTGCATCTCAGGAACTTAACTTTGGCGACATCACTCCCGTTTCCACCATACTGAACGCCGACTTTAAGTCCCCCATGACTTGTACTCGCTTTCTTTTTCTGTGCGCACTCTTCGTAGCCGTAAGGGCATCGGTAGATGATTGACCTGTATCAAATGACCCAAATGTGTGAAGAACAACCTTAATGTACAATTCCCGAAAGAAACTAGGGAGTGGAAAGGATAGCAACGCAAATTGCACGGGTCGACAAACATGGGGTATATCCTCCTCCCAAAACATCCACGCTTAGGCAGCAGGTAACAACCAAGACAAAACGCCCACTCTTACTCTCCCCGCTTCTGTCCTACATCATTCCCTCGATAGGGGTAACAAACACAATGCGCCATTGCTCAGCTTTGTCTCCATGCATTCCCGCCCCTGTACTCCCGCTCATATCCAAACCCATCCGTTATCTAATAACTCAAGTCTAGACCCAGTGATACGTCGAAAGAAAAGACAGGTGAGGAAAACGGTGAGACTAACAAAACACACTGTCCCCCGCCGCCACCCACCCGCATAGAAATACAAGTTTGCTAACAAATGGGGAAAGGGCCGGCCGCGGGCACAGTTCCAAGGTGAAGTTACTCCTGGACTTAACGATGTCTGTGTTCCAGCAAAGCGGCGTCGGTGATTACACGTAATCGCCGTATTCCAGGTTGCTGCAACTCAAGGTCTTTCATTCATGATGTCCCATCGCGGATCACGACCCGACCATGACCCCAATCTCGAGTAGCAACCGGACAAACCGGGCATGCAGCTCGAGGAAGAAGTCTGGCAGGCCAACGAGCTCTGCTAAGCCTCTTTGTTTGAGAGCCACACCAGCACCGCCAAAACCACCACCCATACGCCGCGACAGCCCGCCGGCACCGCCCGTCAAAAAGCTGCTGTTGCTACCCCCCGTAACCAGCGGAGGGGGAGGGGGCGGTTCGGTATGGAAGCTCCCATACCCGGACCCGGGGACAACGGGGCTACTTCCGGTAAAGTTGGACGAGTCAGCCATGGCCCGCTCCGCCTCGGCTTCTGCTAGTTCTTGTATCCAGGAGGCAAGGTCGCGGAAGGCGGAGGAGAGGAAAGTGAAGGTTTTCACCGCGGTGGTTTCGGGGTGGGTGCTCAAGGCTAGGAAGGCATAGACACGTTTGTGGCCGCGGGCGTGCACATCGGGCACGCGGAAGATGTAGGCGGTTGTGAAACCAACCTTTTTGTCGCCAAAGAATATCGAGCCGCCCGAGGCTGCCGAGCCGATGCTGTGAGTGGTGACGAACGCGGGACCGTTGGGTGAGCCACTTGGAGTGGGCATTGGCGCGCCGGCTGCAGTGGGGTTCGTTGTAGCTGGTGCGCGAGGGAGTGTTTCCAACGAGAGAGTGCGCAGGCAAGAAGCGCGTACGAGAGAGAAGGAAGATGGCGCGAGAGGCTCGTGGGTTGATGTGTAGTCGAGAAAATGCATGTGGGAATGTGCGTTCGCGTTCGCGCTAGCAGAATTGATGGTTGATCGTGAGGCCGTAGACAAGGCGGTGGCGGTTCGACGGTGGGACGGGCGTGGTCGGCTGGTGGATTCATCTTCAGACGGGGCTGAGGACAAAGACTGCGGCGAAGCTGAGGGGGACAGGGTGCCACTATCCAGGCCGGTAAAGACCCGGGCATACGGTGCCCGGGTTCTCAAGGTAGGACTACGCTCCGGGGCAGATGGTTCCGTCCCGGACGGGCTCTTGCTCGCGTCCTGCCGCTTGGGTAGCGTTAAGGCGCAGTTATCGCATGGGCCGGCGCGCCGCGTCACATAATCATCGTACGTCCTACGGAAGCCGGAGTCTTGGCGCTGTTTTCGTGGCTGCGGCTGTTGTGGATGCTGTTGTGCGCTGGATACCCGGGTTAGGCGCGGGGGACTTTGAGGAGGTGTTTCGATGGCGGAACCGGCGGTTGCAGCGGTGGTCGCCTGGGGGCCTGCCAGGGGGGAATCAGGTTGGGTTCGTGCGTCTTGGTTGCCAACGGTAGCCGGCGAGTTGCTGTGTGGCTCGGTCAGGTTGATACGACGTAGGGCTTCCGTGACATCGGTTGCATGTGTAGATTCGCCGTTGGTGGGTGTTGTTGGCCGAGGCTGCTTGTTATTGAGCGGGGCAGCGCCGGTAACAGGGAGATCCTCGTCGCAACAGATATGACAGGGGACCGGAAGACCTTCAGTCACCATCAAGGGCGTCGGCCCGTGAAGGTCACAGTAATGTGCGAGGCAGAGCTGAACCGTAGCAGTTAGCATGGCGAGGCTGTGTTTGCCGACGTGGGCAGATGAATAGTAAGGTGGGCGACACTTGTCGGAGTATGGTGCGCATCCGAGAAGGTATCAGTATGCGTGTGTGCAGGAGAAGGAGGGAGGTGTAAATAAGCCGAACTTCGAATCCACTGAGTGAGGGGGGGTGGAAGTGCCTGAACCAAGGCATCGGGACAGAAGCACGTGGAAGATATCCAAGGGCGAGGCCGGTATGTCCGGCGCATTTTCAGTCGCGGCGACATGGGCCCATGGGTAACACAACAGGCAGCATGTCCAGCCTGCATCTGCCTGCGTTTGTTGGCACCCCCATTCACAGCCACCTTGTCGAGCAGCCTGCCGTCTCTGGCCTTCCACCACAAAAATAAAATGAGGGGGAGGGAGAAAGTAAGAACCCCGGGACCAGCGCAAAGGTGATAACCGACGAATGGTCTCTTTTGGTGCCCAGGGGTTCAAGGGCTGAGGAACACCTTGCAGGGATCGAAGTAACAAAGCGGGACCTCAACTCACAATCGACGTCATGATCGGTGCCGGACTTCAAGGTCGTCTTAATGATTCGTCATAGTCCGACTGGTCGACGAGGGTGGCGTCAGGAGGAGTTCCAAGGTGCAAAATAAAAACTCGATAAACGCGGGAGCCGGTGGTCGCTCGCGGTCTTTTGTTGGTGGGCAACCACAAAACGCGCGGGGGGGCGTTCACAGGCCACGCGTCGGGGGAGCAAGCAGCACGTGGGATTTAACGTTAGACTCCAGGGTGGCTGATCTCGGGTTTGCCGGGCGAAGGCGGATTGATTTGTCAAAACCGGAGGGGGCGAGTTGGTCGCAAGTCACGATACAGCGCAGACAGGATCCCGAAAGAACCGATGAAGCGAGAGAGACTGCCGAGCGGGAAGGGGGATAAGAGCGCTACCCGCACGTTCGGAAAAATAGCCTCGTCGTTCTATTTCCTTCGAAGCGATGCGAGTCGGAAATGCGCCGCCGAATGCGGCGTGCCCTTCGTTCTTCCGCCGGGTCGAATTTTGGAAGGCGGGAGGACGTGTAATCGGGGTCCAGCCGTCCGGGAAGCAAGAAGCGGCGTTTGAGAGCAGATGCGATGCGGGACGTAAGCTGGAAGGTGGAAAGGAAAAGACAGGCCACATGGAACCTATGGATGTCAAGTGAATGAGACGGGAGAACGAGTCGAGTGGCGCTGCTGATCGGCCCAGCTCTCTTTTCAGAATCCTTCCAGAAGGACCAGTCGGGGTTCTAGGGCAAGGGAGCGACATGTTAGCGCCCATGCTTTGCCTAATCTGGCTTGTGGGCTGGCTGGCCCGTCATTCCATCAGTGGGGTATTCCCCTCGCAGGCCCCGCCCTCGGCTGTGACCTTCACTCCCGTCGAGACGATTTTACCGTACACGTAGGACACTGGACTATACCAATGTACACCACACGAGGTACCTGGCGCTAGCTAGGTCCAGCTGAAATTTTGGGATGCCGACCTTTCGTCAAAACAGACCTCCTCGACTTGAGGTGAGTTTGGATTCGGGGGTGGGAGATGGAGGAATAGGGAAACAGGTGAGAACGAAACTGCGACGGCAAAGTCCTGTGTCGAAGCATCCTATTACCATCTCCTTCTAGTTATCCTTTTCTTCGATTGCTTCAACCCCCTCCCTGGCAGGGCGAGCTTGCCCCCCCCAGCGCCGGGTAAAAGTGCGTCCATGGTTGATATCTCGAGATGGTGTGAATCCGAGTCAGCACCACATATAAGTGACAGAACTTCCAGCCCGCCTCTTCCGAAACACCCCCTTGCAAGTGGATTGTCGCACATTCATCGAGTCGGGCGTTGAGAGTCGCGAAACGAAGCGTTTCTTCCAATTGAGCCTCTCGGAATAGCTGCCCAAGAGTCCATAAACGGGGATGTCGATTTTGCTTGAAACTTCGAGGAAAACACCGAAGGTGACGCCAGTTGTCAATCTCAGCTCATGAATGGGCCCGGAGTCTGCCCCATGCCGTAAAGCTGACAATCTCGTACCTGCAGGGTCTCCACGTGGAAAATTAGCATGCCCCACTGGGCATTTGAGGTTTCTGTCCTCCACCAACCCCGAAGGAGATAAAAAAAGGAAAAAAGAAGCCACTCGCATGGGTGGTCTCCTAGGTAACCTCAACGTGTCGCTGCCAAGTTGACAACCGAACCCGACGCCAGCTGCAGAGTGTCATCTTTGGCCGGCCTCGCCGACAGAGATGCCCACTCGGTCAAGCGAGCAGGACTAGTTTAGAGGAGACTTGCCGGGGGGGGGGGGGAGAATGTTGCTTGAAATTGCCGCTAGATGCCTCGCCTCTCCAAGGCGAACCTCAAAAAAAGAAAAAAAAGGCAAAGAAACAACATCTGTGAGAAACGGGAAAACCCGACCCAGTCATTGCGCAGTCATGAAACGTAGCTAACGGGCATGCAGCGACAACACTAAAGCAGGCTCAATAGCAGCCGCCGCCATGCCATTCTTATTCCCCGTTGATAACCCGAGCATCGTCATGGGCGTGTTGGTGGGCCGGGCAGCTCAACATGTACATAGATATTACATACATATCAAAGACGTACAACCCCCCCCCCCAGCCGGTGTGTTAGTCGATTGAGAGTCTCCCATAGGACCCGCCGTGTCTAGGCCATTCTCACTGTCTTTAACGCAACAAACCCGCTTCAGCCTCCTCAAGGGTCACCATACATTTGTTATCCATGCCCGAACCTCGCTTTCCTTTGTCTTCCAGTTGGTTCACCGCAGAAGGCCCTGAGGCGCTCAGCGCCAGGACGGTATATTTGACGACTAGGCGTGGAGACAAGTCACTCGATGAAACACCTCCGCTACAGCACAAAATTAAGCGAAAGCAAGGCATCATGAGGGACAGATTACTTCAGTAAAAGCACAATCTATATGTGTGCAGGAGACCTATTCCGCACACCCAGTTCCAGACCGAGTGTTACCCTCCCCAGCGAGTTGAGACGCCGGCACTGTCAGATGCCATGATAAAAAAGACATCAACCACATAAAAGCAACCCATAACCATCCATCTACTCATGTCATAATCCGTATACCCCCCCTCTTTATCAATCACAGGCTAAGTCCCCCATCCATCCACCACATATATCATGCCGCTTAAGAAAGGAGAAAAAAAGGTGAAGTGCCAAAATGAGAAAGAACAGAAGGCACACTTCCAGCTAAGCAGTACATACGCCCCGAGTGCGCCGGAAAGGAAGGACAGAAAGAAAGGAAATATAAGCAAATATGAACGTCAAACCACGGCAACAGCTGGCTCGGGGTTGCCCCAGGAGGTGAACTTGGAGTCGGCCGATCTCCATCCTTCACAACCTCCATACCCGCCAAAAGGTTCATTCAATCCCTCTCCACAAACGGGTCCACCTCCAACCTCTTCGGAGCCGGCTCCCCATCTTTACGCCTCCTAGCCTCTGCCCCCCGACTCATTTCCGGTTGCTGCTGTTCTGCTACCTTCTCTTCCCTCACTTCCTCGCCATATTTCTCAAGCCACATCTGTCGCAAGACGCGGTAAATAAAAATATACTGCGACTCCGCCTGTACCATGGTCCGTCGTTGTTCCCGCAGCGCGTTGACCGTCTCAAAGATGAGATCACCCTTGCCTATGTTACTGTCCGAGTCGCCACTGCTGCTCCCACTCAACCCCCTTGGGCTAGCATCGGTTGCCGCAGAGGAGCCACTCTTCCGTCGGCGCCGTCTGCTGTCATTACCACGCTTGTCCGGCCTTCCTCCCGGCCCGGCCCGACTCGACCCTGGACGAGGCTCTCCTAACCCAGTCCCATCTTGCTCTCCAGCAGCACCACCAACTAGAAGACTATCATCGGTCGCCGCACCCACCCTATCATCCCATCGCTCTAGCACACCGGCCTCGAGCTCCCGCATGAGGTGTTCGAGGGCGATGAATGTGCCGGAGCGGCCGACGCCGGCGCTGCAGTGGACGATGCGCGGGTTGGAGGGGGAGGCATTGCGTTCACGGGAAAGGCGCATTAGGGTAAAGAAGGAGTCGATGTCGGCTCGGGAAGGGACGCCGAAGTCGGGCCATTTTTTGTAGAGGAAGTGATAGATGACTCGTTCTTCGACTTCCTCGTTTTGTTGTGTTTCATCCGTGGAGTTTCTGTTTTCAGTTTGCTGTTCATCGTGGTCGGGACTGGGATCGGTGTCTCCTGGCTGTTGTAGTGGTACATCCTCCTCTTCCGGGGGGTTTTGCTCCTGGTCTGCGGCGGGGAAATTGGCTGTTGAGTTGGCTTCTTCCTCGCCTGGGGAAAGCATCTCGATATCGGCATCATCGGGTGCAGGAGTAGAGGCAGTCGGCGCGGGCGGTTTTGCGTGGGAGTGAATGCGAATGACGAGTTTCCGCAGCTCGATAGCATCGCCGGCCGGGGTTTCCTCAAGGCCCTCACATCGGAGGGTGGCACGAAAGCCATCGCCAAACTCGTCGTGCTCGTTGATCTCGACTGGTGGGTCACTCTCACTGCGGGGGAAGTAGGGGAAGCACTTCTCCATCGCGCCCTCATGTGTCTCCGTCAGCATCACAATGACGCCAGGGCTCTCCAGCTGCTCCACAACCATCCGCCACACATGGCCGGCCGAAGCCTGCTTCGGTCCCTGCATCGCGATGTACCGGTCTGGTTCCTGCGGGACGGCAAGGGCGTCTGGGGATGGCGACGGTTCGAGGACGATAGGTGAGGCGTTGACGTAATCAACGTGTCCCTCGGGCACCCGCAACTTTATCCGGTTGTTGTTCCACGGCTGGATGTTTAAGTACCGGTCGAGCACCTTGAGATGAGGTCCCGTGACGGGTGCCCAGCGAAAGTCTGGGCTTGAGTTCGCAGCTGACTGCCTGAGTCGCATCCGCTCGCGCCACACGAGTTCGGTGAATTTCCTGTCCATCTCTAATTCAACCAGATTATAATTAGCAACTCGCGGGCAGGAGAATACAAACAAGGCCGGATCGCCCGCCAACCGTACCTTCAATACCCACATCGAGAAACTTGGGCATCTTTGGTGGTGCTAACGACCGCGCCTCATCGTTGCCCGCGGTCTCGGCCTGGAGCGACAGCGGCGATACGGGGCGCCCATCGGCGGCACCATTACCGGCTACCGGGGCCGCGGCCGGGGAGTGTGGAAGGGAGGCCGGCGGCGAGTCACGCGCTCGCTTCCCGGACGAGCGTTGGAAAACCCGGAAGGGACTCAGTTTCTGCAGGGTGCGCATCGGCGGTGCAGACGGAACATCGGTCTGTGTTGACGGCGGTACGGCCGGGGTGGTGTTGTCTGGGATGTTGCTAGTGATGATGGTTGGCGTGGTGGAGCTGTCCTTCTTGCGCCGGTGGAATCGGCCGAGGTGCTCCATCCCAGGGTAGGTTGTTGGAGATCAGATGTTGGCTGTGGGACGCAGTATGTAAGAGTAAATGGGTACGTATCCGTATCGTTAGTTCCCTCGTACAAACAGTCGGTTTCTTCGGTTCGTGGCGTCGCCGGGGGAAAAGGGTGGCTTGAGGAAAGCGTATCAGATTGTCGCTTGGCGATGTTGGAGTTTCGAAGAGGGCGACTCGCGATGACAAATGAACACGAGAATGGCGAGTAGCGATGGGGCAAATGAATCCAAGGCGCTTTCTTCGCGGTGATGCGCCACGAACAAGGGACCGACCGGAATGCACCCGCAACGGCAGAATGCAGGATGCAGAATGCAGTCGGCGGGATGATGCGGGATGGATGCAATACAGGCAGAATGGTTCGTGAAGCACGTGCGAAATGCAGATGCACAAAGATGCGGAGCGTCGATCTTTCGGGGTCCGACAGAATGACTTCACCAACTTAGGACCGAGTATGTATAAGCTGAATCAGGGGCTCAGCGGGAAAGCGTCTTGGTCATTCGCGCCTCGTCGCTTAACGCTATTTTTGGGGGATGTTCGTGACGAAATGACGAGCTCGTCATTGGACAAGAGACGCAGCGGGTGCTGCACGAGAGGCGCGGCTATGGCGCCTGCTGTGGCTGTCGGCCCTGTGGTTGGTGATTTGATCCAACAATGAAAACTGAAATTTGGATGGGAATGTTTTTATTGGCATCACCTTATTTCGTCCCGCATTCCATACACTTGATTCAGTCACCAACTCCGTCCATTTGGCCCGTGTTAGTGCTGCCGTTAGCTTGAAAAACACTGGCTAACGTTACAGTACGCTAAGCACCGTTAACGTGATTCCTCCACGCCCGCATTTCCCGCTTTTGCCAAGCCTCCACCCAGATTCTACCTTCCATCAAACAAGGCTCAACCCAGTCAGAACTGAAACCAATGCACGCGATCGGCTATCCATAAATCTGGTCATAAACCACGCGCAACTGGTCACACACCATCCGCAACCGCTCGAACCGCGTCAGCGCCCCTTCCTGACAATACACCTGCACGGAATCCTCCCACAACAACCTCTCGACGTCGCGGTCAAAGGCGTCGACGATCCAGTCGGGGCTACCCCACAGGCGCACGTACCGGCCTTCCGAGTCGGTCTCGAGGAGGCCCCATGTCTCGTCGACCACGCGCGTGAAGTCGGGCTTGACGCCGCTGTGGTGAAAAAACATGGTACCGCTGTTGTAGTGCTCGGGCAGATGGGGAGCGACCGTGGCCAGGGCGGATGGGTCGGTGAGAAAATCTTCTTCCTCTACTTTTCTTGACTCTTTTCGTCCTTTGTGTTTTCGTTCTTCTCTGGTTTGTTGTTGTCGTGTCCTCCTTGGCTCGCCATTCTTGGCTGCTTCTGCTTCAACGACAGCCATGACGGCGCGGTAGTCCGCCACCGGATCGGTCTGCTGGAGAAACATGCCCGTCCACTTGCCCTTGGCGGACCGTCCGTGGACAGAAGGCAGTTTCTTGACATCATAATACCCCTTCTTCAGCCCGATCCCAGGTTTCATCCACTCTGTCGGCTGCTGGTACTGTCCACGCTGTCTTAGCGCGTCAAGCACGAGCGCGGCGTGCAAAAATGTTTCCTTGTCGCCCTCGCCAGCCGCGTGCTGGCTGAGCAGCGGGTAGTAATGTTTCGGCCCGTTATGGTTGTAGTAGGCTGCCAGGAGGAGGGTATCCGCGTGTCGTGCTTTATCGAACACCATCACCCCGCTCTCCGATGTTGGCCGCGACGGGACGGGTGGGACCTCGAGGTCCCCGGCGATGCGGTAGAATGATACTGAGGCGGTCGACGTCCAGAAGTCGGGCCAGCTGATGAAGCCGGTTGAGGAGAAGGGCTCGGAGCCCGGGTCGAAGATCGGGTCTGGGTTCCTCACGGGGAGGCAGTCGGTATCGAGGAAGAGAACGTTTTGGAAAGTCGAAGCAACGATCGAGATGACCTTCCACTGGAAACGCTCCAGCTCGGGCACCAGCGGGCCGAGCCCAGCCCATGCCTCTTCTAAGGACACGCAAGCAGCATTGTACCGCGGCATCGTCTCGGCACACATCCAGTCTACCCACGCCGATGTCGAGTCTAGCACGATCTGGATCGGTAAGCGAGACCCGGCCCGTCGAGCGGTTAGCACCAGCGATATCGCCTGCCCGAAATTAGGCACACCCGCCGTTGTGACGATGCCCGTGGTATTCGCGTCGTAGGGAAGGTGGTTCGCGAAGGTCGCGAGCTGGCCGACGAGTGCCGCGTGCGACAAGCGGAACTTGGCCTCGTCGTCCTCGCGGAGCTTGATCAGGTCCGGTCGAACAGCATCGCCACCGGGCTTCCAGTTTATGGAGGGGTCCCAGTCTTTGATCGTGATCGGTCGGGCCGTGACGCGAGTGGTGTCGAGCCGGGTAAAAAATTCCATCCACCACCCACTAGGTGATGGTGATGTCGGCTGTGGCGATAAGGCATGGCTGTCGCTAGTGTGGCGGTTGGGAGCCGCCGATGGAACATAGAAGCCGTCGGAGTAAAAGTGCGGGTGGTGGGCAAGGAAGGCGAAGGCCACGAGCAGAAGCACGACGACGGAGAATCGGGCTTTCCAGCCACCGCGGAAGAGGAGTTTCTGGGCGACATGGCGGAGGGTTGTTGCGAAATTGTCGCTGCCCTGGGGTTGTTGCTGGTCCATGATCATCGGGATCTGTTTCGTCAACCCTGGCGGAGGGGCACCCGGAGCACAACGAGAAGTGCCCGGGGGTACTCTTCGCTTCAAGTTGTGTTCATACAGGTTATTTCGATCCCATGGTTTGATACTCTTGAGAACGGGCGAGATCGCCCACAGAAGGTCGCTCGGTCGCACCAAGTCCGCCTACGTGTGTATTCCGAAGTATTCCAGTCTCTCTCAAACGCGTAATAGCTGCCTTGGTTGCCTGGGTCCCCTCCTTACACACAGTGGTTGCAGTGCTGATCAGGTTACCGAGTGCTCGTTGGTTTGATTCGGGGCAGGAGGGGGGGAATCGTCTGGGAATAGGTTTTCGCGGTTTGTTTGTGTTTTCGGATGCTGCTCAAGGCAGGACCGAAAAAGAAACCTTCTCGACTCCATATCCCTCCTGTTTGCACGCTGACGGCAGCCGTGGCCCTGTGGGCCTTCATCCCATCACGAACTGCGTAAGCTTGTGCTAGGCCCTTTGGGCTTATGAGGCCCGTTGGTCCCGCTCGCATATTGCTTGGCTACTAGGGTCACCATGCTCGGCACTCCGGCAGGAACGGCACAGAGAATCTGGTATCGAGACAAACAAAATCCCACAACCCCCGACAACTGCACCAATTGGCGGGCCGTTTCCGGCTCTCCGAGCTTGGCGACTCAGGACAAACCTGCCAGCAGCCAGTGCGAAGTCGTTGCTCGCCGCTCGCACAGTGGTGAAAAGAACAATTGTGTTTCATAAACCGTGGCAGCTAGGAGTGGCACAACATAGGTAATTATCTCTCATAGCCATTTGCGTCGGATCCTCTTCGGATTCGACAACCCCGGGTATATGCCGGAGCATTGAAGAGTCCCGGGATACACAAGGACGATGCTGATGATGTAACGTGGGGTCGAAACCCCTTATCCTCAGAGTGGCCTTGTGGCTGCGTCACGTCGTTTTGGGGGCCTAAACGAACCACGTAGTTGGTGTGACTCGAGTTTCTGCTTGGAAATATCCCATGGTTATCCGAATTGCCGGGGGTTAAACTTCTATTCAAACCGTGTGCCGCTCTCTGATTCGGAATCCTACCCTAAGGTACTCGCCACCGGTGACAATGTCGGTGAGATATAGTTTCATATTGTACATACACTTGAGCGACAACAGCAGAGTTGAATTGGCGATCGTTTTCCTTCTAGGTATCGCTTCTTCTAGATCACCAGCAAACAAAACGGGCGCGAGCTGGGACTACAGGTATACAATGGGAAAGGAATTGCAAATGGGAGGCCTGTAAATCTGGTACCGTCCGTAACTAGCATAATTGTGATGGACGGTTTGAACGCGGAAGGTTTTCCCGGCGCTTAGGAAGTCGAGGAGCATCTAGAGTTGTTGACCTGGTGGTCGGTTTGGAATTTCTTGCGTTGGACTCTCGGTACTCGTGATCGCGTTAGATTACTGTCAAAGTTTTAGGATATGGGAAACTCTGGTACTCAAAACCAAACTTTGATTTTCAAGAGGTTGGTCGGGTCGTAACTCGGGAAAAAGAAACAACTCAACTCAGGTCGCCATGGTGTCGATGGGTTTTCAAACCACATCAATGATCAAGGCGTCCTAGGCCGCTTTCGAAATTCCCGCCACCGGTGTGGAATATTTCCTGATGGTCTGGCTCGACAGAGCTTGGGGGCTTCCCAAACTGTCGAGCAAACCGCCGGGTTCTCCTTGAATACATTTGGGAAGATCGGCCAGACTCATCACAGAGCTCCTTGTTTACTCCAAATGAAGGACAACAACCCCGTCCCCAACTGCTAGGGAAGACAAGTCACAGACGTCCACGTCAGGAAACACCAGGCGAAAGGCGTCAAACGCGATGGGTATACTAGGGTAGACCACTGTGGCCAAAAGGTCTTCCTCCTTACTGTCCGGCTGGTGTATAAAAGCCTCCGTCTTCGGCCTCCTCATGGCCCAGATCGTAAGTGGCCTTCTCATATAACCGCATCTCAAACGTCTTTGATCGCGAGCAGCCCAGCAAGAGAAACATGCCATAAACATTATGGGCTACGATCGCCAAGCTGACTTCCTGTATACTACCACAGACCATGGCCGTCGAGTCTCCTGACCCCCCTGAGAAATACACCATCCTGCCTGCCCAGTTCGAAATCGAGGTCTCGCCGGGCCGGACCGAAGTTCTGAATGGCACCATCCAGGAAGCCTTTGCTCAGGCCGTCGCCCTCAACCCGGACTTCAAGCTCCCTGTCCCAACCGACAAGGTTGCTGGTGCGGCCGAAGGGGTGAACGGGCTCGTGGGCGAAGTCGCGGGCGGCGTTACAGGCCCGGCGGACAGAAAGCGTGCCACCAGGGTCATATGCGGTAACTTCCCGTCTGCTGACAGAGGCCGCGCCATCGAGGCGATCCAGTATCTCATGACCCTCACGACGGCGCCTCGCATGGGATCCGGGCCCGGCGTGTGTGCTCGGGTCAGCTGCACGAACAACGCGGCGGTTTATTGGTGTAACGATGTGAGTTTTGTTCCGCACAGTCTTAGCAAGTCCCTTCTGTCCCTATACGATTCATAGCCCCCGTCTGCCCAGCTTGTCGGCCCGTCTCTCTTAGCCGGCCTGGCCAATGTGCCATAATTACCCCACAGCTTCCTCCCAGTTCACGATACCCCCCCAACCCCTTTTTTTGGTTTGTTTTGGCGCCTGTCACAGAACAAGACTGACACAGCCCCTTCCACACAGAACCACGGCGTCAAACTCTTGGATCGCTGGGAGATGATTGCCCAGAGCGCCGGGTTCATCGTCAACACCTGTGCTTCGGTTGCTACGACGGTTGGCGGCCAAAACTTTGAGTCCGGCAACTGGAACTCTATCGTTCGCGGGGATAGTTGCTGATCGGGTAATCAAGGGTGTTATATGAGTGGTGGATTTGGGATGGAGGAACGTCATCCTGCCACCGTACCGCAATTCCGTCGTTCATCCCTGGTAGTGTTGGTTAGGCCGCTGAGGTTAGAGTTTTACCTTCGTACGTTCAAATAATGTATTAGGAGTTGCTTTTGGGCTCCAAAGTGCCGTAACCTCTCTAGGCGACTGACCCCAAAGGTTTCCATGGTTCGGTTGATAAACCATAGAGTGATTGAGCGGTAGTTATTTCCACATCCCTGTTTACACATACATAATTATGTTACAGATTCAGCCCCGGTAACCTCAAAAAAGGAAAGCAAAAGAGTACAATACTGTGGTACAGTGAACTCTAAACTTCCAAGGACCACCCTCTCTGCTTCCATATATCATACAAACAAATACAGTCTGACTTCCCGGTTCTCATGTACCGTTGTCAACAGACTCGGGACCAAATCATGCGCCCGAGTACACTGCCGTCACAAAGCGGCCGCACTCGACACGCTGCTCAACACTGACCTTCCTCCCTTTACCATGCTCGCCCAGCCGCACTGTCGTCCGCGGCGTGAGCTGGAGGCGGTCTGCCCCGCCAACGCTAGCTCCAACATGCCCATCTTGTACATGTGTCCTGGCGTCTAGTGGACCGATGTACACAGGCGCGTTGACGTTGCTCCGTTTGCCGTTGCCCAACTGGTAGTGCTCGTTACCGCCCCACCAGAGAGCATCGGCGCCAAAGCTGGTATCAGTGGATGATGACGATTGCGATGATGATGTGAGGTGGGTGTAGTTGGCGAGGACAGCGCAGGCGTGAGTGCTCCCGACGGCGAACCCGGCTACGCGGATGGGGGTGACGCGGCCCGCGGCCTCGTCAAACTCGTACAGACCGGACAGCGCCTTGATTTTGTTCGGCGTCGGGGAGACGTGTGTCCACTTTCCGGAGCCGAGGTTACCGTAGATGCCAGCGCCGCAGGCCCAGGTGTCGGCAACCGTGCGACCGACCTCGCGGGAGTCGTGGCCTTGTGTCTTGGTGGCATCTACGGTGAAATAGCTGTTTTGCCCGCCGGCCGCAATCGCAGTGACCTTGGGCGCAAACCCCGTGCCAGCATAGAGCTTGTCAATGGGCAGTGGCGAGGGCGTGTCGACGATGGCCCCGATCGCCGTCTCGAACCCTAGCTGGCCGTTGGCGTTATCTCCGAACGAGAAGACCCGCCCCTTGTTATCGAGTACCAGTGAGTGTAATGCGCCTGCAGCGATGGCGCTGATACTGGAACCCTTCAGACCTATCACCTCGTGGGGCTGGTCAAATGGCCCCTTTGGCCGTGTCTCCCACGTTAGGCCGGGCACGCCAAGCTGACCCTGAGAAGGGAAGGCCTCGGAGCTGGCAGCGGCAGAAAATACGCGGCCTTTGGAAGTCAGCAGCAGACAATGTTGAAGGCCGCTCTTGACATCGATGACTTTCTCGCCCCACCCCAAGCTAGACGGAGTGAGGGATCGACAGCCGCTCCAGGACCCAGAGGATGACGACCAGAATGGGAGCCACGATGATGATGAGGTTTCGCTGGATTGAGTCCCCGATGTTGCTTGTGCGACCGCAACCTGGTCCGCTTGGGAAACAGGCAGTGAATAGACGGACCCGTTCGACGAAAGAGCAATGATTCGGTCTCGTGAGATGGCTATCTTGGACAGGTTCTTGCCCTGTAGGGTAACAGTCGGCGCAACAGAATCCTTGGAGAAGGCTATGCCCCACTGTACGAGATCTCCTTTCTCGGTGATAGCCACACCAAAATCGCGGTCAAGCTTCAAGTCGCGGAGGATCTGGCCATCAAAGAAAGGAATTCGCCGGGGCGTTTTGATGACTGGTTCGTTCGAGTCCGGGGCCACAACTTTGCCAATGTTGGACCCCCAAGCGTACACTCCAGGGTGCTCCCAGCTGTTCTTGACCTGCACGTGCTGCGGGCTCACAATAGCGCGGCCTTCCTCCTTGGATGCGGCCTTCTTCCGCGGCTTTTCGTAAACGATATCAGCCTTCTCGATTTGCGGTGGGCCAGTCAGGCCGGGGCTGTTAGCGATGTACGGGTAAGCGAAGACAGCACCCGCGCCGGCCGCAGCGGTGACAGCGAGAAGACTGAAAATGCGAGGGCCGGAGCGTCGTGTCGGCCCGGATGTAGTGGAGTATCGGGCCCATTGCGAGGAAGAAGCCGCAAGGGAGCGAAGTGGCAAGGGACGTCCTCGGAGGGCAGTGGCCCGGGAAAGAAGAAGCGAAGCCATGGGTGGGTTGGTTTATACTGTTTCCCGTTTCCTCCTTTTTGGGTTAATACTTGATGTTGCCCTTTCTTTTTGTCTCGTTATTAATTTCCTTTTTTCACGACAGTCTTTTCGTTATCTATAACAATAACTTAGATTTCCCAATTCAAATCTCGTTCTGCCGAGCGATAGTGGTTGTGCCTCGGGAAGGAGGCCACTCGACGACCACAGAAATGAGGAGAGCATGAATCTCAAGGTGAGGGAGCTCAGTGGTGGGGTGAGCTCAGATATAACTATGATGAGCACTCGCAAGCTTCTAGAATCTCCATGCTTAACTCGGCTTGGCTTGGCGTCCCATCTGAAATGGCCCGTGCACGAAGCTCAGGATAGCTGCCCCACTGTTTGCGACCCGACGGCGGGCGAGCCGAGTCTGGATTCCTTACGCGACGGTACGTTTTATACCGAACCTGATACACAATCGGATACTGTGGCCAGGAGCTTTGCTCAGCTTATCCACGAGCATGCCCACGGCCCACAACTCACACATCACCGCGACGCCCGTTTACTCGACACGCCGACGCCCACGGCAAAATGTACGAGGACTCCTGGTACAGCTTTGTGCCTGAGATCCAGCAACAACGTCAACCGGCCGTGGGAGCCCCGAGTACCGGCCATCGACGGAAGCAGTCGCTCTTGCAGCAACCGAATGTAAGTTTCCTCTCCTGCTCCCCCAAACCGCCACAGCGTCACTCGCCTGGTGCAAGATGCTAACAGATACTTCTCCTGTCTGTGCATAGAAGCCAACTAGCGACGGCGAGACCCCAGAAAACCTCCCCGCGCTTCTCGAAGTTCAGGAAGATGCCCACGATCCACCAGAGCCGACCCTTTCACGGCGAGCCAAGTCTTACTCAGACTTTTACGAAATTGTAACGAAACAGCTATCCGCGTACCAGCCGCAACGGGAACGTAGGAGGCAAACGAGGCGAAGCCGTCGGAGTTGGCAAGCGTTGGCGTTGGCGGAGTCGGTAACCGCGAGTTTGGATGCCGAAGTTGAACCAGGAAATGATTCAGGCGATGGCGGTGACGGCAGTACACTAGGGGGGGAGCTGCTGCGGGCTAGCCAGCAAGAATATTTGTTCGTCAACCATTGCCCCATTGGCCGTGTCCTGCCTCTGTCGCGCGCAGTTCCTCGCTAACGCAGCTTGGCCAACAAGTCTTTACCACGACGAGCTTCTGATGACGGAACGGCATCTCGATGCCCTCATCGACGATGCCGATCAGGCGCTCAAGGTCCTCGAATCGCTTTGCTCGTCGTTCCGCGCCGTTGATAACCAGACCAGCTCGTTCAAAGCTCAATGCGACGGCCTGCTGACGGAGAAGACGCACTTTGAAACCTTGGCTGAATCCGTCGGGATGGATCTCCAGTACTACACATACCTCGATTCGGCTACCCGCCGACTCAATGCGCCCGGTGCAGGGAGGCTCGTGGAAGGAGGCAACTTTGCCGAAATCTTGTCAACTTTGGACTCCTGCATAGAGTTTATGACTAAGAATGTAAGTCTAACAAGGAAAGTAGGGGGTTACAGCTTGATAATGTCCCTGGGCTGTGGGCTGATAAACATTATAGTCGACGTATCGAGATGCCGAGTCGTACTTGGCACGCTACCAAGCACTCTTAACCAAGGCCTTACATCTTCTCGAAGTGGGCTTCGTCAATCATCTCAACAAGGTGTCGGCCGAGATAGCCCGGCAGATCGCAGGAACCCAGTCCGAGCCTGCTCGCCACGCCCTCGCTTACGGCCGTTTTGAGGAAATGGTTCTCGAATCATACTCGCTCGTTCCTAACGTCCAACTGGTGGTGCAGAGCGCATACGAACACGATGGGTATCCTTCCTCAAAACCGAACGCCGACATCTACGCAAATACCGCAAACAACCTGTTCCACTCGTACTGGGCTGCCCGAGAACGAGATCTCAAGCCTATGACCCAGCACGATCTCGACGTCTTTCGGACCGCCGCGAAGGAATCACCCGAGAGTGCAGCACGGAACTTTGTAAAACAGTGCTTCGAGCGCTCCGACAGCGAAGCTAGCCTTTTCCAAAGCATATTCTTCATTGACGCCCGCTACTCGACCGAAGCGCAATCTGCCTTTGCCGTGCTCAAGTCGCAGCGCACCGTCTTAACGGGAGCAAACGTCGCGCCCATTGCCGCAAGCCTGCAGTCAGCCCTTCAAGGCAGCGATCTGCAGACGGTCTGCCACCTTGTCGGCTGGATAACTAATGAGTACCTGCTCCCCGAGTACGATGAAGAGGAAACTTTGTTTGTGGGCCGTTGCCGAGAGTTAGCCGCCCGGCTGCTCGCTGAGCATTTGTGGGCCTTTGCCGACGGGTTTTTTGAGGCCGAAATTACCAAGTCCATAACAAAGGCCGTGGTCCCGGTGGACGCTCTCAAGATCGAGCCCGTGGCTAACGGAGATATCGCGTCCAGCGCGTTCCCCCCAGTGAAGCGCGCGCTGGAGTTGATGGTTATTTTTGACCAATCCATGCCTAAAGAGCGATTTGTAAGTTGTTACCTAGCCCCCCGCAACATGGCTGGTCTTGCGATAAGGTTCTAACACCCCATTAGCAGTGTAGTAGCCCCGTAATTTTCAGGATTCTCAAAGAGTCCATTGCCTGCCTTCAGCGCGCTGAAGGCCGCCTCAAGACCGCCGCCGTCGGCGCCAACTCCTCCAAGATTAACACAGATCCGGATCTGTTTATGATCAAAAACCTACTCATCCTCAAGAATCAACTCATGACGCTCGAGATCGGTGACGTCCGCGGCGGTGACAGCGGGGGATTAAGTCAGGAACACTTTGCGCAGATATGGGACACTCTCCGGCCCGCACAGAACCTGATCGGCGGCCTACTAAGCAGCTTTGGAAACCTCAGCACTTATATTCCTGGTTCGTCTTTGTGGACGTTGAGGAGTGGCGCCAGCACACCCACACCAGGCTACGGGGGAGGCGCTGGCGCTGGCGGAACACCCAAGATTGGATTTGCGGCGCCACCGGTGACGGATGATGCGAGTGAGCAATTGGACGGATTGCTGCGGCAGAGCATCGTAGGTTTTACGCGGAGGTGGGCCGGCGTGTTGAACGGCGCACGCGGGGTGGGGCATAGTACCACGAACAACAACAATCACAAACTTGGTGGTAAGAATGTGGGCAAGGTGGAAAGAGAGTTGGACGAGATCCTGGAACAAGCGTTTGGCGGGCAGCCCGAGGTGGTGGCCAAGCTGAAAGAGGCGATCCAGATCGAGGCGCATGCGCAGGTTCAGGTGTCGGGCGAGAAGAAGAGCTATGTGACAAGGGTATAGCGGATGAATACTTCCCAAACCTTCTCAGCTCAAATGCGTTGGTTAGCCACACAATGAGAACATGCTCGAATAGCCCGGTGAGATTGGAAAATCTGCAAGCATCGCTACAACTCGTTTAATGGAACGCGGATATCTAGTAGACGGGATCGAAGTCTACATTACGGGACCTCAACGCAAACGGGGCAACTGGCTCAAGAACCGTTCACCAGGTGGGTATTAGTTTCTATCTCCCACCGGGTCATTCTTAACTTGCCAAGCTCCGAGTTCCGACCCGGATAATGGAATATGCAGCTATCCGACTACCGAAAAGCACGCAACCGACTCGGCGTTCCAAGGACCCCTGAAACGTCCCCAAGAACCCTGCAGCCCCGCCAGGCCTCGCGATCCAGTGTGAGGATTATTTTAATAAACCCCAGCACCGCGAGAGCCGACATTCGGCGCTCACACATGCTAGATAGACAGCACAACGGCACGACCGCAGTAACTACGTTGATACCAGCCGGTCTCACTAAGTCGTAAACTACGTCTAAAGTGGCGGCACTGTTGAGAGCGTGAACCAGCGGTTTCCCGGCTGTTTGCGATCAGCATACTTATCAAGCCCATTTGCTTTCCCCTTGGATTACGCATCAAGGCCGACAAGCCCTGGGTTCTCTTTTTTCGAGGGTAGAGATAAACCATATCGGCACCATCCAGCCTAACTGCCGCCCGCCCATACTTAGAATGGCAAACGCACCCGCCGACATAGACGCCCACGAGGGCTCCGGCTCGTCCTCAGGTCTTCAGACGGCAAAGGACTTGTTTTCGGGCGCCGCAGGCGGCATTGCCCAAGTATTGATCGGTTAGTTTGCCGTCTTCCCTGCTCCCCTTAGTTAGCGAACTTCAGTCCGATGCCTAGGCAACTAACTAGAGGCGACTTCTCCACGCACCAGGGCAACCCTTCGACATCGTGAAAGTCCGTCTGCAAACTTCCCAAGCCTACCCTTCCGCCGTCGCTGCCGCCACGTCCATCTACCGCAATGAAGGTGCGCTCGCCTTCTACAAAGGCACACTGACGCCACTACTGGGTATCGGCGCATGTGTGTCCATTCAGTTCGGGGCGTTCCATGCCGCGCGCCGCTATCTCGAGCAGCGCAAGTCTTCCGCCACCGCTGGCTCAACACCACAACAGCTCAGTTACGGCGAGTACTATGCTGCGGGCGCTTTCGCGGGACTGGCCAACTCGTTTCTCTCCGGGCCGATCGAGCACGTGCGTATCCGCCTGCAGACCCAACCTCACGGCGCTGCGAAGCTGTACAACGGGCCGTTAGACTGCGTGCGCAAGCTGTGCTCACCAACAATCGGGGGCGGCGTGGCGCGCGGATTGTACCGCGGCGAGGCCGTGACGCTGCTGCGCGAGGCACAGGCATACGGCATGTGGTTCCTGGCATTTGAGTGGCTCATGAATGCGGATGCAGCGCGCAACGGGGTAGACCGCAAGGAGATTGCCAGCTGGAAGGTGGCGTTCTACGGCGGCCTGGCTGGTGAGGCACTGTGGTTGGGGAGCTACCCGCTCGATGTGATCAAGAGCAAGATGCAGACGGATGGGTTTGGCGCCGACCAGCGGTACAAGACCATGCGCGACTGCTTTGCCCAGACTTGGCGCGCTGAAGGCGCTCGCGGCTTTTGGAAGGGCATCGGGCCAACTCTGTTGAGGGCTATGCCCGTCAGCGCCGGCACGTTTGCGGTGGTCGAAATGACTATGCGGGCTATCAACTGAGATGGAGGAGGTTAGGAGGAGTATGACGGCCGCCTATCGTATTGGTGAGGGTGGGAAATAGCTGAACGCAGAAGCGTATGAACTTCACATCGGGGGGCAGCCAGTTCTGATCACCCCCCCTGCACAACGGGAGGAGAGAGAAAAGCCCTTCAACGGGGTCACAACGATTAGCCTGCTCAACCGGCACAGGATTTGGGACGGGCGAGAAGGGATTGACGAAACCACCCGCCCAGGATGGCTTGATGATAGGGTGGACATCCAAAGGAATATTGACAGGAGATACCATTTAGAGAAGGGTCCTGCTATATGGAGAACGTGGCAGGTTTTATACATAGACAGATGATCAATATGTACATTCGATATACCCAACAGCTGTCCAAACCTCGCAGCCTGTTATTCTGCATTCTCCACCCTCCGCTGCAATATTTGCCGGGCATTGGCCGCCGTCAATGAGTCGATCTCTAATTCCTCGAGAACCTTCTTCGCCTCCGTGTTGTCGGTAAATACCCTGTCCGTGGCTCGCTTCAGTGAGATCCCGGCGCCCTCGTCCTGCCCGTCGACAGCCACAGGGAGGTTCAACAACCCGAGCGCCTCGCTCAGGCTGCCCAACGCGCCGGAGCCGTCGGGGATGTACCGCTCGATGAGCGCCAAGATCGCGTGTACGTCACGACGGAACTGAGCGGCGCCTGTGGCAGTGAACCGGTGGCTCATCAGCACGTCAGCCCATAGGGTGTTGTTGAGTGTCTCGAGCGCTTCCCGCCAGACACGGCGGAACACGGCTGTGCCCAGCGCGCGTTGGAGAAAGTCGAAGTCGCGTTTGAGGATCTGGTGCCACTAGTTAATCATGGACTAGGAGAAATCAAGGAATGGGGAGAAGGTCACACGTACTCGTAATGGCTCGTCCAGCTCCGCCGTGACGGCCAGATCGCTTGCTGGCGTGGACTCATCGGCGATGGTGCTCCATTGCGGCCGGTGAAGATACGCCTTAAACGCCTTCCGGTGCGACTCGACTAAGGCCTCAGGCAGAAACTCCTCGGCGCGCTTCCGTCGCTGGCTGTACGCCGAGATGGTTTCGTCAAATAGTACACCCCCACCGTCGTCCTCCTTGCCCACCGCTGCCGAGGTCTTATCCCGCACATGGTCGTAGCTCATTCCGCCGGCTAGGTTGTCTTGGTTCTCGCTGCCCGTGCCCTTGGCTCGCGACTGGAGCTGCTCCCACAGCGCGACAAAGAACTCGTCATTACTCCAGTCCCGTAGCGTATTCACGATGTGGTCTGCGCTGCCATACACTTTGCAAAGGGTTTCCAACGCGCCGGTGCCCTCGAGCGCAGCCAGCTGCTCCTTGCTAACGCCGAACGCTCTACCCACTGTCGAGGTGATGCTCAGGTAGGCCTCCAATGTGCCCCGCAGGTGGTCATGGTATTCGTCCAGGATCGTGAGCTGGATGTCAATGAGAAAGCGCAGCTTGTGGGAGAACCGCCAGACCCGTTCGTACTGCGTCGTGACAGACCGAAGCAGGTCAGTAACCCGGACGGCCGCAAACGTGGGCTTCGTTTTGCCCGTGGTGGCGAAATCGTAGTCGATCTTCCTCGCGTCTGGCGCGGACATGATCGTCTGATAACGCTCTAGTGCGAACTTCTTTTCGGCCTCGAGCCAGGCCCGGAAGTGTTGGCCGAGCACCTCGGAGGTGAGCCCACCCCACCCTTCTTCTTCTGCGTTCCCGCCATCGTACGTGAAACCAGATTTCAGCCGCTCATCAAAGGTCATAAGCTGCGTCAGGAGGCTGCTAAGGAAAACGGTGTCTCCAGCCGTCTCAGCAATTGTGGCCGTGATCTTCTCCCTCATGACGGGTAACATCGAGGACATGAAGGCGCAGACGGGGTCTATGTACACCATCTTATGCGCCACGTCGGTGTCGCCAAACCGGGAAGCGAGAACAGAACCAAAGTTATCCCGCAGAAAATCCTCCCATTTTTCGACCAAGGTAAGGAACCACGGGAAACAATGAGCTGTGAGGGCTTGCGGGCTGCTCGTAGGCTTGTTGCTGAGAAAGTGGAAGCGGAATTCCTTGATGAAGATTTGGGCCATGACGTCGAGCGGTAGGAGGGTTACGGTGCCTGATGAAGAGTACACAACCTCGGGAACCTGCAGGTCGACGAGCTTCTCGAAGCATTGGAGCCACTCTTCATCGACCTCAGAGTCCGGATCAACGTTGGGCCACCCACGTCGGGCCAGCAGCGCCTCCAGCTCGTCCCACATTATCTTTTTCATCTCCCCCCAAAGCTTCTCGGTCGTGTTCTCGACATGGGTAACCAGATGCACCGCCGCCCCGTCCGCCTGCTCCTGGAGCTCCTTCAGGCGCACCGACATCTGTTTCAGCTTCGTGTATGGTGTCAGGGCGGCCTTGGGGTCTTGAGGCAGATGTGAGTGGGCGGCTTGACGCAGGCTCTCGACGTCTTGGAGCAGCAGTAGGTAGCGGTAGGCGAGGTCGACTTTGTGTAGTTGCTTCATGGGTGGCTCGAGGCGGCGAATCGCATCGTCGGGTGCATCAGACTCGGCGATGATCTGTAACCGCACATCTATGCTCTTCTGAAGCGACTGGAACTCATCGATCTGGTCTAACAGGGCGACGCTGCGGTCTGTGGACGACTTGCGCGCCTCGTCGAGCTCGCGCGTGGCATCGTCGAGTTGGGCTTGCAGCTGGCTGCGCTGGAGCTCGACACTGCTGAGAAGTGTTTCTAGGTCGTCGAAGTCGGTCGTCGACTGCAGTTTGTCGTCGAGGTAGTCTTCCACACGAATGTCGTCCATGGCGGGGTAGGCAACAAGGAGAATACTACAATGTCCCCAGTTTCGTGGAAGCAGGAGTGGAAGCTGGCCAGTTCCATGTGATGTGGGACTTTCATCCCAAGCTCAAAGCTGCCAAGGTGGGTCTTGAAATAAACCAGGATGTAATACGTGGGAGAACCGGAGCGTAATCTACATACGCTGTAAGTTACGCGTTGTTCAAGACCCCCACATGACGCACTGCCTGCCGGGCCGGCCAAGCCATCTTTTTCCCTCCCCAAACAGCACCTCCACCAAGTCGTGTAAATCTCCACAATCTCGTCCCTTTTCTTTTCCTCTCCGAACATCACAACCCCAATTGGCTCCCGAGTCAACCCACACTTCAATGGCGCCAACATGAGGCATCTGCTGCCAAATTTGGGGCTGGGGGCGTCCAGTGCCCGCGGCATCACGAGTTGTAGTATGAATTTGAGGACGATGCTCTTCTCCCCCGCTTGCCGGCCTTTGCTCAACCCACGGCACGTTCATCCCATGCCTCCCGCCGATATCCCACGCCGCAGGAACTTCTTTACTTCCAATGTGCTCTTGCAACAGAACAGCAGTGACCCGCCGGCTCGCGAGCCCAAGGCGGGGAAATCCACCGACGACAACCCCCCGACGAAGCCGGCCACCCCCACCAACAAGAAGCGCAAGCCCCCGCTCAAAAACTCGCTGCACCGCGTTGCCATCGTCGCTCAGAAAGGCGTACCGGCCAAGAAACCGCCGCCGGCCGCCGAGTCAGTCCCCGGCGCCGAGGGTAGTTCCACTGTCAGCGCCGTGTGTGTGGCCGAGACCTTTGACATGGATCGAGTGGAGGACATCCTGAAACATCACGGTTTCTTAATCGATCCCGACGGCAACGGGTTCGAGTCCCATGAGGTTGTGCACGCTCGGGGCTTCAACACTGGCGATATCTTTGTGTTCCCCTCAGGCACCGTTGTTACCTGGGGGCTTCCGCCTGATATCGTCAACAGCCTGGCCACAAAACATCTGCTCCCGGCCGCCGAGACACCCTTTATCGAGCAGAAGGAGGAGGAGGATCTCGAGTTTCTGGTCGACCCGGAGCAGGAAGAGAGCCGTGTCACTGGCGATGTCGTGGTGCTCGGCACACGCCGTGAGGTCGTGGCCGGCGACCGGCTCGAAACCACCCTCGCCAAGATCGCCTTCTCCTCGGGCCTAGCCCGCAGCACCAAGCTAGCCGTGCTTGAAAGCTCACTAACTCGCTACCTCGAAAGCACCCGGAATATCCCCGACCGCTTGTCGCAAGGCCTGAGCGCCCCGCTCTCGCGGGGCATGATTTTGCAAAAGGCCGGCGAACTGCTCAACCTGCGCAGCCAGCTGAATCACTACAATGACTTAACCGACGCACTGCCCGACATCTTCTGGGACACCGAGGAGAAGCTCGAGACCTACTACGCCAAGATCGGCAAGGCCCTCGACGTCGGCGTGCGCATCAAGACCCTTAATGACAAGATGACGTACGCCCAGGAGGTCGTGACCGTCGCCCAGGGTGTGCTTGACATCAGCGAGAAGCTGTCTAGCGAAGCGCACAGTACCCGTCTCGAATGGATCATCATCGTTCTCATTGCCATCGAGGTCGTCTTTGAGCTGCGCCGTTTGTACATTGAGCGTTACGACCACTTTCATACCGAGCTGCTCGACGAGTTGAGGGCGCTGCGGGCTGAAATGGGGAGTCGGCAGGGACAACAAAGTAAACAAAAGACACGGGATGGATCGGATTAGGTGACGGCGAAACAATTTGGTGAATGCCTTGTGTATAATAACATAAAAGGAAATGATACCCAGCTCAATGCATACTCAGGCAGCTAAGACTGCGTCGATGACACACGCGAATAAAATGCTTTTTTTTTTCCCTTTAATATATTATTATTATTATTATTTCCTACACCGCTATGCCCGTTAGGGCGTGCCGGTCCCTCTACTGCTAAATACAAAGGAAACCGTACCATCCTAGCTGTTCGCTAGTCCGGCCGGGTAAAAACCTCCGCCTACCCTCTGAAGCTACTAAATCCTGTACCCATCCGTTACAAAAGAAAAGGAGGCCCTCTACCGGCCTCCAGACAAACTAGCGCTCGCCTGCAGGCTCTATCTCTAGCTTTCTAGCTAGCCTATACTCCTGTAGCCGGCCAGAGTCCATCAACCAGCCTAGAACCTTCCTCGTTAGCCTACTAGCTCGGCCACCTACCCCCTGTAGAACAGTCTGTTTCCCTTTAATATAAGAACCTGAACTTTGGCCGAACTCTCCGTAAGGTGTTTTAACAGCTTGATAACTTCAGAATGTGAAATAACGCGCTGAATATTACAGATTACGCCGCGTTTAACAAAATCAAGGGTCTCCAAATCGAACGAACACAAAGAATGAGCATGAAGAGGTAAACATAACTATTCTTCCGACCAGTGCGGTCTTACTACAACCTTCCCTACTACGACGCTCTGCGTGACTGTCTCCTGTCTTCTTCCCCGTTGTAATCAATCCACGCCCCCGGACCCCCCTCCCCAACAAATTAAAAATACACAACACGTAAAACATAAGGTAGTTAGTGGCGAATCCACTACCCCTTTGATCAGCAGCCCGTCTTCCCCCATGCCCAGCCCAACCCCCCACCGGATATCCCCACACACATCTTTTGAACCCCCTTCTTTTCCGTGGCGGCGAGCACGGGTGGGTAAGATGAAGTACCCGGGTGTCGGCCACCTAGTAATAACAATAATTTGGCACACTCAGCCAAACCAACTACATCACACAAAAAACAGAAAAAAAGTGTTAGAAAAAGAACGAGAAAAAAAAGCACCCGAATCATGCTCTTTGGAGCCCGTCTCATCCCCATTGCCTTGTTGCCTCATCCGAATCGACAACATATCCATTTGTCCGTCCAATCTTCCATCCCTTAAAGCTGCCGATGCCTCTCAGACGCACACAAACATATGCATACGCACAGTCCGTCGCATCAACTTTGGGACTCGTCCATCTTTCCCTTCATTCCCTTCGTTTCGCTTTCACAAGGAGAGCAGGATAGACTCATTGCCCTCATTGAGGGGGTGCCGGACTGGCGGAGCCAGGCGTGGCACCGTTAACAACCATACCACCTCCACCGCCCGGTTGAACAGGTGCAACATTCGGGCTCGGCGATACACTGTTGTTATTAACAACGTGGTTGTTGCCCATCTGCTGGTGGTGCTGCTGCTGTTGCTGCTGTTGTTGCTGCTGCATCTTAGCAGCAGCGACCTTGTGCACGTCCATGTGGCCCGCCAGCCCGATCCCTGCGAGCCCGACCACTTCGCCCTGCGTGACCTTGCCCATATGGCCGCTGGCGCGCTGTTCGGCGTCAGCCCGGGCCCGGGCCTGCTCCATCAACTGCCGCTGTTGTCCTTCGGGCATGACCGTGGCAAAACCCGTAAGGTTGGACGGTGTTCGATTGCCTCCCGGGCCGGGAGGGCCTCCTTCTACCGCTCCTCCTCCTCCACCACCTGGTCCACTGACTGGGCCGCCCCCACCAGGACCAATACCGGGACCGCCTTGCATCATGCCAGGTCCTGGCGAGCCAGTCTGGTACTGCCGTGGGACGGCATTTGGGGGTATGCCCGGTCCAGGGCTTCCGTAGGGCGGCGGTGGACGAGAGATCTGTTGGTGTTGCTGTGGAGGTGTTGGGGACTGGCTGTATTGGTGATTTTGTGGGATTTGCGGGGAAATGGTCCGTGGCATCGGCCCGCCGTTGGTGTATGGTGAATACGGTGGTTGCTGAGGGTGCGGCATGGGTGGTGGGTGAGGGGACTGTTGTGGGTGTGGCGAGGGTTGTCCGTGTTGGGGATGCGGTTGGATTTGCTGGTGTGGTGGGAAACCCCCTCCCGGGAAACCGGGCGCGAAACGGTGGTTGGGGGCATTACCCTGCGCCATATTGTAGTTGGGGTGCTGGTGTTGCTGCATCCGTGGTTGCGTCGGCGTGCCAGCAAACTGCGGTTGCATGTTGGCATGTCCGTACGGCCCTTGTGCCTTGGCCAGCTGGGGCGCGTACATTGGCCGGAATTGTGTTCCAGGGGCCGGTCGAGGCTGCACTTGTTGGTGCGGCTGTGGAATGGGAACGCTGGAGGGGCCGCGCGGATACATATTCTGGGCCTGGCGGACAGGTGTTTGCGGGAAATGCGGTGCATTCCCAACGGGACGGGCCGAGGGTGTAAACTGCTGCTGGTACTGGTGGTTGGCGTATTGTCCTGACACGCTCGGCGCCCTCTGCGCCTGGCGCTGCTGGTTCGATGTCGCGGCCTGCGCAGCGAACCGGGCCAGCCGCGCCGGCTCGTCTTCTTCCATTACCCCGCGGTACTCATCGGAGCGGATCTCGATCCTGGTGCTCACAGCCAACTCCTCAAGCTTGTCCGAGTTGAGACGGGCCACGGCGTAGGGAGGCAGGGTCTGGATGATGAGTGCCAGCTGAGCCTTGAGCGCGTCGTAGGTTGACGCTTCCTCCTCACTTGGCTGGTGCGAAAGATGCCCGTTCCGGAGCATGTCACCATTGACTGGGTCGGCCGAATAGCGGTCTTGGCTTGTGGGCAAGGTGAGATTGCGGTTGCGCTGGTAGGACGCGAGGGTTTCGATGAGATCGGATACTTCCTCGAGAAGGTCATCTACCTCCTTCTCATGGTCTGACTTTTTACCCAATGCATAGTCCAAGCTTGGGTCAATCGCTGTTTCGTCCCAGTTGTCAATCGCAGCCTTGACGGTGTCTTCGTCGATCTCCACCTCGAGTGTTTCATCGGTCGCTGGAACCGCTTCAGGTCCCTCCGCCGGCTCTTCCGCCTCGACAATTCTCGAAAAGTTGCGCCGGCCGACACGCTGCCACCATATGCGACTCACTTGGCCCGAGGGCACAATAGCACCCGAGTCGTCCCTACAGGGGGCAAAGGTAGAAAAGGCGCCGCGGAAAAGCGCCTCCATCTCGGACATCTCTAGTTCGGTTGTGGATGGCTTGATGCCTGCCAGGCTCTGCGCCCGCTCTCGTCGCTTCGTTTTGGCGTGCGCGGTCGGCGTGGCATTGCTATAATCCAACCAGTGACCAGTCGAGATAGTTGACGAGAAGTAGGTGCCGGACCGGTATTTGGACTTCTCGGCCAGCTCTGGGTGGTAAAAGGTCAAGACATTGCTTTTCGTGGCCGTTTTAGGTGCCTTTGGCGGCTGAAGCGGGGGCAGATTCCGGGGCGAAGGGAAGAGCTCGCCTAGGGTGGGCGTTCGCCCGCTCTTTTCGCCCGAGGCGGGCAGGTCGGATAGGATCCTGGTGACTGTGAGACCCCGCGGCAGAGGCGCCCCAGCAAAGGACTTGGCTGGGTTGCGTTGCAGGCTGGTGAAAAGAGGCCGCGCAGTGGGCGCTGTGCCGATAGCGGTAAGAGCTAGATTTCCTGTGTTCTGCGTCTGGGGCTGGTTAGGGGCCGGTTTCCCGCTGAACGTTGGTGGTGCGTTGGGATATGCCAGCTCCTGTCTGTACAGCTCCAATGCCTTGGTCCGAAGCGCAATCGTCTTGGCAAGGGTGTTTGCATCGCTCGGCGTGGCCGTCTCGAGCTCGTTGACCTGTGCATTCGCCACTTGGACAACGTCGGCAACGAAGTCGTCGAGTGTCTCGTACGTGCCGTCTGTCACCTTCTCGGCGATAGTGATGAGCTTGCCATCTTCCGATTTCGCTCTTTTCGGAGAGGGTTCGCCATCGGAAACCGTGTCGGTGAGAGGGCGTTTGAAGAGCGATGAGCTGAGACCATCGTCGCTGGAGTAGACAATGTTAACATCCCGACTGCAAATGGAGGTGGATGGGATGGAAGGGGATAATCGTTGGCAACAAGGTCCAATGTCGATGGCGTTGAGGGGTTCACGATGGATGCGGCGCATTACCTCTGTAAAACATCAAAAAAGTCGCGGACGAGCGATTTGCAATGCTGTGACGAGTGCAGGCCATTAGCGGATGGCTTGGTTGGCTCGGCACGGTTGGGGTCGGCCGCATCGTCGTCGCTGGATTCGCGTTTTCGCTTCGTGGAGGAATTGATTGAGGAAGCGGGCGAGTCGGGACGCGACAATGGTGCGACGCCATTGACCTGGGGCGCGATAACTGCAGGTGAAGCCATGGTTGACGGGCGGGAGGCGCAATGCCCGCGGAAGGCAAGTTGCGGGATGGCAGCTGTTGAGGATTTTTGACCCCTGGAGGCGCGAGGTGGGATGGCTCTCTTTTTTTTTTGGAGTGGTCGCTGTGGTTCAGCCGGGTCTCGTCGCGATTCGCGTCTGCTGCGAACTTGGTGCTTGGTGCGTGGGACCGTCCAGGTCGCTTGCAGGGCTTAAAAGTTTTGTCGTCGGTGGACCGGCACGAAGGGGCAAAAAAAGACGTGCAATTCGGGTGCATGCGATGCAGAGACAATTTCCAGGTTCGATTCCGGCCGTGGATCAACTAGTTCTGCGGCAGCCGATGGCCATTTCTCCATAGAATAGCACGCTTCAGTATGCAGAGGAGGGAAGTCGGGGCTGCGGTTCTGAAGTTGGTCCAAAAAGCCAGCGCGAGAACGGGCCCGCGCTAGCGACGTTTTGGGAAACATGTGGGCCCCTGCGCCGTGGGATCCCTCCACGTGACATTGGATCGCTCTGAGTGATGCCTTGAGTGTTAACATCCAACTGACTGCCCGACGCAGGACCCGAGTTAACTAACACTCGCGCCCCCCACACCCCATCAGCGCCAAAGCCACTATACCTTCTCCTCTGAGAATCATTTCGAAGAGTTGATACACACAGTCATCAAGGTCTGTAGGCTCGATAAACCAAATTGGAGACGTTGCTCTTCTCTTTCCCTTCCCTCCTTTCTCTGTCCGCGCCTCGCACAGCCGCAACCTGCTGCAAGGGCGCTTCTGCAAGGGGCGCGGGGCTGGACACAGTCTTCGAACTCTGGTTTGAGGCAAACAAGACTCAGGTGGGTCGAACAGAAGGGCCAACAAGGCAACAAGAAGAATGCAGTGAAGGAAATCTGAGAGAGAGGGGGCTATTCGTACCGCTGGCATGATAAAATAACCCTTGCAATACTACTATGTACACCTTGATGGCCCCCACCCATTTTTACTTCATTACGTGTACTTAGATGCAGGGGATAGGTAAGCCTTGAGCCTCCTTGTAGAGCATGTGGATGATGGGTTTGTCAACGGGGTCGTTTGTCGTCTCCTCCGACCTTGGGATCCGGCATGCAGGAAGTGCAGTCTAAGCATCTCTACATATCGGGGTATTGAGCCGATTACAGAGAATAATCAACCGTTATCAAGCCTCCATTCTAACTCCAACCAGTCGTGAGTTGTCGGGGATTTTCGGTGGATTATGACCACCCTGGACCAAACAACCATCGCGCCCCGAGATCGCTGGTACCTCAAGTAGCTTAGACGCATGATTATCCCCGTTATGAGCAAAACCCGGCTTAACCACGAGCTGCCCCCCCGGTTCTCCTCCCCATATCGCTAGTCAGCTCCGCAAAGTGGTGGGTGACTCCGGCTGCGGGGTCCTGAATTTTTCTTGTCTGCTCCGATGCCCCTCCATGTCGGCCCCCCCACAAAACAGCTCCCCCAGCCCATATCTCTCCTTGCCTCACGAACTTCTTCCGTTCCTCCAAAACTTTCTCCTCCATTCGCCTCTTCCCGCCACCCATCATCAACCCCCTCTAATCTAGATCACAATGGCTGCCCCCAACGCCCCAGGCGCGACCTACGCGCTCACTGAGTCGCACAAGGAGGTTTGTTACCCAGCTTCTTCCTCCCGTCTCCTCTCGACCCGATCTTGGATGAACCGGTGGGCTGACTCACCGCTTGTAGATGCTTGAGAACTCCCTCCTCAGCTCCGACCCGGAGGTTGCGGAGATCATGGTAAGCAATTGGCCTCCCACAAATGGCAATGCGTTGCTGCACGCGGGGTATCAGCTAAACCCCCCTTCAGAAACACGAGATCCAGCGTCAACGCGAGTCCATCATCCTGATCGCCTCCGAAAATGTCACTTCCCGTGCTGTCTTTGATGCCCTTGGCTCGCCCATGTCCAACAAGTACTCCGAGGGCTACCCCGGCGCTCGTTACTACGGCGGCAACCAGCACATTGACCAGATTGAGCTTCTCTGCCAGAAGCGCGCCCTTGCGGCCTTCCATGTCGACGGCGACAAGTGGGGTGTCAACGTCCAGTGCCTGAGTGGCAGCCCTGCCAACCTCCAGGTCTACCAGGCCATTATGCCTCCCCATGGTAGGCTGATGGGTCTGGATCTCCCCCACGGTGGCCATCTTAGCCACGGTTACCAGACACCCCAGAGGAAGTAAGCAACATGTCCACAACGCAATGCTAACCACACACGAGATGGGTTATCCTAGTAAGTTTCCGTGCTGACAACCATTACCTCCAGGATCTCCGCCGTCTCGACCTACTTTGAGACCATGCCCTACCGCGTTGACCTCGAGACCGGTATCATTGACTATGACACCCTCGAGAAGAATGCCCAGCTCTACCGCCCCAAGATTTTGGTCGCTGGTACCTCTGCTTACTGCCGCCTGATCGACTATAAGCGCATGCGCAAGATTGCCGACTCCGTTGGCGCCTACCTGGTCGTCGACATTGCCCACATCTCTGGCCTGGTCGCTTCCGGCGTCATTCCCTCCCCCTTTGACTACGCTGATGTGGTCACTACCACTACCCACAAGTCTCTCCGTGGCCCCCGTGGTGCCATGATCTTCTTCCGCAAGGGCGTCCGCTCCGTTGATGCCAAGAGCGGAAAGGAGACCCTCTACGACTTGGAGGACAAGATCAACTTCTCGGTGTTCCCCGGCCACCAGGGTGGCCCCCACAACCACACCATCACGGCGCTTGCCGTCGCTCTCAAGCAGGCCGCCAGCCCCGAATTCAAGGAATACCAGCAGAAGGTGGTCTCCAACGCCAAGGCCCTTGAGAATAAATTCAAGGAGCTTGGCCTCAAGCTCGTCTCCGACGGTACGGATTCCCACATGGTGCTTATCGACCTCCGCCCCCTGCAGCTGGACGGCGCTCGTGTCGAGGCCGTCCTCGAGCAGATCAACATTGCCTGCAACAAGAACGCCGTCCCTGGCGACAAGAGCGCTCTCACACCCGGAGGTCTGCGCATTGGTACCCCGGCCATGACTAGCCGTGGCTTCGGCGAGGCCGACTTTGAGCGCGTCGCCAACTACATCGTCGAGAGCATCAAGCTCTGCAAGGAGATCCAGGGCGCCCTGCCCAAGGAGGCCAACAAGCTCAAGGATTTCCGTGCCAAGGTTGCCGGCGGTGAGGTGGCTCGTATCAACGAGCTGAGGAAGGAGATCGCGGACTGGTCCATCACTTTCCCCCTCCCCGTTGAGGGCTGGAGGAAGGAGGCCAACGCCTAAGTTCCCGCGCAGAAATTAGCAACCGCCATATCAGGGCGTAATTTAGAGGGCGGCGCGCCCTGTGCGATGCCGCCCTCGTGTTCAACAACCACAACGAACAGGAGACGGGCTTAGTTTTCCCATCCTACCTTCTTGTCATTTTAGGGTTTGCATTTAGAACGGAAGGCGGATCATACGGGATGGCGATCTCAACGAATCATAGGGTGCACGGGAAACAAAACGGGAATCGGAAAATCACTCATCTTGCAAGTCATTCATCAGGCGTTTGCATCATGGGTGTTGTGGTCATCAACTTACCAATTTCGGTGCCGGAGGGGAGGAGTCTGGTCTTTATACCTGGGTCTGGAGTTTAATGATATACGAGCTGCTTCAACGCGCCTTGGTTATACCCAATTTGAGACGCATCCGATGTGAACGTAGCATGTCAAGATCACCCGGTTTCCCACAAATTGACGAAACTGAAACACAGGAGAGAGCTAAAGACTGGGCCCGGACCAAGACGGAGGATGAGAAAGGCTCGGGAGAAGCCGCAGCTACCGCACGTGCATGTATATATATATATAAGTAGGTATGTATGTGTACAAACATCGATGGACTCGACCACCTCTAGAACCAAAGTACGAGCAGGTACCACGTCTTGAACAAAATTGACCAAGGCTAGCGCAGGTCTGGCCCTGGCAGAAGTCCTGTTCGAGCGAAACCACGTTTGTCCCCGGCCCCAGCTTATCTGTCCTGTCTCTCAACCGTCACGATCACCATCGCCGCCATCAACCCCCGGCTCCTCCTCGGGAGAAGAGCAAACGGAGGCGGAAGGATGGAAGGGGCGAAGAAAGTTTTCGAGGGACAGAGAAGAAGGGTGGTGGGACCAAGAAAGAGAAGATGAAACAGAACAAGTGACGATCACCCCAGCCCGTTTGGTCCCGCATGGAAGCACTTCTTTTCTTGTCTGTGCAATCAACAACAGCCGCAAAGGGCAGAGAAGAATGGGAAATTAAAAAAACGGAAGAGAAAAGAAAAGAACGAGGGATAGAGACAGCCTTGTCCACACGCATTATCCATTCCCGTTACGCGTCATATTCCCGCTTAGCCACCCATCCACCCATCCATCCATCCATCCGTTTGTTTCGTTTGCCCTGTCCGTCCAATCGTGCGTGCATATGGGGTAACTCAAAATACAAAAACCATACCGAAAATAGAGTGAAATGTTTTGGAAAAAGAAAAGAGAAAAGAGACTGGAGCAGAAAAAAAAGAACAAAAGTATACAGAGCCCGTCCTCTCGCCCCCAAATAAAGATTTATTACTCCTGCTCCAGTTACCGTTGCTCCAAACTTTCTGGACTCATCATACCCATTGTTCCATCATCCTTATCCGTCGCCTGGCTCGCTCCGTCCGTCACATCAGCCGCCAATCCCACCCCGTTACTCGTCGATGGCATATTCAACACCGGCCCGCCCTTGAGGTTCGACTGCGACTGCTGCTGTTTCTTCTTCTCAGGCGACACGCTGCCACCCTTGCCACCGGCCGCGGTCGCAGCGTTCAAACCATCCGTGATCTGCGCGGCACCGCTCTCCAGCTTCTTCTTTTTCTTCGCCAGCGCAATTTGCTCCTTGGGGCTGCGCTTCTGCGGTGAGACAATCTTGCCGGTCGCGCCGAGACGCGGGCGGGCGCGGCGTTGTTTAGGTGGGAGGTCCTCGTCCTCTACCAACGGTGTGTCACCGTTAGCATGCAGTTTGGCTAAGAAGAAGTTCTTGACCAGGCCGATCTGCTCCTGGATGTTCTCGCGCGTGACGGGTTCCGACGGCGGCAAGGGCTCGAAGAGATCAGCCGCGACTGGGCCGCCGACCGTCTGCGTCTGCATCTGGTACTGGTTACGCACGCGCGACTGCAGGAGGTGCAGCGGGACGGAAAGCATCTCGAGGCCCAGGTCCTTATCCAGCCCGAGCGCCTTGAACCCGAAGAAGTCCTCGCCGAGCTCCTCGGCAAAGTCACCGCCCACGAACTGCTCGCTGCCATCGTTGAAGGCGCCAGACCCATCCGCACCGCCGTCGGTGAGGGCAGGGCGGAGCAGGTCAGCGAGGTGAGCCTTCATGCGCTCGTGGATCTGGCCGAGCTTATTGCCCAGACGATCGACCTCGTCACGGGCGTAACTCTCAAGCGCCTCGACATCGTGGCCGTTCTCGTTGAGCGTGTGAAGAATGATCTCCTCGGGAGTGAACCGTGGCTGCGACTGAGCGCCCCTCTCCGCGTAGACGCCGGATGCACCCTTCTTCTCCGACTCACGGTAGACGTTGAAGGTGCGGATGAGCTTTTGGAAGTAGTCACCCGCAATATCCGTCATCGTGTCAAGTGCCGAAGGCTGCAGTTCTTCAAAACCGGCGTGGTAGAATATCTTCGCCACCGACCGCTGCATCGCGGACCTGCAAGTCTCTCCGGCCATGACGGGGCCCTCGCCAGCGAGGAAGGCCGGTTCGACGTCCGACTCGAAGAAGGGTTCTGGGTTGTACTTGGGGAACTGGTTGGTATACACCTATTTGTTTTATCAGAATGGTCAGTGGCCGGCATCCTTCCTACCGCGTGGGCTGACAATGGTTGTGACTTACATGAGTCTGGATCTGCATCTGTTTGATGACGCCGACCTTAGAACAGAGTTTACGGGTTTCCTGCAGCTGCCGGATATTGGCGTCGATCTTGCTCGTGAGACGGCTCTCAGGGGAGATGAAGTGCCCGGGTGGGATGAGTCGGAGCATGTCTTCATGTTGGTTTATGACCTGTCCCTCGCCGTCCTCGATCCACTGGAGCTTCGGATCAATGTCCGGGATGATGGTCAGGGGCTCATAGTACGACGGCACTGTTCGGTCGGCGTCGTCCTCCATACCCTCAGCCAACGTCTCGGGAGCCTTGGCCCCGTCCTTGGAGCCAGGTGCGGAAGCATCGAGGTGCGAGCCGTGGATGATGCCAAGAGCCTCGGCCTCCCTCCGGGACTTGAAGAAGCGGCGCATGCCGGCCTTCGTCCGGAGGAGGGCGGGCACTTCCAGGTTGAGCTTGTTGTGCGCAAACAGCTGGTAACGTTCCTTAGCGATAAGGGCACGGTCTTTCTTCGTGACCTGCTTCCAAATCTTATAGGCTTCGTCTTCGTAAGCTGCTTCCGCCGCTTCCCCAAGTGCCTGGCCAAGCGCCATGCCGTTCAGCGACGGGCCGTCAATGTCCATGGCGTCAGCATTACTAACACCTGAGTGACCGTTGGCGCCGCTGGGAGTTAGAGCGCCGCCGATTGGTGGTGTGCCAAAGCCATTGCTGCTATCAACCTCGGAGCCCTCGCGCTGGTTCTTCGCGAGGATTCCGTTCAGCTGCAGTAATGGCTTCTGATCCACGTTTGGGGTCCCCTCTTTGCCTTCTTTCTGGTCGGAAGGGGCTTTCCGGGACTTGTTTGCCCCTTTCGTGCCGGCCTTGCGACCCCCTCGAGACGACATGATCGGCTCGTCGTCATCGCTGTCGACAAAGTCTTCGCCGCCGTTTTGTTTCCGGCGCTCTTCGGCCTCCACTTCAGCCCTCGGCCGTATGGTGACATCTGGGATGAGGGGGACGAGTTTCTCGGCCTCTCTACGCATGCCATTAGCCATGCGGCGAAGTGGGTGGTTCATGTCGTGGTTGTAGCGCAGGCAGTTGTCCCAGATCAAATTGAGATCGTAGACGAAATCGGCCTTGGATTTGAATTGGAGACCCTTCAGCTTCTTGGTCATAGTCCCGAGGTCCATAGGCTGTTTGATAACTGCGTAGGAACATTGTCAGATACACGCTCGTCATGATGTGTGTGGAGACAAAGCGGGCGTCTTGCAAAAGGTACCAGGAAGAAACTCACAGTTATAGTAGTCGGGAGCATCCCTCTTGTTGACCCTGTTTAGGAACGGAGTCGAGTACTCGGTGTGGGCCTTCAGCTCGCTGAGGACCTTCTCAAGGGCCTCGTACAGTTCCTCTTGGCCAACGTTCTCCTCGCTAGCCCACTTGCTTCGGTTCTTGCGGACTTCGTTCATGAGCGAGCGGAGCTCAGCATCCGAGGCGCGCACTTTTTCGCGTTGCATATCGATCCTCGCAATGAGGTGCTTCAGAGTGAGACTCGACGCGCCGAGGTTGGCGTTGCTCAACGACCCATGGTTCGGCCCCGGCTGACTTGTGTGGCCTTGAGTTGTCGTCTTGTCCATCTCGGCTTGCAGTTGCTTCTCGGACTCCTCCAATTGTTGTTGCTCGAGCATGGCCGTCCGGTCATTTTCCAGCGTGTGAAAGAGGGTGTGGAAGCTCTGCTTAGCCGCCAGCTCCGTGGCGTTCCGTGCCTCTTCTAACTCCTTGCGCGCGTCTTCAGACGACTTGGCTTGTGTTTGCGATCCATCGTCCCGAGATTTCCCGGGGTGCCTCCCGGGCGACGGGCTGGAGTGGACGGGTGAACTCCCGGACTTGGACGGCGATAGTAAGGTCCTCGCAGCAGTGTCGTTGGTGTGCTTCGATCGGAAGGTTTGAGCCGCCGAGGTGATACGTGTTCCTGTGTCTCCGGCACTGTCCTCATCATCCTCTTCGTCGTCATCATCATCATCGCCATAATCATCTTCGTCAATGACGCGCTTCGCCTTCTTGCGGGGCGGTTCTTGTGCAGGTGCGTGGTCGGTCGCGAGGGGCAGCAGGGGTGTGGGGGGCGTAGGTGGGCGTTTGAGGGAGTCGAGGCCGGTTCTGTTGTACTGGCCATCGTCGCCAAATAATAGCGCGAGCCTTTCCTCGGTGCGCCGGAACATATTCGCGAAATCGGCGCGTCGTCGGTCATCATCTGCATCGGCAGCCTCAGGCATCAGCGCGAGTTGGTTGTTGCTCGGCGTCTGGTTGCGCGCCGGTCCATCATCCACAACGGGATGATGCAATCTGGCGCCGTTAGCCGAACCAGAGTTTGGCGCATGCCAGGCATGCTGGCCGTTGGTGATGGACATTTTCTTCCGGGTCCGGAATGGCTAGAAAGGGGCTTGTCGCTCGGTGGCCATGCGCCGGAAACGCGCTCGCAGTTAGCCAGCACCGGGGCAACCCAGGCCGTCAGAGTTACATGGGCAGAAAGCGCGGAATCGGGAGAGGTGGTATGACAAATATGGAGCCAATTCGAGATGAAATGGTGTTGTGCCGATGACTTCTGTGATGGTCGATTTTGGGGCGAGTTGGACGTGAAGTCGACTTCGGAAGCAGGCCGCTGCCGTTTCTGGACTGGGCGTCTCTTTTCCGTGGCTTTGCGCAGCAAGAGGTACTTGGCGGTCGCGGATTTCGCTTTGTCGCTTTGTTGACCGCTGCGATTCCCGGGCCCAAAAAATGTGACTTATGAAATGGGAAGAATCGATTATAAATTTTCTGTGCAATAGAAATCTTTCAATCCTCAGTTCAGCGTTCAGACAATAGGTCGGAATGCACCTCGACTTGTACCAGCGTATCTCTGACGCGACCGGCCTAGTCACGTGATATGTCTACGCCGAGCGAGCGACCGAGCGGAGCGCCCAATGCATGTGGAATGATTCCCTCAGGATTCAACAGCAGATGATACCCCAAGACCTGACAAAATAATCGCAACTATCAATTGTGCATCCGGCGGTATGCGCGCTAGGGAACGGGAGCAGAGGATTCAACAATCGGCGCGGAGGTCTTAATTTTGCCAGGCAAATGGTCTTCCTATTCAATGTTGAAAGGGATCGCGAGCGACAGAACGGGAAAGATTCTCGAGACCTATCAGAGGAGGCGGCCAAAAAACCGCCGAGCCCCACTTGCCCGAGTTGGTGTTTCTCTGGCGTGCGTCAGCCCCAATCGAGGTACCTACCTTTGGGCCAATTGGTCCCATGCGTGACGGTTCTGCGCAGCGCCACAGGTCCCCTCGCATCTGAGGCTGAAGCTCTCAACAAGACGTGCTGCGGCCTGAGGTCGGTTCTCGTCCGATCTGGCGCTCGTCACCGACTTGCGTGGCTCTGGAACCAACCTCCAGCCAGTTTTCTTTTCGTAACAAACGAAGTCATGAATTATGCCGGCAGCCAATTTGTGACCCGTCCTCCCCGATTCGTATATTCGCATTCCAATCACCAACCACAATTCATCTCGAATTAGAACAACTTAATAGCCATGAGGATACGCCTTCCTTTTGCAGGTGTGTTCTCCCTTCGTCTCCTGTCATGAGCACCTAGCAGCAGATCCATTGGGGATGCGATGCATATGATGTGATGCGATGCGATGCCACCCAACAATCGACCGACGACTGGCCTATTCCTGATTGCGAACCCTTCAACTCAGAGCTCTGCTACCCCGCATTCACACTCGAATTCTCGGAGCCCATTGCCATTTTTGTGACCGGCTTTAGCTTGTGGATGAAGCTGACATCTCCTCTTTCTTCCCTTAAATAGGCGTCTTCGTCCTGCTGCTCCTCCTCGCGGGGTATGCGGGGTTGTCCTCGCTGCAGCTAGACGCCGGCACGCTGCCCGTTAACGACAAGGTGCTACACCTCCTCGTCTTCTTCGCCCTAACATTAGCATTTTACTGGGTCATCGACACAACGCGCCGGCGCACATTACACATAACACTGCTGGTATGTGTTGGCGGCCTGGGCATCGGCTCCGAGTTCCTGCAGGCGGTGCTCCCAAACGGCCGGTCCTTCGACATTCTCGACGTCGCCGCCAACCTGGTCGGCTCACTGGCCGCGCTGGGCCTGTGCGCATGGTACCACAAGCGCATGTTGGAACGCAAGAGATTGAGAAAGTACACGGCTGTCCCGTCTGGCGAGGCCGGTGAAGAGGAGGATCTCGAGCTGGGCGAGGGTCCAGGCCTGGGCGGCGCCAGGCGAGACTCCGACGGCCATGAGGAGGGCGTCATTGGCGACTCTGCTGCTCCGCGGCCCACAACAGGAACAACTCTAGAGGAGGAAGTCGATAATTGGGACGAGAATGCCGTTGATGCCTGGGATGAAGATGATGAGGGCGATGTTGGCACATCCGCACCCACGGCCGGAAACGGGAAAGACACTGCTGCGGAACCGGCGGTTGGACGTGACAATACAAAAAAGCGTTCGGATTGATGGATCGATTGGCAGACTGATTAATTTATACGCTTCGGGAAACAGTACAGGCTCTTTATGGGGTAACAATGTCAATGGCGGCGTTCTGCTATCACTTCATTCACAGTCCCTCTTTATCACCCTAGATTAGGCCCCGGGCTGGTTGGAATACGGTGTTTCGGTTAGGCAACGAATGAGCTGTATGATGAATGCGAGCATGAGAGTACAGCGATTATGACATAATTGGGACACCGAGTATCCGTACCTACGAGATATCGACTGGCTCTTCCAATATGAGCAAAGCAACATGTGCCACTAAAGAATCGATTTCACCCCCAACGTGGCCAGTTCCTGTTTCTAGAAACCAAACCCCTCTTTGTGATACCAAACTGACCGCCCCTTGTTCACCCACACTCCGAGGTGCATCCTCAGCTCCCTGGCCATCTCTGCAGGGCCACACACCAGCACAGCAACCCGCTCTTCTTGGCTGTGCTTGAATAAATCGTCGACCAACTTCTTCAGATCCGGCCGCTTTAGTTGGTACTGCGCCATGCCCCGGTCCCCGCGGTTGTCTCGGCCCACGGTGCTCATCTCAACCTCAGCCCCTGCGTCACCACCATCCCCTTCGCTATTACCAGCGTTGACCGTGGCACCACGATGGCTACTATGTGTCCGCCGCCTAAGAGACTCGGTTCCCTCAGGATCGGCCGCTTCGCCCGTCACGAAAATGTGAACATTATCGTCCTTCCACAGCGCTCCAGCTTCTTCCCCGCCTGTGGTCATATCCGCGGCCCATGTGGCGTCTCTGGCGCTCCGAACAGCCCACACCATCTGCGCCTTCGTGGTCGGACTCTCCTTGACGACGGCCCGGTACAGCGGAAGCGTGAATGTGGCGCCGACGCCCCCCGCGACGAACAGGATCCGGTCAAATTTGGAATAGAGGAGTGAAACGTGGCGCTCGGCTGCTCCGTAGGGACCTTCAATGGATAGGGGGATTGTTTCCCGGGTACCATTCCCGGCCCCGTCCCCTCCTCCGGCGGAGCCCGCGCTGGCACTTGTACTCACAGCACCACCGTCTGAGCTCGCAGATCCATCTGTAAAACGCTTTAACGCCGTGGTCATAGGCCCTCCGTAGTGTCGCGCAACCAGGGTCAAATCTCCACTCTCATCCCCATCCACAGCGGCTACGGTAAATGGGTTGAAGAGGAACTCGAACAATAAATGCGATATCGAAGCGCCGCCGATAAACTTGCGAGCTACCACTGGAACGTTCAGGTAGATGTGTGCGCCAGGGTGGGCGCGGAATCGGTCAACCTTAGAAGGCGGGATCTTGGCCGAGATCTTGACCAGGCTCGTGCCGGAGATGGATTCCAGAGTGGCTTGTCCCGTCACGGTGTCCAGTTTTCGGGAGACCAGATCGACAAAGAAGACGCCAAGGGACTCAAGTAGGTACGCCCTCGCTGGCGGGGCGTGTATCATGATCTGGATAGGGATGATGATGGCCGCAATGAGGTGGACGATGAAGAAGAGCCGGTACGAGTACCGCCGGACTGGGTGAAGGGCGGTCGAGAGGATGAGAAGAATACCGGAAAAGGCCAAAACGCCAAAGAAGACGACAGGTTCAGCCAACCGGTACAGGCGATTGGTCTTAACGAAGAAGTTCAAGTACAGCGCGACATGGAGAGATAGCAACCCGCTGGTGATACGGGCCAGGACACGATGCCAGCGGTTGACCCGCTCATGGGAGGTTTGGAATAAGTAGGCGACCGGGTTCAAGGACTTCAGAGCGAGGAGGTATTGCAGCGGCCATTGCGAGACGGCAACGAGGCCGAGGCGCTTTGTTAAGTGGAGGTAGTCTATGAAAGGGCGTTCGTTAGTTAATCACTTAAATTGTGGTCTGCTCGTTAGCCAGGTATGCAGTTGGGCAGAGCATACCTTCTCCCGTCTCCAGGGCGCTGATAAAAAGCAGCCAGGTGGTCCATAGCAGCCCGACAATCCATTCTGGCAATTAATACATGTTAGTTCAATTGCTCTTGGTCCCAAACCTCGAATCTCAACTTAGAGCTCCATATAGGAACAAAGAGGTTACCAACCTCGCCGAACTCAATGTTTCTAGCCCCAACTCTCGCAAAATATCATGAGGAGCACCTACGATCACGCTGGCCTAATACTAACCCAGCTAGCACGACATCCTCGCCCAGCCACCACCGCAACCTACGCGACCGCGCAGCCCAGACGCCCGCACTGCTCAACCGGCGTTCCTTGAGCACCGGAGAACCCGGGACAGCCTCATACTGTCTCCCTGCCTTCTTCGCGTTCAAGCCTAGCCAACTCGCGTGTGAAATGGCTTTCCTCAGCCGATACAATAGCACAGCGGTGAGGGGAACTAAGGCAGAGAGCTGGGCGTAGAGGGCATATCGGTCCAGGGTCTGGCGGCGGTCCTGTTTCTCGGTTGGGGACAGGTCAAGGAATTGATAAGTGAGCCAACCCATTGTGAAAATGACGAGGGCGTCTGTCGCGTCGCGTCGTTTACTGCGTAGTTACGGGATTAAGTCGCTAGTTTACACATCGGGATAGGTGTTCATCCATTTGAAATTGGCTCGACCAGCGGATTTCTTACGGATGAAATAAGATGGAGGTGCTGTTGGAAACTCGGGCGTTTATGGGGGGCCGGGCGAGGTGCTTAGGGGGTCCCTGTGTGCCGTCAGGTCCCAGTGGGGCCGTATTTCGTGCTACGGGACAGGGGTCGCGACGGAGGTTGGTGGGGAGGTGGGGAGCTTCACCACTGTGACCGCCTCACCAACTCGAGGGCTGCGCTTCCGTACCTAAGATTTCAATGTTTGCCTGATCTCTTTTTCCTTCGTCCCTTTCCCCTATCCTACTTCTTCCTCCCATTATCCTGCGAAGACAATAATGCGGCGGTAACCTCTCAAGAGGGACCATTCATCGATACGGATGTCTCAATTCTTCGTAACCCCGGGACCACCATCACAGACGTGATTTGACGGTCTCAAATGCGATGCACTCAATCTCGACCTCCGTTCCGAGGGGAAGTTGGTGGACAGCGACGCAGGTCCGACACTTTTATCACCGAAATAAGTAAATATAAGCCGGGTGGACCTCAACAACTTGGGGGGTGTTAATCATGAGTCCGGGGTCTCACCGGTCTAGGTTGCCAGACAAAAAACTCGTCATAGGCTTGGTTCATAGCGGCAAAGTTGCCCATATCTGTCAAGAAGACATTGACCTTGACGACGTTTTGCAAACTGCTCCCCGCAGCGTCAAGGACGGCGGAGAGGTTCTTCAGCGCTTGGCGCTGGCGTTCACGGAGTCAGCAAGAGGTATTCGTGAGAGGTCGATATCATCCATGTCACGGCCGAGGAAGGCACCGACGCACCGTCCGTTCTTTGACATCGCCCTCGACAAACTTGGACGTGTTTGGGTCGACGCCGAGGGATCCCGAGCAGTACACCATCCCGTTGTATTTAACTGCTTGGGACAGTTGTGGGATCGGCTTGGGGGCCTTGTCTGTGAGTACAGCGGCCGGGGGCGCCATGATGTCTGTTAATGAATGCTTTTCGAGCTGTCGTTGATGTCGGGAGTTTTGTCCGAGGTACAGGTGAGGAAAATGGTCGGTGGTTCATGTTAGCTGCAAGCCCCACTCAGTGTCATGTAATTTACACCGAAGGTGTAAGCGGATCAAAGACAGGCCATGTTTCCTCTTCTCCTCGATTTGCCGTGCCGTTTTTACGTTGAATCCACATCTTGGTCTTCCCAGACCGTTTCACCAAGGGAAATTCGACTCTCCCCCGGTTCGAGAATAAAAGGAGGTATTATATTGGGGTGTGCGTCAGGTGTTTGATGTATCATACGAACCCTACAAGGCTAGCTCCCCCCTTTCTAGACCCAAGCCCCTACTATGAAAGAGCTTGACCGTGGTTTTGGAAGTAAACGAAGTCCTTCTCCCATTTTTAATGACGGGAAACTTCAGGTAGTTGGAGAGCTTGAATTGTTCTGACAGGAGCATTGATCGGAGAGGAAAATCTTGTAAACTGTTAGTCGAAGATGGGTGAAAGTTGATGATCTACTTACCTGAAGCAGCACTTGAGTATGCTCTAACGAGTAACACATAAAGTCATATTTATCCTTCGCCTAACGCCTTGGACAACGGAATCCTTTTCTGAACACGCTATTCACGTGTCTTCTGCTCACGGAGAACCCGGCGAAGTGTTGAGCGGGAGATTGGGGTATCCAGAGTGTTGGCAAGCATAGCATTCGAGAGCTGTGGTTTTCGTCGGGTTGTTTGGATGATATATCGTTTCTCGCTAGGTGTAAGAACTGGCCGACGGCCGCTGCGAGGCTTGGAATCTAAGGTGTTGGAAGATTCGAAGTTTTGAATCGCTCGTTGTACAACGTTCCTTGTGACGCCGAATGCGCTTGCGACAGCCGCCTGACTTCCGACCACAGGCAACGGTAGTCACCATTGCTGCACGTGCAATTGCAGTGACCTCTTCACCAGGCTTGCGCCCAGCAGTAAATTTACGGCCAATTGACTCTAAATCCAACATGTTGTGACGGAGTTGTGGTGATTGATAAGTAGAGAGGTGTGTCAGTCGCGTGTTGTGTTTCGCGTTTAATTGATGTGGGGTGCACTGCACTGTGTACTTCGACTGTAACGTATAAACCATTTCGCGTGGTTTCCACCCAATGCTGCGGTGCAATTACGTTATTTGATTACAGTCCGTCACAATTACGTCGGTAACAACACAGTTGCGATCTGGAAACTTTCACGTACATGGAAATCGCCGTCTCAACACCATCCGCAAGCATCCTTTTCTTTCTCTCCAGCATTGCAACTGTCTCACGACCCCGACCGTCGAATCGATGCGACAGCGCAGCCTACTCAATGGCGCATTGCGCGCCAATGTCTGCCAATTTTCCCAGGCATCGACACCATACACATTCAACCCGCGCGCGGCCGTGATCGCGGCCGTCGTCTCCCGACAATCCTCGCGGTCCCAGCAGCCACGACAACGACGCTATGCCTCGGACGCAGCCGCCCACGATCACCGCCACCAAGGCCCTTCTCCTTCTCATTTCTCCTCGCCATCCTCGACTACTACAACAGCGGGGTCCGCCAGCGCCAGCAGCAATACAGCCCTGAAAACAACACCTGTCCACGACCTCGCACCGTCAGCCGCCAACCCACCCGCAACAACCCGCCCGCCACCACTCGATCTCCCCTCGCGGCCCGCCGGCACGACCGGCCCGCCTTTCCTATCCCCAGCCAACTTCTCGCACCTCTACGCCACAGGCATGACCTACGTACGATTCTACAAAACCGGCCTCAAACACATCATCACCAACACCCGACTCGTCTACAACAAACCCACCGCCGACGGGCCCCCGGCCCCGCTGCCCTCCACCCGCGCCCACCTACACCTACGCCAGCGCTGGTCACACGACGTCCGCCGGCTCCCGCTGTTCGCACTGATCCTGCTCGTATGCGGCGAGTTCACACCGCTGGTGGTGCTCGTGCTGCCCTCAGCGGTGCCGCTGACATGCCGGATCCCGCGGCAGGCGGACAAGGTGCTGCGCGGGGTGGAAGGGCGGCGGGCCGAGGCGCGAGCTGAGCTGGCGCTGCTGGATGGGACGCGGGAGCAGCAGATTGAGCAGCGGCTTGTGTCGCCTGCGGTGCTGGCTGGGGTCCTGGGCCTGCGGGCGCGGGCGTGGACGCCCGGGTTTGTTGCGGCGTCGCGGGTGGAGAGGCGGCTGCGGTTCCTGGCGGTGGATGATGCGTTGCTGGTCCGGTCGGGCGGGGCCAGGGCGCTGGTGCCGGAGGAAGTCCGGTTGGCGTGTACGGACCGTGGGGTGGATGTGTTGGGGCGGAGGGATGTGGAGTTGAGGGGTGTGTTGGAGCGGTGGTTGCGACTGACAGATGCGAGACGGCTTGGGGAGGACGGGCGGGAAAAGGCCGTCAGTCGGTTGCTGTTGAGCCCGGATCATGAGTGGGGAGTATGATTTGTATGATGCGGGCTGTGGTGTATACAATCTGTATGACTAGGGGAAAGACGCGGACCGCGACGTGTATGATGTACTACCTGTACCTTACGAAGCTATGCATGCGATGGGGATACCAGAATGGACGAAGAAAGGCTAAGCCTAGAGGATAGACTAGAGTTGCTCGTACATACACACATTCACGACGCGCACACGATACACGCCCGGAGACCCAAAGACGTCATGATACCCTCTTGACTGGCGGTAGGTTCTTTCGAGACTCGGCAAGCTCAGCTGCCGTGGAGTTTTGGCAGTCAGTTGAAGCGGGCTCCGAGAGCTCGCCATTTCAGAGCCTCGTGGGGGCCAATATTGCGACATACACTTAGCGGATGAACAATTCAATGCTTACCAAATTCCGCTTCGGGACGATGAGGAGAAACGGTGTCGAAGGGTCAAAATGAAGGTCGTGATGAGGACCTTTCGCCTTGGTTACACATGGTGACGACGCTCTTCTTGCTCATTTTTTCTCCATTGTATCATTCCCCCCTCCCCCGCTTGGTTCAATTCGCGGAAACCCAAATATTCAAGCTGACTTATATACATTCAACAGTCGCGGTCTGACGACGCCCGCTGCAATAGGACTGCGCGATCCCCAAAATAGGCAGGTCGACGGGCCAAGTGCCCGCGGGCGCATCCTAAATCCAATCCTTGCCCGCACTCCGCAATGGAGTTGATGCGACTCTGACGCGGCTCACATCGTCATCCATCCACATGCCTTTTGAGTATCGCGATTGAAACAACCTTTAAAAGACTTTAAGGAAGGGCGGGTCATTTGAGGAGAGTGGCTGTACCAATCTCAAGAGGAACGCATCGCGTGGTCTTTTCTCTTTTTTTTCTCATTTCTTAAGTGCACTTGATGTGCTAGTATCATACTGTTAAATAATTGGTACCGTCGACCATGAAGAGAGGGACTCTCGTCAGCAGCGGCTTGGTCTGCGCCTTCTCCTCCCTCATGCCGGGCGCTCATGCACAATTTCCACCGCCGAGAGAGGGCATCACGGTGGTGCAGTCCAAGTTCCACGAGAATCTCAGTCTCTCGTTTAAGGAGGTGTGTTGCACTCTCAATAATGGGACGAATTACCCATCTATCATGATCCCCACCTCTACAACATGAAAATAAATGGACTAAAAATAAAAATAAAATGATATCAGCCCGGTATCTGCGAGACCACTCCTGGGGTCAAATCGTACTCGGGCTATGTCCACCTGCCGCCCAACTTTCTGGGGAGTGAAGGGCTGCAAGACTTTCCCATCAACACGTAGGTGGCAAGCACCCCCAATAAGACACACCCAGACTTCGAACAGTAGGTATTTTGTGTCCAATATTGATTTGCTAACCACTCCCTTATATATTCTGCTCTTTTTAGATTCTTCTGGTTCTTCGAAGCCCGCAAAGACCCCGCCAATGCACCGCTCGCGATCTGGCTCAACGGCGGGCCGGGCAGCTCGTCGATGATGGGCCTGCTGGAAGAGAACGGGCCATGCTTTGTCGGAGCCGACTCCCGGTCGACCTACCTGAACCCGTGGAGTTGGAACAACGAAGTCAACATGCTGTACATCGATCAACCCGTGCAAACGGGATTCTCGTACGACGTGCTCACCAACGTGACGGTGCAGCTGAGCGAGGACAACCCGTCCACCCCCATCATCACGCCCACGGATTTCGGCGGCGACGCCATCCCGGCGACCAACTACACGTTCCAAATAGGCACGGTCGGCAGCCAAAAGTGGTCGCAGACCACCAACACCACGGAGTTGTCGGCGCACGCCCTGTGGCACTTCTTGCAGACATGGCTGACTGATTTCCCGCACTATTCGTCGGCTGACGATAGGATCAGTCTCTGGGCCGAGAGCTACGGCGGCCATTATGGGCCGGGCATTTTCCGGTTCTTCCAGACGCAGAACAAGAAGCTAGCCACGGGGAACGGGAGGTTGAAGGAGCGGTATCCCGGCGCGCGGCGGTTGCATCTTGATACGCTGGGTCTGATCAACGGCGCGGTGGACTGGGAGATTCTGGCTGAGGCTGGGATCGAGTTTCCAGTGAACAATGTGAGTCTCTTTGTTTCTCAGGTTTACGACCTCTTAAACACTTGATTCCCAACCCCAACCCTAACCCCCAGGCCCCTTTATTGTCTATATAAGTTGTCCGCTCCAGCGATGGTACACTAACCCCCAAGCCTAGACCTACGACCTCCAACTTTACAACAGCACCTACCACGCCGCCCTCCAACACAACTGGACCCGCCCCGACGGCTGGCGCGACCGACTCCTCACCTGCCGCTCCGCCATCGGCCCGCACCCCATTCCCATCCACACCGACCCCTCCGACCCTCCAGCCCCCCCACCCCTCAACGACACCATCACCGCCTTCTGCTCCAACCTCAGCCACGATCTCAACGCCGCCCTCCTCGACACCTTCCCCTCCATCTCCGGCCGCGCCCAATTCGACATCGCCCACCCCCGCCGCGACCCCTTTCCCCCACCCCACCTCTACGGCTACCTCACCTCCTCCTCCACCCTCGCCGCCCTCGGCGTACCCGTGAATTACTCCGCCGTCTCAGAAGCAGCAAACCAGGTTTTCGAAGAGAGCTTCGATATCCTGCGGGGCGGGTACCTCGAGACGCTTGCGGCGTTGTTGGATGAGGACGTCAATGACGACGAGGAGAAGGTCCAGGTGCATTTGGTGTATGGCGACCGGGACTATGGCGCGAACTGGCTGAACGGGGAACGGACTAGTCTGGCGGTGCCGTGGCGCGGGGCGGAAGGGTTTGCGGAGGCGCTGTATACGCCGCTGGTGCTTACCCCGGATGAAGGCGGGGATGAGGACGAGGATGAGACATCATTTGGTCTCACCCGGCAAACGGGGCGCTTCAGTTTCACCCGTGTCTTTCAATCCGGCCACGAGGTGCCCGCTTACCAGCCGGCGGCGGCCCACGCCATTTTTCAGCGGGCGAACGCGCGGCGGGATATTGCGACGGGCCGCGTGCGTGTGGATGAGGAGTATACCACCGACCGCGGGTTGCGTGACGCGTGGACGGTGCGTAGTACTGTGCCTGAGTTTCCGCGCCCGCGGTGTTATGTGCTGGTGCCGGGCAGCTGTGAGCCGGAGGTGTGGCGGACTGTGGTGGATGGGACGGCCGTGGTGAAGGACTATTTTGTTGTGGGACGGCGTGGGGAGGATGGTGGGGAGGTGTATTTTGAGTATGAGGATGACGGGAGCCAGCGGGTTGTGGAGAACGGGATGGATAGCGAGGAGCTGTAAATGACGGGCCCGTATAACCGGGGGGGAGCGTGACTGGTAAAGTACACACCTGTGACTCGATTAGCTCGAGTAGGTAGTACCTAGCCTAGGCAGGATACCGTGTAATGACCGGGTTACGGGTATCAGGAATCAGTTGGTTCTCAACCACTACGGCGAGCGCAGCTGGTATTTGCCCAAGGGCTTTCATCTTCAACGGGTGTATTACACTACGTACGTACAATAGCAAAATGCTACGGTAGAAAAATATCAACCGGTACCCCCCAGCCCGACCCATTTCCGCCGCCCACGACCCAACCAAGTCCCGGTGCGTAACAAAAAGACAGTCGTACCGTGCCTAAACGCCTTTGAGGCCTGCTGTAAAAATAGTTTGAAGAAAAGGGAAAGGCAACCAAACAATAAAACAACGGACAGAAAGAGAAAAAAGGGAAGGAATCGAAAACGCCGAGACTGCCTAGGAAATGGAACCCGGACTTGTCAACCGTTTGGTCCGATCGCAAAAGCTTTTTGGACGCATTCTTCCTTAAAATCCTCCTTTCCCCTCTTTTCTGCCTCGATGGGTTTTTTTTTTCTGAAAACAAAAAAACAACGCCACAGAATACAGGTGCTCTGCTCTCTATACATTGTAAACCGCCAGGTAATGGCTTTGGTCCCAACAACTACCTGTTTTATCCCATCTTAGCGAGCACTCCGCTTCAGCTGATCCATGATCGTCTGGACCTGTTGCTGTGTCGGGTCCAAGCCCCCATACCCGCCGGGACCAATACCCGCGGGATGCGCGCCATATCCGTGCGGAGCTCCATACTGGGGAGCTGAGACGGGTGCTGGCACAGCGGGTTGCGCTGCCGCTGCATTTCGCAGATTCCCTAACAGCGCGTTCATGTCGATCTGCGCAGCCGCGTTTCCAACCGCCGCATGGGCAGCAACCTGTGGAATGCCCGGGTATGGCTGTTGCTGTGGCTGGCCGCCTGGTTGTGGCGTCTGTAGCGAAGCCAAGAGTGCCTGGAGGGAGGAATTGTCGAGATTGCCGACCATGCTTGCGAGGTCGGGGCCCGGCGCTGCTGCTTGCGGTGGCCCAGGAGGAGGGGCCGTCTGTGGAGGATATTGGTAATGATAACCCGCAGGGGGAGCCTGTGCCTGGGCGGGGTGCCCGTAACCGTTGGGTGGCACATGAGCCGCCTGTGCCTGGACGGCGGCTTGTTGCGTTGCCGATTGACTCTTCTCCCTCGCCACCAATTCTGCCGCGATGGGCGGGTCTACGTCCTGGTACAGCTCGAATCGGACACTACTACCCCCGGACCGAATGAAGACCTGGATGGGGATCTTGCCTTTGGCCTGAGCGCCGTAGTCGAGATCAATGATGGCGTGTACGCCTTCGACAACCTGGCGCTGCAAGACCGTCTCGCGAGGGAACCGGGGATTGAGGTACATGACGTCGGTCTTCAAGCCCTTATTATGGAAGGCACCCTGCACCCAGGCCACAAAGTCGCGCGAGACCTCCTGGAGAAGGAGAATCTGGACGTCGGGAACATCGGCCCCGAAGCGGCGGGGCAAGTCGAACCGGTCTCCAGCGTCTGAAGGGGCCCGTCTGTGCGGGCTTGGGCTCCTGCGCCGGTATGAGTCGTCTCCGTAGCGGCTGAAGCGTTGAGGCGAGCGCGAACGACGGCGTTGATGGCCGCCAAACTCGCGGTCGCGGGAAAAGGTACTGTCCCGGCCCTCTCGATTCTCTCGGGCACCGCGGCGGTCATTCCGTCGTGGAGATGGGGAGCGCCCTGGACGATAGTCGTCTCGTCTCCAACCACCGCTGCTACGGTCCCCACCACCCTCGAAGCGCTCATTGCCGTGGGAACCCCGCGGCCCACCTCGGCGGTCTGGCGAACGGTCTTTGTCGCCCCCCTTCTTTTGCGTCCGGGAGATCTCAAGGTCTATCTAGTGGTTAGTCGGATGAAGAAAACCGGGAAATGTGGGAGGTTAATACTCACGAATCCTGCGTCCCCCGAGCTCGATGCCCTGCACACCCTGCATCGCAGCGTGGCCCTCGCCAATGGTGTGGTACTGGACGAAACCATAGGCGCTTTTTAGTGAGATCTGCGCCAACCGGCCGAATTGGTGGAACACGTCGAACACCTCGCGTTTTGACACTCGCTCGCTCGATAGATTCCCTACATCGTGGTGAGTGTAAGGCCCAGGATGTTGGGGAAGAACAATATGCGCCAAACGGGATGACGACAGGTGCGAGCTTACCAATAAAGATGCGGGAGCCTTCCGGAAACCTCTCCCACTTGGCTTCCGATGTGTATCGCTTTTCGTCGGCTTGGAACTGCTCCCAAAGCTGTTGGGACGATCCATCTCCACTATGAGGGGGCACGCTATGGTGGGCGTTGTTGTGGGAAGCGCCGCCAAATCCGCCATGCAGGGAAGAAACGCCGTCGTTGGCGGAATACGCGCCGTGAGGTGTGCTAGGGCTGCCTAAGGCTGCCGAGCCATTGTGGCCGCGGGACTGGAACGAGTAGTGAGTTGGGGGGATGGCGGGCAGATTATGTGGAGGGTTTGGGAGAGCGGGCTTGGGGGGTAGTGAGGGCGGGTGAGATACAGGCAGCGAGGCCGGCGGAGCTTGGACAGGAGCTTGTACGGGTACGGCCTCAGCAGGTACCTGGGCAGGTGCTTCGACGGGTACTTGGGCGGTGGTGATAGCAACAGGAGAGACTTGCGCTGGTGCGGCGGGGGGTGAGTCCGAGGCGGCGGCGTTAGCAGTGATGTCGTCTACCAGCTTCTGAATATCAACAGCGGCATCATCTTCATCCATCGGGGTGGGGGGCGCGCTGGCTGCGGTGGCTGTCTTGGAAGTAGGGGTGGCTGGGCTTGGCTTCTCGGCATCTTCGGTGGCAGAGGCTGCAGCGGGAGCCGTGGAGGACAATGGTACGCCGTTCTGCGTTGGAGATAGGGGCGTGCACGGCTTTCCAGAGCCGTTGGCTTGCTCGAATGGTGGGGCCAAGTCGTTGGTAGATGGGGCCTCACCATTGGTGTGGGACAGGGCCGAGGGAACAGGTGCGGTGGGCGCGGGCGCGGGTGCGCGAGGTGCGTGTTCAAAGGGGACAGCCGGGAGGGCGACTGCAGAGTCAGGCGGAAGCGGACTATTCATGGATTCTGGGACCATTGATACATCAGGCTGGGCGGCCTCGTGCTCCCCCACCTCAGCCTCAGCCTCATTCTGGCCCTCATGATGAGCAGCGGGGGAATCAAAGGTTTTGGCATAGTCATCGTTGGCTGCATCTGGCTCGGTCTTGTCCTGCTTTTGCCCCTCCTCGCCCTCGCCATAGTCGATGCTCTCGTCGCTCCCATCTTGCGACCCGTCGGACAAGTCCCCGCTGACTACGATCGTGTCGGGCGTCTCGTTCGATACTGTCTGTGACTCCATTGTGGAAAGTTGCTGGAGGGGAAACAGGGCAATGGCGGGATCGGCCGCGCTGTTAGTCGTCGTCGTCGCTGCTTGGTCTTGGAGGTTGGGAACCACCGTGCTCTGGATGGCGGCTGCGGGAGAGACTGGGATTGGGGAGAGGGGGGTCAGGTTGGCGGCGGCCACGACCTCGGGTGATTGATCCGACATCAAAATGCAGTAAGGGGGCGCCCTAGAAAGCCGCTGGGCTCTTGTAGGGGTGCTGGAATGATGGCGATGAGAGCGGTGGTCGCTGTAATCTATTCCGTGTCGTGGCTAGGTAGATACAGACTATGTGAGGACTAGACGTGGATTCACGACGGAAAAATTGAAGTTAAAGGAAGAAGTTGAATGATCAATCCAGGGCCTGGGCAGCGGGTGTGCGTGTCGGATGGTGTCAAAGTCGGCGAACAATCGGATACGAACAACGGGCGTGGATGGGAAGTTAGAAGCCGCCCCGCGATTGATTGCAGTGGGATCAGTTTGTTGGATGATGGAGAAAACAGAAAGTGGAAAAGAGAGAAGGAGAGTGAGGGGGGTTAAACCTCGGGTGATGTATTGATCGCGTCCTCAAAATCCACTTTCAGTTCCCGTGCGTGACGCGTTTTGATATGTGGGTGTGCAAACTGGGAGAAAGGAACGATGGAGCAAACTTTTTGTTCGAGGTTGAAAGTGGGAGACGTCAAGAGGGCGTAGGCGGTCAATGGTGTGTGCTAATCCAGGCACACGCACAAACCTAACAGCGATGTGGGGATGCGAGGACGATAAACCCCCGATAAGAAAAAAATATCTTTTCAAGCACGTCCTCCATCTGTGGGGGCCGATGAACATAAAGCGTATGTCCAAATTGTAAGAACTTACAAATTCTAAATATCTACTCATTCCCATGCCCTCGTATCGTCAGAATGGGGCCAGGTTTATGGCCAATAATAAAGGTAACATGTGTCAACCATGGGTATTAGATTTACAGTCTGTGTGCGCCTTATGTTGGCCGCTTCTTTGTCTTGAATATGTGCCTAAGCAACATGTGGTTATCGGGTCCCCTGCCGAGGCACGACAAAACACTTCGAGGCTCGACTTTAAAGGTGCAAAGTTGCATTGCTTCGTGTGTTGTGCGGTCACCACTACCAGGTGCGCTAGGTTGAAATTCCCCTCAACGCTCGACGTACCAAAGGGATGATGGTCAACCAATACGCTCATGTTGCACCCTTTCCCCGACTCCCCTTTCACAGCCCTGACTTCTAGGCACTGGAAGTCTGGAACCACCTGGCTCTCCAAAACCGAATGCGTGCCTGAAGAATTCACCAGCACAACATGGGAGCGCATCAGACCATTGCACGTCATCTATGGGTGTTCAGGCGGGCTTTCACAGCATCACCTCTAGCCTCTCATTTTCGCCTTCAGCCCCAACCCCGGCATGCTAGTATTAAGCCAGAGCTGCTGAAGGAAGCAAGAGAATGGTACGAGCGGTTTCAAGAAAGCAGTCTACCCCAAGGAGAAACCTCCTTTTCCCGGTCCAGCGGGCCGGGAGGACAGCATGTGAACAAGTTTGTGCCGCCGTGATCCTTGATTGTGCACCTGAAATATGTGTGTTGACGGGACGGGACCAGGACTGAAACTAAAGCAACAACGAGATGGTCCGTTACGGCGCTGCTGCGTGTTCTGCCGACCATCTTGCATGACGATATTCGCAGTTCCAGTTACTTCACCCAATGGAACGACTCTTTGACAATGCATGCCCAAGTCCACCGAAGCCGTGATGCGAATGTCACGGAAAACCGCAAAAAGCTTTTCCGAGAGCTCCAAGAACTGGGCAAACATAGAATTCCCAAAGAAACCTCTCCAACGGTTCTCAGACAACGCGAAACTCAGTAAGTGCAGACACGGGCCCTCGAGGGGCCTCCCTGCTCAGCTGTAATCCACGAGGTTGCCTTGTGTTATCCCATGTTAACCCAATGCAGAGCAAAAGCGGCCAATCAAAGAAGACTCGAAACAAAAAAGTTCCAAAGCTCAAAGAAAGCTTCCCGGCGGGCCTCTTTTGAGTAATTGGCCAAGCCTCCTCGGCCTGGGAGAGTTGGAGAGCTCGAGAATGAAGGCCCGAGCGTCCTGCATTAGGCGGTGAAGTCAAATGTGGATCCAGCAGTCCAGACAAACCGGCAGAATAAAAATAATTCTATAGCAGCGCAAGTTCCCAGCTCTATCGGTCGCATTGAATCTTGGGGCCCCCTCCGTTGTGATCGTCTTCTGTCCCGCCAGCAGCCGTGACCATGTCGACCCAAAAGACAGTGTAAGCAAGCCGTGAAGTTCCCCAAATCCTATGACTCTTTATTTGAATACTAACATTTCAACCCTCTTTTCTTTCGCGCAACCTAGAGACTCACGTATCCCCACCCTCATTCGCAATGGCCTCCAAGAGAAGAAGCGCAGCTTCTTCGTGGTGGTCGGCGACCGATCCAAAGATGCCATCGTCCACCTATACTACATCATGTCTAGTATGGATGTAAGACAAAACAAATCGGTGCTCTGGGCATACAAAAACAAACTCCTTGGCTTCACAAGTCACCGAAAGAAACGCGAAAGCAAGATCAAGAAGGAGATCAAGCGCGGGATACGCGAGGCCAATTCTGAGGACCCTTTCGAGCTTTTCATCTCCCTCCACGATATTCGCTATGTCTACTATAAGGAGACCGAAAAGGTTTTGGGTAATACATACGGCATGGTAAGCCCGAGCCCCCAGAAACTGTGAACCAATATCTACTGAGGGAAACGAGTCCAATTGACAATTTTGATTAGTGTATTCTGCAAGATTTCGAGGCCATGACACCTAATATTCTCGCGCGGACGATCGAGACGGTCGAGGGTGGTGGTTTGGTGGTGCTCTTGCTCAAGGGCATGAACAGCTTGAAGCAGCTTTACACCCTTTCTATGGACGTCCACTCGCGGTACCGGACCGAAGCCCACGACGACGTTGTCGCAAGATTCAACGAGCGTTTCATACTCTCCCTTGGGAACTGCGAGTCATGTCTCGTAATTGACGATGAGCTCAACGTCCTCCCGATCTCGGGCGGAAAGGGGGTGAAGCCATTACCGCCACCAGACGAAGATGAACCCAAGAGCGCGTCGGCGCTGGAGCTGGAAAAGATGAAGGACTCGCTGCAGGACACACAACCGATAGGCTCTTTGGTCAAGCTTGCTCGCACAACAGATCAAGCAAAAGCGCTGCTGACCTTTGTGGACGCCATCGCCGAAAAGACACTCCGAAACACGGTCACCCTGACCGCAGCCCGTGGTCGTGGCAAATCCGCTGCTATGGGTGTGGCCATTGCTGCCGCCATCGCGTACGGGTACAGCAACATCTTCATCACTTCGCCGTCGCCAGAAAACTTGAAGACGCTGTTCGAGTTCGTTTTCAAGGGCTTCGACGCGCTCGACTACAAGGACCATGCCGATTACTCCATCATCCAATCCACAAACCCCGATTTTAACAAGGCTATCGTTCGGGTCAACATCCACAGGAACCATCGGCAGACCATCCAATACATCAGGCCCCAGGACAGCCACGTTCTCGGGCAGGCCGAGCTAGTGGTCATCGACGAAGCTGCCGCCATCCCCCTGCCTTTGGTGAAGAAACTTATGGGCCCCTATTTGGTGTTTATGGCGTCCACGATTAGCGGCTACGAAGGGACGGGGCGGTCATTATCGCTCAAGTTGATCAAGCAACTGCGGGAGCAATCTGCAACCGGGGTCAGCGCCAACGGTGAGGGGGCGGTCGAGGTGGATCGGTCGAGTGGGCGAGCGGCCAAGGAGAGCAGCGCGGTTGGCGGGCGGTCGCTCAAGGAGATTACCCTCGCTGAGCCCATCCGTTACGCTCCAGGGGACAAGGTGGAGAAGTGGCTCAATACTCTCTTGTGCCTGGATGCGACAGTGCCAAAATCCAAGCTCAGCACGCAGGGCTGCCCGGATCCATCGCAGTGCGAATTGCTGCACGTCAACCGAGACACACTCTTTTCCTTCCACCCCGTTTCAGAGAAGTTCCTGCAGCAAATGGTGGCACTCTACGTCGCCAGCCACTACAAGAACTCACCCAACGACTTGCAGCTCATGAGTGATGCGCCGGCACACGAGCTCTTCGCCCTCACCGGCCCGATCGTCGAAGGACGTCTGCCGGAGCCTTTATGTGTGATCCAAGTCTCGCTGGAAGGCAAGATCAGCAAGCAGAGCATCCTGAACAGTCTGAGTAGAGGTCAGCAGCCTGCTGGTGATTTGATCCCATGGCTGGTCAGCCAGCAGTTCCAAGACGACGAGTTCGCTTCCCTGTCGGGCGCTCGCGTTGTCCGCATCGCCACTAACCCAGATTACATGTCGATGGGGTATGGCTCGAGGGCACTTCAGTTGCTGGTTGAGTATTACGAGGGCAAGTTTGCGGATCTTTCGGAGGATGGCCGCAGCTCCCTGCAGCGGTCTGTTCCCAAGGCCTCGGAGGCTGGGCTGGCCGGCGCCAGTCTGTTTGATGATATCAAGGTGCGGGATATGAATGAGCTCCCTCCGCTTTTTGCAAAGCTGTCGGAGCGCCGTCCAGAGAAGCTCGACTACGTGGGTGTCAGCTACGGCTTGACCCAACCGTTACATAAATTTTGGAAGCGAGCCTCGTTTGCCCCCGTCTACCTGGTATGTATCCCCCGAAGTACGTTTGTATGATATTCCCGCTGATCATGATCACTGTACAGAGACAAACAGCAAACGAACTAACAGGGGAACACACCTGTGTTATGATCCGGCCGCTGCAGGATGGCAATGACCCAAGCTGGCTCGGCGCCTTCGCTAATGACTTCCACCGTCGATTTATCGCCCTCTTGTCCTATAAGTTCCGTGACTTTGAGCCCAAGCTAGCTCTGACGATTGAGGAGTCAGCCAAGTCGGGTGCCCGACTCGACCCATCCACAACAGCCTCCGAAATCAACAAAGCTGACCTGGACTCGCTCCTGACACCATTCGACCATAAACGCCTCGAGTCGTACGCCAACGGGCTACTGGACTACCATGTCGTCCTAGACCTCATGCCCACCATCGCACAGCTCTACTTCAGTGGACGGCTGAAGGCTGGTCTTCAACTGAGCACGCTGCAGCAAGTGATCCTTCTTGCGATTGGAATGCAGCGCAAGGAGGTGGATGTCGTTGCGAGCGAGCTAGGCATTGGGACCTCGCAGCTCTTGGCTGTCTTCATCAAAGTGATGCGGAAGATCACCTCGCACCTCAGCTCGCTGGTCGCGGGGTCGATCGCAGCGGAGATGCCAGACCAGAACAAGGTCGGTGTGAGCCGAGAAAACGCCACGGGATTGCACGACGACGAGGTGGTCAACAGCAAGTTTGCACGCCTGGAGACTAGTTTGGAAGACGAGCTTGAACAAGGGGGTGACGAGGCGTTGAGCCAGCTACGAGCTAAGCAAAGGGAGCTGATCGACTCGCTTCCCTTAGACCAGTGAGAAACCCACGTCCTTTCCTTAATTGGAGCCATGTCAGTGCTAACCAGGTGTGTGTATCAGGTATGAGGTTGAGGGTGACAACGCCGCGTGGGAAGACGCAGAGAAACGGGTGCAGCAAGCGGCCAAGAGCGGGAAGGAGAATCCCCTCGTGAGCGTCAAGTCGAAGTCGAAGCGCAAGGCCGAGGAAGCGGACGGGCACGACGAACGGGCGAGTCGCGGTGAAAAAGGGCATAGCAAGCCCAAGAAGGCCAAGCGGGAGAAGCAGAGGTGAAGACTATGCCGATTTACCGGGGACATCGTAGGTTGTAAGAAGATCCGGACGTGTCTAACTTTAAAGATACCCAAGTCCTCCTTAAAGAACGAGGGATGTATATAATAGCCTACCTTTTCGTGGCAGCCCAGGAGGGTATATTGACCAAGTTGCCGATCTCCGTTCCTCTGATGTTCTTGGTACATGAAAAGATGCAAGATGTCAGACTGAGATGGATGTTAATTGGGCGGGAAAGGGTGGTTGGAACTGTGATTGGTCATGGATCACGAATCAGAAGGTGCGGTTGATTAAAGGATCGTACATAAGAATAATCGCCGCAGTGAGCTGAAGGGACACTGCGTCTGAAGCCCTTTCGCATCCGTTTTCCCTTTTTTTTTTTTTTGGAATCTCAACCAGGCCGACAAACGTCTAGGTTCCATTCACAACATCAACTATAGGCCGCTAGCCACCAGCACGACGGGTTGATTCAGGTACCTAAAGGTACCGTGGGCTACCCAATTGCTGTTTCAGGACTAATCTCAGGTACAATAAGTACCGTTCAGGTGTTCGTTACGTTTAGCGAAGCCTGCCCCGCTTGGCCGAGACCCTGAAACCGCAGCGACCCAGCCTCGCATTGCCTGCCTGGTCTTCCGCCTGCAAGTTCATCATCGTAGGACGACGAACAACACGTAGGACCCCTAGCATTTCACCCTTCCATATGGGGCGCCCTCTAACCGAGTCACTACCATAGTATTCCTAGCCTAGGTACCGAACCATCGACACGATCGTTGGACTTGCCTTTTGCGCGGGACAGCAATACCCCGCATTTCACAGTCTCTCGAATTGCCTTGTCCCTCGTTCCAGGTTGTTTCCAACGCGCGCGCCAATCGTTTGGCCTCCTTAAATCCAACGATAAAGGCGGCCCTGGTCTTGTCCCTCGATCCGACACGCAATACCACCATGAGCGCCGTCGCAGCAGCAGCGCCCGCGGGCGACCGCCAGCAGCCGCAGGTCCAACCTTGTCGGTACAAGGTGGGCAAGGTGCTCGGCGCCGGCTCGTACTCGGTCGTCAAGGAATGCATCCACATCGACACTGGGCGGTACTATGCCGCCAAGGTGATTAACAAGAGGCTTATGGCGGGGAGGGAGCACATGGTACGTCTGTGAAAGGATTGGGTAGAGTATCGTTGGTTCCTATTGTTCTCCGCTAACCTAGGGGAATGAACCACCAGGTCCGGAACGAGATTGCGGTCCTCAAGAAGGTCTCAATGGGCCACCAAAATATCCTCACACTTGTCGACTATTTTGAGACCATGAACAACCTCTATCTCGTCACCGATCTCGCGCTCGGCGGTGAGCTGTTCGACCGCATCTGCCGCAAAGGGTCATACTACGAATCGGACGCCGCCGACCTGATCCGCGCCGTGCTCTCAGCCGTCGCCTACCTCCACGACCATGGCATCGTCCACCGCGATCTCAAGCCCGAGAACCTCTTGTTCCGCACCCCCGAGGACAACGCCGACCTTCTAATTGCCGATTTTGGGCTCAGTCGCATCATGGACGAAGAACAATTCCACGTCCTGACCACCACCTGCGGTACACCAGGATACATGGCGCCCGAGATCTTCAAGAAGACGGGCCACGGCAAGCCCGTCGACCTCTGGGCACTCGGCGTGATCACGTACTTCTTGCTGTGCGGCTACACCCCTTTCGACCGCGACTCCGACTTCGAGGAGATGCAGGCGATTCTCAACGCCGACTACAGCTTCACGCCGATCGAGTACTGGCGCGGGGTATCCGACAGCGCCAAGGATTTCATCCGGCGGTGTCTGACCATCGACCCGACTAAGCGCATGACGGCGCACGAGGCCCTGCAGCACCCCTTCGTCGCCGGCTGGGCGCAAGGCGGCGAAGGCGCCGACAAAGGCACCAACCTGTTGCCGACCGTCAAGAAGAACTTCAACGCCCGCCGCACTCTGCACGCCGCCATCGACACCGTGCGTGCCATCAACAAGCTGCGCGAGGGCCAGGCTGGTGGTTTCATGAACGGCGCACGCAGTCGCAAACCGGCTAAGGCCGGGAACGAGGCCGGAAACGGGGCCGGGGACAAAGCACAGGACCTATCAGCCACGGACATCTCCTCTAACCCGCGGAAGCCCGACTCCGGTATCGCATTTGGCCAACAGCAACAGCAGCAGCAATTACAACCCGGCAATAGCAATGACAGCGGATACGACACTCAGACGCACGCGATCAACGCCGGAGCGCCCAATAACGGAAGCGAGGACGTCCATATGGAAGACGCTCCACAGGCAGTGCACATCGGCCAGTTGCCACCCACAGCTAACTCGGCACCGTTTAACGCGGTCCCCGACAGCTTGCGGCCTGGAAGCGAGGCGAACAGGGTGGTGGAAACGAGTAAGGGGCTTTGGAGCGGTGCAGGTGGCGGCGGAGGTGGAAATGGGCGAAGGTGATGCGACGAGGGTGGTTGGAATGTGACGATGATGACGACGGCGATGATCATGATCGCGATGGGGTTTACTATGTCGATGCTGATACCAGCTGGGTGCTTTATATACACGTGATGTTTCTTTGTTGGTTGCTAGCAATTTATCAGAGAGTGGATAAGAATTTGAAGCGGAACAGCTTGTCAATGGAGCAAACGTTGTCAATCCTTGAGTATGAACCTTCTTTGGCTTCCTTGTTGTGTCCTAGCTCATGTGTTTGCATGTTTGTCTTACACCTTAATGTCTTGCCGTGAGTCTGGCTTGCATGTGATGCTTCCCCCCGCCAGGGTAAAAGAACTATGGACTTCGGCTGGTGGAAGCTCTTGAATCCGTCAACGATGAAGTGCTCAGAATTCCTTGTGTATTATGCCGTAACCTTGTGACAGGGAAGAAGCCATTTCTCTTCTTCACCTACATCGAGTCCTCTAAACCGTTCGAACCTAAACAACTCTCTCCCCAAAACCTTGACGGGCGTGTCTCTCTCTCCGATAACCCGCTTCATTACTCTACCATGTAGCTGATTCCCGAGATTGTCCGGCACCCCGAGTGGCACTCGGCCGAAAACAGCCAAGCCGTTCGTTCCTTCGCCTCGTCAGGCACGGCGAGGGGGCGGGAAGCCGGAGGTTTTGGAAGTCCTTTGCGACCCCTCGCGGCCCATGCGAAGCCCCGAAGTCCGACAATTAGTGGGGCTGGAGAAAAGCCACACGCCCACATCCCGACGTCCTCTTTCAATGTCCCGGGAAGCGGGAGCTGCCTCGATGGAGGAATCATGTCTACGAAGTATGTCTGTACACTATCCGTACGAGGAGGACTACGAAAAGCGGGCGCTCGGTTGAGCCGAGCACATGTCATGACGGAGTGTTAGTTACCTAGTCAACTATTTACTTGCATTGTGTCTGTTCACGGATATGTCCAAAAGTTGAGTCCGACACGGCCGAGAGTACTTAAAAGGGAAGTGTGGGTTACTAAGACGGCTCGTCCCTGAGTAATCCCCGGTTAGTATCGAGTCGATGGAGAAACGGGAATTCTAGGAAGAAAAATAATTTCTTTCTGAATTTTTTCTTTGAAAAAAAAAAAAAAGAATTTTCGGTGTTCCAACTCCCAGTGGTTGGAACAGCGTGCCCGCCAAGCGGGATCTGCTCATTCTCCACCATGAACTGCCATCTTCGGCGTCTTGGCAAAGTCAACAAGCCCATATCCTTACCTGCCGCTTCCCAGGCCCACAACGCAAATCTCGAAACTGTCTTGTGATAAGTTACTTGATGAAGAAGCACCGTCTCTCTGAGGGCCCACGTCTTCATTCTTCTTACCAGCCCGAGATGTCTCGTGAAAAGAACGAATGGTTCGTACGGGGATCAGCAGGTGACCCCCTGAGAGAACTCGTCGGGCCCAGACTTTATTGTGAACATATACTCGCCGCATCGTGTCATCTGACATCTTACACCCAAAATTTGGCAAGTGTTAGTGCTGGGTACATTATACTATATTAGGGGAACACCCGCCATCCATTCAGTAATCGCCGCCTGGTATTTATTACAGGCACGGCTTCAGGAGGTTGTCGTGTGGAACCAGGCCAGGGTAACGGCGGATCGGGACCACGGTGTGATCTCGTCAAACATCGCGGTTCAAGGATGGGGAAACTCTCCGGATGTTTTTAAGAGGTGCCTAGAAAAATCCGAGGGTCGGTGTGCACCAGCACGAGACGGTCAGCAGGACGAATACCGGCAACCTGGTTGTTGGCATGTGGCTAGCAGGTCGATGGTGGTGGTGTTGACTTGCATTAATGAGCAGCCTTGCCAACATGAGTTAGTTAGTGGTGAATCGTTTGACAAATCCCCTGGCCGATCAGTGAGTTGCATGGTCCGCCAGATCGCTGCTAGCCTGGATATCCCATCGTTTGGTTGAATGATGAGTGAGATGGCTCACAAAAACCCATGCAACCCTGAGTGGAAGTGATGAGAAAGCTTCGATTCATTCTCATTATCCGTATAGCAACCTGGTTTCGCTGGGACGGCACAGCTAAGCAGCGCCAAGGCAGCGTCGTTAGGGCCTCTTTTCTTTCTTGCTGTTTCGTGGGCATTGTTGTCGCATTCGGGTCGAGTTGATTGCCTGATTACGGCTTGGCCAGAGGGCATTTTGGCGCCTGGTTGTGTTGGACGGAAGCGGCGGGTGGTTGGGGGACGAACCGAGTCTTTGTTCTCCCCAACGACCCGACGGCAAGCTGGCCATTCAGAAGCGAAAGCGAGACACGCGAGCCTCGAGACTGCCGGATAACACGGATAGCACGGATCGTTTGTCGCTTGGCGGGCCAGGGATTGGTGTGGTGAAGCCTGGGATTGGGCAGCGGCTCGTGGTGGAGTTCGCTCTTCTGGAGATTTCGGGGTTACGGGAACGAAGTACGAAGTAACAGTACGGATAACTGTCTGTAAACGACGGATTCGGAGAATACCCTAAAAAGCGGAGGCGCCGGGTTTTGTCAAATGCTTCGTCATACCTCCGGGATTTGGGGCGTCAGGCTGAGCTCTCGTTCCTTAGGCTTACTGTTTGGAATTAAGTGCCAGGATCAAAGGTGGAAGTCATTGCACACATTCGATGTGTTCCACGGCGTGAGAGGCGGTGCGATTTTGGCGGTACCTTTACATATCACGCGACAGTGAGCAGGGGCCATGCCAAGCTCCGTCAACGACGAGCGGGGCGGATCTTGGTTCGATTCGCTGGCCAAGTCAGTCACGCGAGAAAGAGCGGAAAAAGAAAGCAAAAAAGTGCAAGTGCACAGGGCAAAAGAAAAAGAAACTAACGCAAAGGTGAGGGGAGTCATTTTGCTGCTCCTTGAGTCGATGGTTTGGGAGAGAGCTGGAAGGGTGACAACGGCGATGATGGAATTGGTTCGGTTTCTCGGCGGTAACTGAGGGGTCGACGGTTACGTCGGACATGCGGCGTCTGCTCTGTCAGCGGGTGCGACGGAGGGTTCCAAGAGGCACAATGGTTTGTGAGACAAACCACCGGACGGGGTACTTGTTGGTTTGCAACGCATCGATGAGCGCTTGCCATTGATGCGATAAGAGAGCAAGATAGTTCTAGACGACGAGGTGACGGGGTCGCGTGAGAGGTCGCGTGCGCATCGCAGCTTGATATGCGGACGACTCAAACCGCGGGGTCGAGGTCGAAGCCGACGAACTTGTTCCATGGTTGCACAAAGCTCGCGGCCGGATGCTGGGCGGCTGATTCCTGATGGAGCGCGCAGCGCCATTTCACACCATTTTTCTGGTGGATCGGACAAGCAAAACTGGATGCCGGGCGGTTTGTCGGTCGGACATTCCCAGAAACCCGTGCCCAGAATTGCAACAGCATTGACCAGAAATAAACCCTGGCAGGCGGGGCAGGCCTTGGCTTGGCGTTTGTTCGCCCCAATGCTCGCCCTTTTTCCGCTGGCCGGATTTGTGAGCGCCTGCATATGAAAGCCGACTCACCCGGGCTTCCGTCCACCGTCATGAGCACCGTTACCCGCTTGCTTCTTGGCTGTACCATCCATCCAACACCGGACTATTACCCGAACCTCTCTTGTCTCACATCAACCGCCTTTTCCCACCCCCTTCCTCCACCAACATCGTCAACATCACCATCTCTCCCTCCTCCCCAACCCCATCACTACTGCCGGTTCTCCTCGTCCAGCGACACGGAAGCCCCAACAACGGCGTATAAAAAACTTCGAAGCATGTATTTGCAACGCCGGTAGCGATCCTCGAGACCCCGATCCCGGTTTTCCGAAGACCTTCCGTTCTGCTCACGAGTGAGCCCGGCCCGTCCTCCGATATTTCTCCGCCTCTTTCCCGTAGAATTCCTCTTTCTCTGTCCTCTTCTCTCTGCTGCCATTGCCCACCATGGCGGCCATCCAAGAATTTCCGGCCATCATCACCCAGACGCCCACCATGAAGCCAAAACTGCTCCCACTCCGGTGGCCCAGCACCCTAGCCCAGCTCAACCCGATACCACACAAGTACCGCTCGCCCCGCAAGCTGCGCCTACAACTCCGGGGCTCCAAGAGTGAGCAACAAGCCGATGATGTCACCAAGTTGCAAACTTCGTTCGATATGTCGCGGTCGCTCCAAGCGTTGCGCACGAGACGGTGGACGCTCTGGGACCTTCAGCATGCCGCCACATTGGGATGCATTCTCTTCTCGCTGGCGATTCTCCCGTCGGCACCATTCATAAAGACGGGTGTGCTGGTCGGGCTCGCGGCCTTGCTCCTCATGCCGATCACACAGCAGTTTTTCCTGCCGTCATTACCAATCTGGACATATCTGCTTTATTTCTTCTCGAGTCGGTAAGTGGTTTGGTTGGTTGAGCGTATTGTTCGGGATTTCTGGCCACGTCCCGTCGCTGCGGCTGGGCTGGAGCCTGAGAATCGGTGTTAGTAGAGAGGTCGGGGATGGTCGCTAACTGCTGGTGTCTCTCGCAGATTCATCGCTTCCGACTACCGGCCACACATCTGGGTGAAGGTGCTCCCTGCCCTGGAGAACGTCATGTACGGCGCGAACCTCTCCAACATCCTCTCGGAGCACACCCACCCCGTGCTAGATATCATCGCCTGGGTCCCCTATGGCCTTGGCCACTTCGCCCTGCCCCTTATCTGCAGCGTCATGATGTTCCTGTTTGCCGCTCCGGGAACCACCCCCGTCTTTGCCCGCGCTTTCGGGTACCTGTCGATGCTGGGCGTCACCATCCAGCTCATCTTCCCCTGCACCCCGCCGTGGTACGAGAAGCTGCACGGCCTGGAGCCCGCCCACTATGGCATGGAGGGTTCACCCGCCGGCCTGCGCCGCATTGACGAGCTGTTCAATGTCGACATGTACACGACGAGCTTCACCACCGCCCCGGTGCCCTTCGGTGCTTTCCCCAGCCTGCACGCTGCCGACGCTATCCTCGAGGCGCTCTTCATGCAGTACTGCTTCCCGCGCTTCCGCCCATTCTTCATCTTCTATGCCCTCTGGATTTCCTGGTCCACCATGTATCTCAACCATCACTATGCCGTGGATCTTGTCGGTGGTGGCATCTGCGCCGCGGTCGCGTACTACATCGCCCGTACCAAGTTCCTTCCGCGCCCACAGCTCGATAAGTCGACCCGCTGGGAGTATGAGTACGTTGAGCACGGCGACCGCCCGCGCTCTATCGACGAAGAGTTTGGCCTCGGCCGGTCGGGATATGGTCTCGGTTCGTTGAGGCGGCCTGGGACGGGCGATAGCGACGAGTGGACGCTAGGCAGCAGCTCGAGCTTCGATTCGATGAGCCGCGGCGATACCCTCTGCGGCAGCAGTAGTTCAACGCCAGGCATCCTGAGCCCCACCACACCGAGCGATGACCACTATGATGTGTGGAGCAAGGTGCGAGTCGCTTCTGGCAGGCAAGATGATGACTCTTCGTCTCATTGAAGGAACAGCCAGCCGTCTTCGGATCCCTGTGATTCATCTCATCAACGCGGTTCAGCGGTTGTTGGGTAGATGAAGGGTCACCCACCTGCACCGCCTACCAGTGCTCTGGTGTTCGCTCTATACGAGGAAGTCGAGACACCAACCTGGCGAACCGCTCGATTCACCCTCGACGGCCTTCGAGAAATCGACGATTCTGATCCTGAGGGAACAACTCCGTTACTGTCGATCGTTTCGAAGCCACCGAGCACGGGTTCCCTTCCTCCCTGGGGGAAGGAAAGGAACCGTCACTCTCGTCACTCTCGCTCCATAGATAAGGACTAGAGGTCCTTTTTTTCAGCCGGCCACGGCTCGCGCGCTACACCGTTGTTAGTACACAGCATCACTCTTCATACAACATACACATACATCGGCACCGGAACTTACAATGGTTTATACCCGCCCTGATTTCAGGCTTTTTTTTCTTCACCTTCAGAGGTCATTTCTTCGTTATATCAAGAACCCTTTTTCTTCCCACTCGTTGCATGGCCTGGCGTGGCATCGCATGGCTAGGGAGGGCATGGCATATGGTTCGGCACGGCGCAGTTCGGGGTGGAATGGCGATTGTATGGGTGGCTTGGTTTGTTAGGGGGGCGTCAAACAGTCAGGCCTAGGCGGAGGTTTGATGGGATGGGAGCTGGGTTGGGAGTTGAGTGGTCGATTCGTCGGTTTGGGCTGGATGGTGGGCGGGAGTGCGGTTATCTTAATAATGGGTTGTGTTCATCTCCCCCCTTCCTATTCTCCTCTCTGAGCTGGTCACCACTGGTCAGTAAAGGGGGGGAAGTGGTAGGGGGTGAGATGAGACGCGACGAATCGATGAGGTGATGAGACCAGGAAACGGGTAATGATAATGGAAATGGGACGGATGGACTGGTAGACGGGGGGCGGGGACACCAAGGGTCAGAGAGAAAATGGGGAAAGGCGGAACGGCGCATCACACACCTTCCGATCCACGGCTGATGTTATGTGGTTGTGGGTTTGTGTCGGTTTATGTAGTCTTGTGTGTGGACCAAGGAGAGATGTCGATTCGATACCCAACATTGTGAGGCCAGGGCGGGGAGGCTGAGATGGGATGGATGTAAATTATAATAGACACTGTATCTCTGTGAAATCTGCGTGGTTGGGGCCCTGATTTCTCTTTGGATTGACTTTCCATGCGACAGTTGGTATGCTCTGAGAAAAACAGAGCGAAGAGAAGGTGACGAAAACAAGAGGGACTTAAGGACCGACGGACAACGGAAGAAAGCCAGACGTTGTCAGCCAGTATTGGCCAATAAACTCGGCTCATGCCAGGAGTAAGCAGAGATGAATATCTGAAGGGAGCGGAAACAATCGGCGTATCGCTTGGTGTGCGCTGAGCGTACTCGTCTGTGTATGAGATCCGCCTGGGGTTGTTGTTGCAGTGCTTGGCTCAGCCCAATCCTACGAGAATCACGCTGGAAGGCTTGGCACAATCCTACACAGTACTCCGTAGTGACATGAATTTTCCTATTCCGGGGCGAGAGAAGAGTTATGTGAAGCCAAGGAGGGCCAAGAAAAGGAAGATTGATAGAAGGAGAAAAGAACAGGAACAAACAGCACAAAATGAAGGGAGAGAGGGAATTTGATCGTGATGGCATGTCGTTGAAGTTGACAACCCCCCTGTCGACGAGGTGTTGAACTCAGCCTCTTCTCCGAAGGCCTGCGTGCCAATGCGACCAAAGGTTATTTGCGGCGGGGAACAACGCCAACCATGACTGCACTAGCGCTGGGCGTGGCTTGGATTTTGAGTTAGTGCAAGGCAGAACGGAGATTTTATATTTGGACGAGAAGTATCCTTATATTTGTGTTTTTTTTTTCATTTTTGAAGGATAAATGTTTCTTCCTCAGAGAGAGAAAAGACAGCAGCAAAAAAGGACGACACCAACGAAAGAGGGAGAAGACGGCCCCAGAGGAGAGGTACGCAAGCGTGAGAGAAGAACGGAGAAATCCGACATGAGGAACTCACGGGTCGTGCTGTGCTTAGCGGGCTTCCTGTCGCCGGGATGCTTGCTGTATTCGGATTGTGGTCGTTTCAGCCGCAGCAGCGCAGCATTACGTCCGTTCAGGGGATCGTTTATCTGTTCAACTTCCAGCATATTACACCATTATATCTCGACGTCGGTCGTTACCTGCAATGGGGCAATGATGCCTGGGAGGCGGGATATATAACTGTGCGCGCCCAACGGGACACTCAACGGGGGGGATTGAGAATTTGACTGAGAAGAGGGAAGACAGTGGCAGAGGAATATAGACGGTTACAAAGTTCCCGTCGAGGAGCGGGGTTGATGGGGGCATGGGACCATCGTCGTCCTCCAAAAACGAATCGGCGGGTGGGAAACCTTGAAAGCTAATGGTGTCTTGAGCTACATAGCTACAGTACGTACAGTACATGGGGGGTAGGGGCCAACGAAAGCTATCAAATCTTCTCCTGGCCCCAACCCAATATCTCACATTTGTGAGTTCCATTCAGAACATCACCCGGTCCAGCCACAGCAACATTTTCCCTTTCGCAAATCCCACTGCCACTTCATCCTCGGAGGCATCATCCTAAAGGGTCCATCCAGTCCGGCTTGTACACTGGCCAAGAAGCGGTCTCCTAGAACATACCCTAGACGAAACCAAGGCGTAGTTGTATGGGGATAGGTCAAATCAAAGCCAAGCAAAAATGAAGATGCCTTCCCTCGGTCAGCCGTCCGTCCATTGACCCCGCGGAGACTCCGGCGTAAATATCTTCGAATGACGCCGATGACGCGTCCTTCATGCTGCATACAAGGGTGAATTATTAATCCACAAAACAGACTTCCACCCGAAAAGGACAACACCCAAAAGCAGACATATTGGAAAATACATAACCACTGCCCAAAGGCGGTTGGTCGGCGCAGGAGAGGTGGAGGGGCAGAATCATGTCAACCCATCCTCGTGATCGGACTCGAAGTTAATCAACTATGAGCGCTTGGTGTCAGGCGACCAGGAAACGCCGAGGGTGCTCTGCTGGTTCCGGCGCTCCTTCCTGCGTTCCCTCGCATTGCCCGCTCTGCCGCTGCCATTCGAGGGAGAGGATCCAAGATGCCCAGTGATGTGCGCCTGCGAATCGCGGTTGGGGGTCTTCAGGATGCTCTTGAGCGGCTTGGAAGGCGTGCTCGGTGCCGGATTTGGATTTGGATTCGGCTGCGCTATCGATGAGGGCACCGGCGCCGATGCGCCGCGCATGGGCTCACGGGTGGAGAGGATGCTAGCGGGGTTCACGGAGCGGTTGTTCATGGGGTACGGCACCGTTATATATTTCTTAGGTGGTGTGGGCTTGCCGGGGATCGGGATTGGTGTGAGCGAGACTCTCCTCATCCGTTGAGGCGTGCCGGGCAACTGGGTCTCGGGGATCCCCATTGCCTTACGCATCTCGGCCATGGACTGGTGGCTATTAGGAGCAACGCTGGTCGCGCGGATGCCCTGCTGGCTTGTTTTCGCGGGTGAAGAGCCTATCTAAGGACTCGTCACGCCGGGGATAACAGGCGGTGGAACCGGTGTGATCTTGGGGGCCTTCTGGGGGCCCTTGGGCTTTTGCACTGGAGCGGGGGAGTCCGTCGTTTGCGACTTGTCCTTACTCTTTGACTTCTTAGCAGAGCGGGTTTCGGATGACGCTGACAAAGTATGAGCCACAGTGACAGGGGCTTCAAGCTTATCCTCCCTGGCCAAGCTAGAGCCGTTCACACGAGCTTTCTTAGACTTCTTCGGGGTAGACGTCGACTCCTCCTTCTTCGGGGTCGCTTTCTCGACGTCACCGTGCTTGCGCTTCTTCGCCGCTACCACCTTTGGTGTGTCAGTCTTGGAACTTAGTACTGGGGCATCGCCCATTTGGACGTCCTCTTCTTCAGTAGACTCGTCGTTGCCCTTGGTGGCCCCAAACGGCCGGTAACGCGCCTTCAGCCCCTTAGGCTGTGGCCGGGGAGCGCCTGTGATAGCGGGCGAAGATACGGCTGCGACCGCGGAGACGGCATCGCTCTTGGCCTCCTGATCGAAGCGAGTCACGCGGGTGATGTGCATGACACGATCGACTGAGTGGTCCACTGTATGAAAGTTAGTTTCTCAACAATCCCGAAACAACCGGGTCTCCGAAGTCAGGAACGTACAAGTCTCATAGTTCGCCCCTGTCTTTCCAGGAATGAGCAGCTTGATGGCATGATTGATAGGCTCTTCAAAGTGGCCGGTGTAGTCGGCGCCGTCGTGGGCAAAAATCGACTTTCCAGTGTGGACCTTGTCGAGGGGAATAACCTGTTTTTGGACGACCTCGATGGGTACAGATTTGGGGGTGGTGAAGTACCAGATCTGCTTGCCTTCGGCTTTGGCCTTTTTCAGAGCGCGGGCAACCGCAGCAGCGTCCGCGTCCTCCTCGGCCTTGCGGAGGTGAAAACCCTGTGAGACGATTTCACGTGGCGCGTTCCTATCGGGGTCTCAGCACATTTCGGGGTTCAAATCTAGCTTGTTAACGTTATAGGGGAAACTAACACTGCGGTCTTTCCATTTTGTTTGGCGACGGCCGTAGATGTCGCGTCATCTTCGCTGCCCGAGTCGGACTCGGATTCACTGGCGGATTCAGATTCAGACTTGCTGACGTGCTTCCGGCTCTGCGCCGACCCATTGGAAATCGTTGATGACTTGATCGCCTTTGCCGGCGCGCTCTTTTTTGCGGTCTTGGAGGTTGCCACTGACTTGGATTTCGAGTTTTGTTGGAGTGCGGGCTCTTCATCGCTGTCACTTTCACTCTCGCTCGCCGAGGTTGATGACTCCTCACTCGAAGTGGCTGGTTCCTTCGCTCTTCCTTTCCCCTTCACGTCGACACTCGTGGTGTTTAGCCTTGACTTGGCCGCAGGCGCAGAGGCAGACTCGTCGCTGGACTCATCCTCGCTTTCGCTCGTGTCGGAAGCAGAGGTGGAAGACGCCCTCTTCAACGTTGGCACATCAGCCATTTCCACGTCGCTTTCCTCCAGTTTCGCCTTGCCCTTTCCATTTATCGCATTCTTGCTCTTGGGCTTGGAGTTGGTATCGCTCTCCTCCTCACTTTCGCTCTCGCTAGATGATTCCGAGATCTCTTTCTTCTTGACGATGCTCGGTTTGGCGACCACAGAGCTGCCGCCGACCTTAACCTTAGCCGCCGACGCGGCTGTCTTGGCCCGCAGGGAGCTCGCCAAGTCCATGCCGTTGCCGGCTGTGGCCAAGTCGTTTTCGCTGTCGCTGTCGGATGAGCTGTCGCTCTCGCTCTCGCTGTCGCTTTCACTTTCTTGCTTCACAACCTCCTTGGTCCTGTGGCTGTCCCTCGCGTTGTTACCGGAGAACATTTTGGGGACCATTCCGCGCACCAAGCCGGCGGCCGTCGCGGCGTGCTGCGAAAGAGTGCCAATCGGCGCGCGTGGCCCTGGCATGATTTTCGAGTTGTCGACCGCGAGGAAGGGGGAGAAGATAGGAGAAAATTGGCGATTTTAGGTATGAGAAACGCAATGGAGGAGTAGAAATCAAGAGGCAATGCCACAATGGCGAACAAACAAAAGTCGGGGGCTTTCTTGTTCTCGCGACCGAAATACCCAGTTTCTTTTTTTTTCTTTTCTCGGAAGTGCTGCAACTTCTCAAAATTTTGGCGATAAACTTCCTTTGCAGCGCGATCCTTGTCGCGAGGATGTGGGGGGAGTGGGGCCGCGACGTTGAGCTGTTTGCGGGCGGTGATTGGCCCGGAATTCAACAAGGAAAAAGCTGCTTTACAATTAGACAAAGCTCAACCACAAACTCACCCGCAGAAGAGAAGGATGCGTACTCGAGCCCGTCGGGAACCCCTGGGAAACGCAACTTGAAATTGAAGGGCCGATATTGGTTCTTTCGATTCAAAGTGAAAAGTAGAATCAGTCGTTGTGGTTTGAACAGGGAAACAACTCAGCTTGGGACGCCTCCACTTGCTCTGTTGCGGGACGCAAGTTCAAAAGGTTGTTGAGTTTAAAGACCGGCCAAATTGTGGTAGTTGTTTGGGGGTTGTGAAGAAAGGGAATGGCCACAAACAAAAGACGGAAGTTAGATGGCAGCGGTGCCTCTACGCCAACCGGTATGATACAAATCTTGGAGAAAATGCGATTTCCCTCCATTCTTCACTGTGTGAAGTGCTGACTCATCAACTTAGCAATGAGTGCGTTCGCCGCGCGGCAACAACTCTGGGGCACAACAGCAAGTGCCCAATCCAACGGGGCGGGACCCGAGAAAGGCGTCACGAAGACTAAGTCAGGAGGTGCTAGCCCTTCGAGGACGAGTCAAACCCTCTCGGCTACTCTAGGGCGGGCTGTGCCAGGCGCAAGGAACAAGCGCCACACCCCCGAGGACCCAGTTTCAGTCCAAGTGAGGCCAGGGGCGGGTTTTGATGGTGGGAAGAGCGGTTCAGGGTTAGTTATAGTTCTTATTTCTTGTATATCTACGGCGTAGGCTAAGGCATTCATACTAATGGCCCTCTGCAGCCCATCGACGCCTCGCCTAGAACCCACCGGCACCACCGTGAAACAGCACACCTCCTTCCGGTCGAGTAAGAAGAATTTCCACAAGAAGGCCGGTGGGAAAGCGGTGCTGGCCACCCCGCAAGGAGAGGTAAGCCGCCCCGATGCTCGACCCCGGGTTGGTGGGTATCACTACTTTGTTGCTAACCAATGTATAGCGGCTTGTTATCCTAGGGAGCTTTGGCATCAAAGTCCGCGAAGGCGAAGCCACCATTGCTGGCGCTGTATTAACACCTGCGGATGATATCCAATGGGTCCACGCACCTCATTGCCACGCTGTTCCCGTGCTCCGGACGGCGGATGACACTGTACTGGAGCTTCAGTCTCACCCCGCGGCCAAAGGTCTGAGACAGTTGGGCGCGTTGCACCCCGTGTTTGCCAGGATCTGGGATGAAAGCCCTGAGGAGACGAATACAAGGTCAAAGTCTCCTAGTACATATCAAATCGTCAGTGCTCCTTTCTTGTCTAAAGCTTAGCCTCCTATCACCCGCTCACTAAACAAACCAGATTTACACATCCAATGATCTTCCGAAGCGAGTCACGCTCCAAGAGCTGGTTTCGCCAGGCGAGTGGAACAAAAGGCTCTCTGGGCTAGCTGCAGAAAGGCGGAAAAGTACCCCGGTCGTCTTCCTGTGTGGCCCGAAATCATCCGGGAAATCTACTTTTGGGAAGCTCTTAACAAACCGTTTCGTGACCGACCGTGCAGGTTCAAGAAACAAGCCCTGGTCGGCCGTCATGGTTCTCGATATCGACCCCGGACAGCCCGAGTTTTCGCCCCCCGGGGTGATTTCGTTGTGCAAGATTACCGCGCCGAACTTGTCACCGTCTTTCTGTCACCCCACCCTCACGCCGGAACAAGGCCAGTTGCGAGCACACGCTATCGCGTCTGTTACCCCCGGCCTTGATCTAGACCACTACATCGCGTGCGTCCTCGATCTTTTTGGCCACTACCAACGCAGCGCTGATGCTGGCTTGCCACTGGTAATCAACACACCCGGCTGGGTCCAAGGCACCGGTCTCGACATTCTCACTGAGCTGATCACGTCCATCCGCCCGACCGAGGTTATCTACATGTCACAAGACGGACCCGAGGAAACAGTCCGCAGCCTCCGGTCCGCTGCTTCCGTCCCCACTCCCACGACCACAACCCCAATCACAACCACGACCACCACCACAACTCACTCTACACAACCGCCGCCTCGACCTCCGCCAGTCTTCACCACCCTCCCCTCCCAACCTAGCGAACCCCCTTCCTCATCCCGCACCTCCCTCCACTTCCGCACTATGCAAACCATGTCCTATTTCCACCTCTCGCACCCCCCTCCTCTTCCTCCTCCTCTACAACCCCCCAGCCCACCAGCATGGAACCCCGTCCCCCTTAGCACCCTCCGCCCCTGGCGTGCCCGTTACGCCGGCAAGCACCGCGGGTTCCGGGGTATCCTGTGTTACGACCACCAGCCGGCGCCGGCGCTCCTGGCTGAGGCGATCAACGGGACTGTGCTGGCGGTGGTAAGGCTGGAGGATCGAAGGGCTGCGTTGGCGGGGCTGGGTAATGATGCTGAAGAGGATGAAAGCGAGGACGAGAAGGAAAATAAAGATCGAAACGAAGTCGGTTCAGGGAACAGGCGGAACCCTAACCCTTACCCTAACCCAACCAACATGCCCCTCATCCCCAACCCCCTAGGCCTCACCCTCCCCCCACAGCACACCCACACCCTCGGCCTGGTCCTCGTCCGCGGCGTCGACACCGTACGTCACGAACTACAGCTCCTCACGCCGCTGGCTGCCGAGGTAGTTGCGGGGTTTCGGGACAACATTGTGCTTGTCGCCGGGCGGTTTGACACGCCGTCTTGGGCGTATAGTGAGGATTTGTATTGGCGTCGGGCTGGTGGTGGTGGGGATGGTGGGGTCAACGTTGGGGATGGACATGAGGAAGAGGAAGACGAGATTGAGATTGAGATTGAGGATGAGAGTGAGGATGAGGATGAGGATGGTGGGAATGAGGGCCAAGGCGAGTTGCCGTGGGTGGAGATGCTGCATGGAAATCAGAAACGGGCCGCCGGGAGTAAGGTGTGGCGGGTGAGGCGGGATTTAGGGAAGAATTGACCGGTAGTTTGCCGCCCGGAGATAGGTTACATTATGTATGTTGAGGATAATAATGCTAACACGGGACGGGCTTAAACAATGGTTGGATATATGCTTTAGCGGGTAGCATTCGATAATAGATGCTAAAAGAGGGCCCCATGAGGGTTCTATGTACATTGTATAGATTCAAGTATGCGCAGTGAAGAAAGGTCCAGGCCGCTACCTATGCAACTCCCACCAACATTTCTTTTCCAACCACCCAACTCAGCCCAGATCCCATGAAGCCGCCACTCGCACTCCGTAGGAGTATTGTGAGCGGTAATCGCTGGTGGCCTTGCAGCGACTGTGACGCGCCGCCGCTGATCCGACGTTCCTACACCGCTGCTACAGCGGCGCAGTGAGTCGCCGGTACCCTGGGCCTGCCTCAAAATGGCCGGTCATGGCCGAGAGTGGTCTCAGGGGCCAGGCGAAAGCTGCCTAAGACATCCTCGTCGACGATCGGGATGGGTTGTTCACGCCGCTGTCTTTAACAAGTGAACTTCTCCGGGCCGGGAATCTCGTAGGTGCTGGAGGGGGTCATGGAGTAGATGTTGATGAGGATACCCGGGTCGGTGGCGGAGTACGCGCCGGGGAAGCTGACGGTGTCGCTGGGCACCGAGCCGGAGCCGCCGACGACGTTGATCTGGGCGCATTCCATCTGCGTTGTGTGTTAGTGGGTGGGTGTCTTTTTTCAAGGGGGGAGATTTCGGTTATTGGTGGCTTACGTAGAGCTGAGCACCAGCCGTGGAGCCGGCAGCGTGCAGGGCGATCATCTCAGCACGGAGAAGGTACTGGCCTTCGGGAATGCAAGCGGGGATTTCACTGTGGCTGTCAGCGGGTGTAATCTTCAAAGGTGTGTGTGTTCAAAGGAAAAGGAGGAATGGCAAACAAATACGGAAAAGTAGAAAAAATCTTACATGGAGTGCTCGCCGCCGTTGGAGATGACGGTGCTAGTACCCCACTGGCCGTTGTTGTAACCATCCTCCTGGATCTTGAACCAACCGCCGCCAATGCCGGTGTCGGACAGCGCGTCGTCGACCTTCTTAAGGTAGGCCAGGGTCGGGCCCTTGTGGCTCGCCTCCATGACGTCGTCGGCGCCAGAGGTCAGGGTGTGGCGCCAGATGGCCTTGACGGTCGAGCCGGCGGTGACGGTGATGATGTCGCCGGAGGGCGTGGTCGGGTTGGGCCCGCCGTTGCAAGCGACATCGTTGGAGGACACGTCGGTGATGGGGCCGTCGTAGGACGGGTCCCGGATGCCGTACGAGACCGGGTTGGTCACGCCGTCGGCCTCGAGCTGGACGAAGATGGTGTGGGCGGTGGCCGCCGAGGCAGCCGCGAGGAGAGCGAGACCCTTCATGGTGATATTGGTGTGGTGTTTTGGTGGTGGTGGGAGTTTCTCAAGTCGGCGTTTTCACAGAGCACAGAGCATACAATTTCATAAGAGGCAAAGGATGTGCGTCTCGTTTTATACCCTTTCCCGCTCTTTCCACACTCGTCCCGGCACAACGGCATCTTGGAACTCGGGAAGCCGGCGTCACCGACCAAAAAAAGCCATGCTTGGATGTGCCGGGGCCCCCGCGATGCACCCCATCACGGCGTTTAAGCCCTGCTTAGGGCGCTGATGGCCGCCCTAAAATGCAGGAGAGCGGAAGGAGAGCGTCCGAAAGTGGGAACTTTCTCGGTTTTGACATTTTGACGACCAGGCGTGCTTCGTTCGATGGGTTGCGATTGCACAGTCATATCTCATACAGCGTCTCAAAACCGGATTCAGCGAGCCGTGATCCTACCCTCGTTGATAAGACCTCACATTTTGTCTCCAGGCACTTGTTCTGGTCGACAAAGCCAAGGGCGGTGGTCTTGAAATCGCATGTTTCGGGGATGGTGAATCTTGGTTGTTTTGGGTAAAGTCAGGGCAACCAATAAGTTAGGGGAAGCGGCTGGCCTGTTTGGGTTTAGCCCCGCGCAGCTTGTTTCCAAGTGCCAGGTCGGGATGGCACTGTGGCGCTTTGCCCAAGCTTTTGCGAAAAGCTTCCAAGAAAAGAAACGGCTTGGTCCAAAAGCACGAGAAGACGGGAGAAGAAAAGACGCCGCGAAACCTGGAACAGGCAAGGCGCTTGAGGAATCAGCTCAGAGTCACAACGCTCTGCATCTGGTGGCGTCAGCGCATTCGGTTGTGCCTGCCAATCTGCAGGAGGAAACCGGGTTTTCATCCCCTTGTGCCCGTTTCTGGAAGCTCGCCTCTGCAGAGCTGAGAAACTCCGTGACAACGGGACGAATTATTCCGTCCTGGCCTGGTTTGGACAACAAGTCGCAGGCCCACAAATCCCAAGGCCAGCCGCCCTCAAAGCCCCGAGCTCTGGCCGATGGGAGAGAGTGTGAGAAAAGCAGCGGTGGGCAAGAAGATTGTGAGGGTGAGCGAGGGTTCTGGTGGTTGGGAGGATCCACTCCCAATTCCCTGGCCTCTCGTGACCGATTTGACGAGGAACGAAGAGAGACATCGTCCCCAGACGGCGGCCTTGAACGGCGGCCGCCCGGGCGTTCCGAGAGATGCCAAACTCGAAGTTGACCTTGGCGATGTTCAAACTTTAAACGAATGCCACGGACACCCTACTCGGCTGTGGTGGCTTCTCGGATGTACTGTGTAAGCCTTGACACGGCCCGATGCGGGCTTCCTCAATCATCAGCCTCTCGGATTTATTAGTCCAGAATACTGTCACGAATAAACCTGATTCGAAAGTATCGTCGAAGTACATATAAATGGTACGATTCTGGGAAAACGCAACCATTGGGATTACCAAATATTTGGAGCTCAAGAAGCTCAAGACTCACGCATGATTTTTCTTCTCTGTAGTGTATGCAGTGCGCGTCGCTCTCTTCTTGCTTTCCCCCTTCTTCTGTTGTTCGTCCTTGACCCCGGCTGGGAGACTCGATCCCGGGCCTCCTCATTGCTATAAACAATTCTTAACCTCGGGGAATCAGCGTTGTTCGTCTGACTTTTGAGACAGAAAGAACTGTCTGCCGGGGTAATGACATGGAAGTGGCAACATCCCGGATGTCTGACAGGGACAGAGTTAATTCAGCGAGAACCTCAGGCTCCCGCTCCCCATAGGACTTTAGCTTGACTACTTAAGGGCGGAAAATCACACGCAATCCGGACACGAGGATAAGATGAAATTGATAGATAGCAGGTGTCTCTTTCTTGGTTTTTGTTTTTCCCTCTTGTCTTATGTCTTCATAATGTAGAATAGGACGCAAACACCGCCTCTTCATCGCGTTCCCAAATTGGATAAGCGGTACCATGCTAGGTGAGTGGCATTTTAACGAATAGCCCAGACCCCCGAACAAAGGACGGGTTTAGCCCAAGTTCATGATTAGCAGTCAAACCATTTTCTTAAACTTTCCAAACGCTCAGAGGAGATTCCGACTTGATACTCTCCAACGTACAATCCCCGACACAACGGAGAGACTAACCCGTTACTCCATCATCGTGTAAGAGACGTGGAGTCCGATTGTCTCAATTCAGGGAACCGTTCAGTTGAGATGCGGGGGAAAAGACGATCTCCAGACCGCCCCAGACAATCTCCGGGCGTTCATCCCCACAAACGGCCCTGCCCCGCCTTCGCCTCCCCCGCGTTTGCGGAGCAGCCACGCGGCAGTTCTCCCCCGGCAGCGTACCTCAGCCGTGTCAGCAGTTAGGTAACCAACCCTTTAACATGACAACTGCGGTAGCGAAGAAGTATATTTACGATGTGCCGATGCCGATTCGACAAGCGGGTCGGCAAAGCAAGTGCTGCAGTCTGCGCTCTGCACTCTGCAGACAATGCTTTGAATGCCCAGTTCCAATTTCTGGGCGGGAGTACAACGCCAAGCGCTTCAATTACCCATCTCGTACCACCTCCAGAACACACATGAGGTGTCACGCAGAAAGTTGTACTTTGCACACACACAACATTCCAGCCTCCGCGCCGAGGTAGGCGTCGAGACAACCTCGCTCCAACTCTCCCAACTATCGATCTCGAGTTCGCATCCTCCCTGCCCGTTCCGACCTCTGGGCGCCAATGCAGACAATGCATCCATCCCCCCCAGTGCCCACGTGTCCAACATCACAAGTTCCTCCTTGTCTTTGCCTGTCATGCTTGTCTAGGCCTGTCTAGCAACGGTGATATCCACCCGATCTGGAAATGCCCCGCCGCCCATCCATTGATTCAACGGTCTCAACGTCCTTAGCATGTCTTGTCCCTCGGGTCCGGGCCAAGTATCCCGATTCGAATTGACGCCTTTCTAGTGCATAGTAGTGCAGTGTAGAGAAAAATAACCTCGGAGCCTCGGATTGCCACCTCTCTACCCCCCCCCCCCCTTTTGCCCCCTCGTTCGCACAATCCTACTGTAAATAGAGGAAATAGTACCGAGCAAATTGCGGGGAAAGGCAGCTCTTGGCTGGCTGGACTGGGCACTAGCTAGCATTGGCATTTTGGCGCGGGGAAGGCTAGAAGTGTGGGCGGTGGGCTAGACCGAGGTGGTACCGCAGTATTGGTTTGGGAGTCCGAGGTACGATAACGAAGGGATGGCTTTTTCGTGTCTGTGTGAGACTATACTGGTTGGTGTGTAAGTGACTGGGTAGGTTGAGAAGCCGAGGTTGTATGCACCGACTCCCGTTCTATTGAGTTGACGGGGAAAAAAAAGAATAGATTGCCTCGCTTGCATTGGTTCCATGGACACACACACCACACTGCACTACGAATACCGGCCGGGGATCGGCTCGGCTGTTTCTTCTTGGCCTTGCGCGGGGAAGCATGTCGGGAGGTTGAATTGCAATGTGAGGAGAGAGGTGGTTTCGTAGAAGCAGGGGTTGCGATTGGATCTCTGGGTTCCCCAGTTTCGTTTCCCTCCGATGCATTGGGGTAGCAATGTAGCATGGAGAGAGCATGGATGGAGAGATGAACAGGGAGATCTAGTCCCCAGATGGATACCCAAATAACTGGTTGTATGGGTGTTATCAGTCTTGGACGTTGGGGGAGGTCCCCCCTGGGTCGAGTGACGTCGGATTGGTTTGGCATTTATATACCGGTGCCACTGCCGTTTGGTAAATACCCTTGTTGGTTCTTGATTGTTGTTGATCATCGTCTTTTAAGTTGTCCTTGACTTTTACCGGTATTTCGTCCCGGTCTGGTGACACTTAACAGGCTCTTATCTTCTTCTTCCTTCTTGATCTCTTCTTTTCTCCCTCTCTAGCAGCTACACAAGACGCAGACCAAACCGGGCCAGTCCCTCTTACTCCCTCACCCTCCGCCACCATGGCCTCCCCCTCGGATGAAAAAGTCGGCTTCGAGAATCTCGAAACAGCCGACTCGAAAAAAGGGGGCGATGCCACAACAGCAGACGACTTCGGGTTCACGCCCGAAGAGCAAAAGAAGATCATCCGACGCGTCGACCGGCGCCTGGTGCTGACAGTCGGGGCGATGTACTGCATCAGCCTGATGGACCGGACCAACCTGGGGGCGGTCAACATTGCGGGGATGGGGAAGGATTTGGTGTTGGTTGGGGATCGATACGTGAGTTGTCTTTTCTCTCTCTCTTTTTACTCGCTGGTCCTAGCGTGTACAGTACCAAAGGGAGTAGTCAAGACTAATAAGATATGGTATAGAGCATCATCTCGCTCGTGTTCTTCGTCACATATGTCCTGTTCCAACCGCCGTCGACCATCATCGTGCGCAAAATTGGTCCGCGTGTCCATCTGGCGGCCATCACGATCCTGTGGGGCGGGTGCATGATTGGTATGGGATTTGTGCAGACCTGGGAGGCGATGGCGGGGCTGCGGGTGTTGTTGGGTGTTTTGGAGGCCGGTATGCTCTGACTCTTTGCTTCCGTTTCCCCGAGAGCGTATTAGGAGACGAGGAACGAGACGGCTGACTGACTGACGGATAGGCTTCTTTCCGAGCTGTGTGTATCTGCTCAGCACGTGGTATACGAGATGTGAGACTCCTCTACTCCTTTACCCACAGCGGGTTGAAGAACTAGGTGATACTAACAAAACCAGACGAGGTGGGCAAGCGGAACGCGGCGTTCTACCTGGTAGGCTGTGTAGCAGCTGCATTTGCTGGTATTCTTGCCTTTGGAGTATGTTTACCCTCCCCCTTGCATGGGAGAATGTGCGTGAGAGAGCAAGAGAGAGTGCTAACCAGTAATTAGCTCATGCAAATGAAAGGACTAGCGGGCCTCAACGGGTGGCGCTGGATCTTCATCATCGAGGGTCTGATGACGGTGCTATTGGGCATCGCCGGGTACTGGCTGCTGGTCGACTTTCCCGATGCCACGCGAAAGAACTGGAGTTTCCTCGGTCAGCGTGAGCGCGAGTGGTACGCCCCCGGGCTTCCCATGTATCCTTTGTGACCCTAGCTTGTATACCTGACTGACGAACTCCTTAGGATCTGCGCCCGCGTCAACGCCGACCGCGGCGACGTCAAGCCGCAACCCTTCTCCCTCGCCAAATACCTCGGCGCCGGCACCGACATCAAGATCTGGGCGTACGCCATGATCTTCTTCAACACGACCACAGTCACCTACGCCCTGGCCTACTTCCTCCCCATCATCCTCACCTCCAACATGGGTTTCGACGTCGGCCAATCCCAATGTCTCGTCGCGCCCCCCTACGCCTTCGCAGGTATCATCATGTGCGCCACGGGGTGGTACGGCGACCGGTACCGGCAGCGCGGGGCGGTGATTGTGTTTAACTGCGTGTTGTGTTTGGTGGGGTTGCCGCTGATGGGGTTTGCGGAGAGCGCGGCGGTGCGGTATTTTGGCGTGTTTTTGACGACGGCGGGGGCGAATGCGAATGTGCCTGCGGCGATGTCGTACCAGGCGAATAATATTCGCGGGCAGTGGAAGCGGGCGTTTTGTAGCGCGACGTTTGTGTCGTTTGGGGGGATTGGGGGCATTGCGGGGAGTTTGGTGTTTCGCGATCAGGATAAGCCGGGGTACCGCCCGGGGTTGTATGCGTGTATTGCTACGACGCTGTTGACGATTTTGATTGTGGGGGCGTTGACGCTGGATTTTAAGCGGTTGAATGGGAAGGCGGATCGGGGCGAGCGGGAGTTGGAGTGTGATGCGGTGAGTTTTCCCTTCCCTTCTCCTTGAATTCTCCTATGTTGTTCATCCAGGGACAAGACAGTTGACTAACGGACGCAGGACGATGTGTACGAGCCTGGGTTCCGGTATACCTACTAACGATTCAAGGGTGGTGGATGTGAGTGTCGGATGTCTCAGCAAGGGATTGTTCACATTGTTATTGTTACGTTTTGATAGTGGTCTTGTCAGTCAATCATGATGAGTTCCATGAGACACCCTAAGACAAATCGTACTATTTCGTTACCCTTCTGGCCACACTCTACGGATACGTGTAGGTAATCCCCTTAGGCGCCGGCAGCGAGGAATTAAGGTGGATATCGCGGACGTTCGACCCAACAAAGACGACCTTCTCGCGGGTCGTGAACTCCCAGGCCTGGGTTGTGGTATTCCAGTTGCTGACGTCGCGGCGCGTGAGGTTGAAGGTCACCTCTTTGGTCTCTCCGGGCGCTAGCTCAACCTCCTCGAAGCCGCGGAGAACGCCCCACGGGTTTTCGTGGCCGCCTAGCTGGACATACTGTTGTTCTGTGTCAGTATCATTCTCGTTTTTGAAGCATCGGGCAACGGGAATAGGGGTAAGGATAGGGTTAGGGTTATGCCATACCACCTGCGGGATCTCCGTCCCGGTAACATTCCCCTGATTCTCAATGTACGCCGTCAGGGTATACAACACATCATACAGCCCCGGATGTCCCCCCTGCGCCCCCGAGGCCGGCAACACAGGCTGCGGCGAACCGTCACGGGCGGCCTCCGGGAAATCACTAATATTCCCCGGCGACCCAGCCACCAACGTCTCGCTATTGTTCAGCCACGAGTACACATAAAACGGCAGCACCCGCTCAAAATCATCCGGCGCGACATACTGCGCGCGATGCTCCGGATCATCGTCGAGGTCGATATCGCCATATTCGGGCGCCGGCGCGGTCTGCCCCTTAGCCGGGTCAAGGATCCCGCTGACGTCCTCGTTCAGCGTGACGGTGAAGTTGGAGTACCGGAATGAGGTGTAGCTGAGGCCGAAACCGAACGGCACGGTGTAGTACCCCGTCGCGCTGTGCTGGAACCAGCGGTAGTCGATGAAGACGCCCTCGTCAAAACTCTGCGAGGGGTGTTTCGGGTCCGGCGCGTCAAACAGCAGCTGCGCGCCGTACTCATCGACGGACTTGTCGGCCCAGGTGAACGGGGACCGGCCCTGGGGATTGACGCGGCCGTAGAGCACGTCGACGAGGGAATTGCCGGATTCTTGGCCTGGGAAACCGGCCCATAGGATTGCGGACACGTTGGGGTTGTGCAGGATGTCGCCGATCAGGACGGGCCCGGGGGTGTGCAGCACGACCACGGTGCGTGGATTGACCGCGGCTACCGCGGCAATTAGGGCGTCGCCGTTGCCCCAGAGTGTTAGGTTGTTGCGGTCGCCGGCGTTTCCGTCGATGGAGAAGATGTCCTCGCCTGCGGTGGCCGCCGCGAAGACAATGGCCACGTCGGCACCGGCAGCGGTCTTCTGGGCGGTTTCGAGGTCCCAGTTGTTTCCCGTGGTGATGCCGTCGGGGGGCGGGGTGGTGGTGAAGGTGGTGTTGTCGGCCTCAGCCTGGCGACGCAGGGCAGTGGCCGGCGAGATGAGATAGGGGAAGTCGGCGGTGCCGGAGCCGTAGCCCATGGCGATGGTGCCTTGGAAGCAGCCGCGGTCGACGCAGGCATTGGGGCCTCCGGGCTGGTCGTGGGCGTCGTCGCCGATGAGGGCGATGCTGGCTGGCTTGGACAGGGGTAGCACGGCAGTGGTCTCGTTGTTTTTGAGCAGCACGACCGACTTGGCGCCAATCTCGCGGATCAGCTCAGCATGTTTACCGTCGGCCTGGACGTCGACAAACTCGTTGACGACAGTGCGCGTGTGGTTGCTCGACGGGTGCAGGTAGCCCTCGGTCTCGTTGGTCCAAGCCGAGAAGTTGATATCTGGGCGGTAGTCCGCGTAGTCACCGGTGTGTACCTTGAAATAGGCCGCCATGATGCGCACCACCATGTCGTCGAGGCGCCACTGGGGGATGTCCCCGCGGAGCACAGCTTCGGTCAGGCCACCGCCCCAAAGCGACTGGTATGGGTCGGGGCCTTTGTCGCCGGGCATGGCCATGTCGAGGCCGGCGAGGGCCGAGCCGAGCGTGGTGTGTTGCGCGTTCCAGTCCGACATGACTATGCAAGCGTATAAGTAAATAAATAAGAAATCATCAAGAATATATGAATAAAAAACTTACCGAACCCCTGAAACGCCAACTCATTCTTAAGCAAATAGTTCGTCGTCCACTCGTTCTCGCACGCATAGGTCCCATTGATCTTGTTGTACGAGCACATGACGGAGCCTACACCGGCGCGTACGGCGTCGGCAAACGGCCACAGGTACAGCTCGTGCATGGTACGGTCGTCGATGCGCACATCGATGCTGCCACGGTAGTGCTCCTGCTCGTTGAGGATGTAGTGCTTGGCGCACGCAATCACCCCGCGGCTCTGAATACCCTGGATCGTCTCGCCGAATGCTACGCCGGCGAGGTACGGGTCGGGTCTGTCCTCGATTAGATATCATCAACAAAAAAAGGGAGAATAAGGACAACCCACCCAAACCCCTCCCAGTCCCGTCCACCCTGCGGTACCCTCCCCAACGGCCCGGCCGCCGGCCCCAGCATGATATCGATGCCCTTGCCGCCAAACTCCTCGCCCAGTGCCTCGCCTCGCAGCCGCATCAGCCGGCGACTAAACGTAGCGGCCACATTGATACCGGGTGGGAAGGCCGAATTGTTCTGGGCTGTGTCCGTTAGTCAGACACATAGGTAGACAAAGAGAGAACTAGGCTCTTCCACAGGAAAAAGGAGAAGAGAAAACATACTATACCGCACCCCCAACGGCCCATCCTCCAAACAAAAACCCCGAAACCCCAACCGCGGCACACCCCCCGTATTCCCAATACACCGATCCGCCTCCCACCCGGTCCCCGTCGTCAAATTAACCTTCTCAATTAGCGTCAAGTTCGACACAAACTCAATGGCCTGCGCGTAGGCCTCGGCCCAGGCAGGGTCAGCGGCGGCATTTTCACTGCCGACACCGACGGCCCAAGGGGCAGGGTAGCCCGGGAAGGGTACGTCGGTGTTGACGGCGTGGATGAGGGGGGTAGAGAGGAGGAGGAGGAGGAGCCAGGTGATGGCTGGGTGGTGGTGGGTTGGTCGCCACATGGTGGTGATTGTTGAGGTGGTCGGTCGGTCGGTCGACTTGGCCTTGTCAATCGGTTAGTCAATCGATTGATCTACACGTACTGTAGTAGGAAAATACCTCCCACGGAATGAATGTCATCCATCCATCCATCGCGAGATCTCGACTTGCTTGAAATAATTAACTTGTCCCCTCCTGGTTTGGTTGTTCTGCTCAACCCCTCACAATCCCAGCGCAGGAATCATCCCGCTGTCGTATCCCATTTCGTCCAACCCGTGTCTTCAAGTTCCATCTACGCTGCTTTTCACGTATTCGGTGCTTCCACACTTCCACGCTTCGATGCTTCCATGCATCATGTATGTACGATGCAAATCCCCCGTCAATCAGGACACCCCGCGACAAGGGCCCATAATCGGCCCAGCTATTTAGCCATAGTGCGCAGCGCATCTTGCTCGCCCCTCACGACCCTGCAAGAGCGGGAATAAAAAAAGCCTTGTTTTTTTCTCAGTGTCCTACCGTTCCATTTGGTAGGTTTCCCTGCCCCTTGTTCCTGGATTAACCTTCCGCAGTCGGGAGACCTGCTGCTTGTCGATTTGCCGATCGACGTGAGGGGTTACATTCTGTAGTGTCTGTGGCCGCGGAGTGGGAGAGCCGTCGATGGCTTTCTCGTATTTCGCGGCGTCAATCCGACGGAGGGTAATCATGTCCGGAATGGTCGGTGAGAGCAAATGTTAGTGAACTGACGAAAATGGTCAGTATTGCGTAAAATCTCTTAAAATGTCTGGTTACAAAAGCAGGGGAGTTTTCGGTGAAACGTCGGAAATCAACACCATATGAAATGCTCAAAGGCAAAAGGGGAGCTGAATAACGCCTAACCCTAACCCTATCCCGGTCGACAACCCCTTTCATACCTTAATCCGCAAGTCTAGAAAAACGACTTCTTCACACTCCCAATCAACATATCCCTCTTCTGCTTCTTCACATAATTGTTCACGTCATCCGCCCACCCCTGACTCGACATCTGCAGCCGGCTCATCGCGTCGTCCACTCCCGACAGTTTCTCCGCCCGCTCATTCAGCTGCCGCGAGAAGTACTCCCCCCAGCCCTCCTGCGCTGTGCCCGCCCGTGGATTCCCCCTGCTACCACCACCACCGCCATTACCACCACTCCCAGCCCCGGCCCTCTCCGCCTCCGCCGCTTCCATCATCCGCTTACTCGGCGGCCTGCCATCCCCACCAATCAACAAATCCAGATCCGTCGGACTGACATACTGCGTTCCCGAAATCCACTGCAAATTGCTAATCGTCGGCCGCGGCGGCAGTGCCAGCTGCGGGTTGACCAGTGTATCGCGCGACACCGGCGGACCACCCGCGAGCTGCTGTCCGTCCCCGCCCCAGACAGGCAACACCGCGATCTCGGAGGGGCCCGTCCACCCGAGCACTTCACCCGTGCGGGCGATGACGGCCGAGATGGTGCGGCTGGGATCGAGCATGGGGAGGGATGCGCCGCGACCGAGTTCTTTGAGGGAGGGTAGGGAGTAGGCGCGGGCGATGGCGCCGCGGTTGTTGGTGTCGCCGAAGAGGGCCACGAGGGCGATGCCGACGCCGGGGAGCTCGGTTACGCGGGCGGCGTCGCAGAGACGGTCGTCGAAGGACTTGGAGGCGCCTTTGGCTGTGGCCGGTTTGAAGACGCGGATTTCGGTTTGCGTGGCTGGGGGGGTGTTAGAAACATGTAAGAGGGGTGTTACGTCAAAGGTAAACAACACGGGGATGAAAAGGAAAAAAAAACGAAAACACTCACCAACAACCAACACCCCATTCACCTGCCTCCCCTCTCTCAACCCACCCACTGCCCCCGCCGTCGCACCCGCCGGCTGCCCATTATCCGCATTCACCGGGTCCATCGACACCACCTTACTCCCCCCACACTTGGCCACACCCGCCAACTTCGCAGTATACGACGGCCCCGACGGCAAGATCTTGAACGTAGCCACATGGCCCCGGTTCGTCCCCACAAAGCACGCAATGCTCGAATACCCATCCCCCTCCAGCGTCATAACCCCAAACTCAATCACCGTCGGATATTCCTTCGCATCCGACGCCGACGCCGACGAAGCCGACGAACGATGGCCCCCAAGAAACGACGACCGTTTCTCCTCCTTGACCAGCTCCGCCAGCGGCGCCTGGAACACCACCGCCGGTTTACGCAGATCAATCAAACTGAAAAACCCAGCCTCCGACCCAACCCCGACAAACCCAGCGTCCGACGCGACCTTCACCACGCTCACGGGACCCTGCATCATCTCGTACAGCACAAACGGCTGCAGCCCATCCTTGAGCGTCGGTTCCCCGCGCGAGGAGATATCCGTTAGCCCACCCGGGTTGGGATCCTTCCGGCTGTTTTGGTATGCATCACCACCGCCACGCCCAAAGTTGCGGTTGCCCCCCCAGCGGTACACCACCACCTCGCCCGTTCGCGTACCCGCCGCGAGTTCCACAGAAGCAGACGCCGACAGCATATCACTCATCGACAGCGCGGTGACGGTGACGTCTTCGTAACGGTCCAGCGCGCGAGAGACATCGACCTGTAGTTGCCGCGGGTTCTCGATGTCGTCGTCGTGGCCCAGGTCCCAGATCCGGATCGTGCTGTCGGCGTGGGCGACCTGCACGACGTTGCGGAAGTCCCACCCAGCTCTACGGCGTTTGTGTGCTGGTGACCCGCCCTGCAGGATTGGATCCCCTTGGTTCCGCGTCTCGGTTAGCCCCAGCCAGCGCTCTCGTTGCACGGTTGAGACTGCGATCTTCTGTACGAAGGGGTATACGAACGACAGGCTGGGGTGGAGCATGTTGGTTGGGGTGATCGGGTACCCCGAGGGAAAGCTCATGGTGATGATTTCCCCGGATGTGAGCATGGTCATGACGGCGATCGGGTCCTGCGCGCCGTCGAAATATGGGGACGCCCGCGGGATCAGGCAGTAGTTCGCGACCTCAGCCCCCGCGGGGATCGGGAGCGTTAGCCGTTGCTTGCCGTCAAAGTGGCTCGCCAGCACATCCCACGACGAAGTGGCATACGTCGGCGTTGGGCCCAGCTCGAGGAACGTCAGCCCCTTCTGCTCTTCGTCCACCGGCTGGCCGCCCGCGATCAACAGCGCCGTGTCGTCCGGGTTCTGCTTGCAGCACCACGCGATCTTGCCAAACGGCGTCAGCCGACTCGGCTGCGGAGGAGAAGGCCCCCTCTCATGTACCCGCGTCCTCCCCACCGATCGCGCCGTGACCAACCGCCCATCCTTAGGATCCCAAAACGCCAAACTCCCATCCTCATGCGCCGTCAAAATAAACGTCCCCGTCGGATGCCACACGGCCTGCACCAACCGCGGCCGTCTCTCCCTCTCACTACCCACCCCATCCCCGCCCGGCGCCCCGGGGGGCACGACATACTCAAAGAACCCCGTCGGCGCATTCTGCTTGAACGAGTACACCACCGCGCCATGCGTATACCCAATCAGCAGCTTCCCGATATCCCTTGGGTGCAGCTGCAGACTAACCAACCCAATATTCATCCCGACCACTCCCAATCCCCCAGCCCCCCTCGGACCCCCCTCGAGCCTGACCTTCCAAAAATTCGGCAATCGAAACCCCGTGGCCGGCCGTTCCCGATCCAGATCATACGCCCACACCTCCCCGCCATTCTGGATCGCCACCAGCGCCCAGTCCAACCCAGGGTCTGTAATCATGCACGACACGCGGCCATATGTGGTGTGGGCGATCTGCCGGCCGGTGTCGAGGTCCCAGATGGCTAGTTGGTTGTGCGTGTCGAGGCTGACGAGGCGGTTGGCGACGAAGGAGAGGTGGCGGATGGCGTTGGGGGGTTGTGATGCGGAGGAGGATAGTGTAGATGTTTGGGGAGACTGGGGTGAGTGGAATGTGCGAAACACACGGAGGGCGCCAAAGACGTAGATTTGCGCGGGGCCGTATTTCGAGGCTGTTGTGCCGACTGCGAGGAGGGATTGGATCGGATCGTAGGCGATGCAGCTGAGCTCAAGCAGTTAGAGTAGTCCATTCCAATTCCAAGACAATTCCCTCCTCTCGAGATAGAATGAAAAAAATAAAACAAAACTAAAAGAACCAACTAGAACAGCAGTCCGCTCCACTCACCTAATCTGCGAGTTAATCCCATACCGTGCCTGCTCGCCGGGACTAAACGCTGCTGCTGTGATGCCCGCCGACAAGTCGTTCTGGACCCCAGCCTGTCTCGCCCGCAAGAAGCCTGCCATCTTCCCAAAAACAACTTGGATTCTTCTTTGTTGTTTTGTTTCTTCCTTTTCCCCCTTTCGGTCAAACGTCGTTAGATTCTTTTCCGCCCTCGTCCAGGTCGTACTCCTGGATTTCGATGGTAGTAGGGAGTTGAAAGGGAAAAGAAGCACCGGGCCGCACGGAAGCTTCGTTGCCTTGGCTTCCTTCGAGTTCCTCTTCCTTTTGCTGACGCCAGGTGATGGACGGATGGATGGTGGGGTGAAACGACCAGGATGCTGCTTGGCAGTCCCCTGTCTCCCGAGTCCCCAGCCTGCCCCGCTATGACCCTAACCCAAATGCGGCATAGCTATTTTGCACGTGCCGAATTCCGACATCCGGCCGCGTGGCCCAAGGAACTGACGCGTTGCTCGGCAGCCCTAGCTCAGGGGAAAGTCAACAAGTGGGAGCCCTATAGTTATCACAACGACAAATTCACATCGATGTTTCATCCCCGATCGGACATTTCTCATACTCTCAGGTTACCATGTTACCAATAATCAAATCATCACGGGACCACGAGTGAATCAACGCGTTATTTATGCTTTCGAATGTGCTATGGGCTTATATGGATAGGCCTTTGGGGTTGGAAAGGCGAAGTGAGATGTTCACCTCCAAGACCCGAAGAACCGCCACTGCCAAGTCGGGAATACATTACTTTTAGACACACAACAAAAGCCATCTGCAGTATGTCAAATGACTGTGAAAAAAATCATCGCCCTCCCCTTAGACCGTTCCCCCAAAACTTTCCCAGAGAATCCACCGCAACCGACCAAAGGTCCCCCTCCACCGCCCAGGCTTGCCGAACCAAAAGGGGCCCCGACAACCTGGGAGATGCACCTTAAATCTGCCCCCTTCCTTAGACCCACCACATGCTGTCCGTGAAGGTCTTGATGGCCGACTCGCGACCGACAAATTGGCCAATCCGCAGCAGGAACGGGGGAGGCGCCTCGGTGCTGGAGGTGTCTATCGTCTTATTATCCTGCTTCTTATCGCCCTTGGACATAGGACCCGGACGCTTGAGAACCTCGTGTTTCTCCGAGTTAAAATTGGCCGGCTCCGCGTTAGACCCCGTGTTCTCATGGGCGCGGGCACGAGCGCCAGCCAGATGCGCGTAGTAGACCGCTGGGTGCAAAGAAACAGGGGTCGTCGAGCGGCAATACTGGTAGCACTGGTGGTAAAGGATTCGCTGAAGCTCATCGGGCTTCAAGCCGCACTCATCGTGGATGACGCTGTAGTGCACTGGGCGCGCCGTGCCCTGAATAGCCACGTGAGAGCAGAGATAGAAATCATAGTGGAAGGGGTGGGTAACCTCCCGCTCCACCAGCGTGCCGGGCAAGCAGTTGCCATTCTTGTCGCCACGCTCCGGAAAGAAGCGGATGTGGTGCCGCTTGGTCGCAATAATGACCGTGATCTTAGGCACGGTACCGAGAACATCCTTGAAGACCTTCTTCATCTCGGCCACCTCAAACTCCATGACGTGAGCATATTGTCCCTCAGACACGCCGTCGCGCAGGTAGAAGACGTGCTGCGGGATCTTGTTGGACGTCTTGCGCCACTTGTCAGCCAGCGGGCCCAGCATGGAATGCATGTTGGCCGGCTGTAAAATCTCAACACCCCAGCCGTTGGTCTGCACAGCGGCGTTGTAGTACGTCGCCTCGGCGTCCATGGAGACGCACATGGCCGCGGTGGAGACCGCACTGGTGCCCGTGGCGCCGTGAGACAAATCAAGGCCAATCATCATGGTTGGTGTCGAGCCGAAAAAGGCTGGGCCGTTGCCCTTGACGGCAATCCGCGAGGTGCGGCCTCCCAATTTCGCGTTGACCTTCATCGCCACATTCGAGCAGTACTGCGGCTGGCACTTGCGAACGTGCTGCCCTTGAAGCATCTGCGTGAGACAAGCAACATTGCATTCGTTATGCTGCTTCAAATGTTCATAGGTCCCGGCCGCCTTCGACGGAAGAATGTAGAAAATGATCTGCGGGTCCTGCTTAAACGCCCTGCCACAGTCGTTGTACGCCTTGCCCACGATTGCGGCGGGTGAAAGGCCTCGAGGTGGACACATGATCATAGGCTTGCTGGAGATCCTGCCACCATGACCAGCATACGCCGTCTTGAAGGCATCGGCAAAGTGTTGCACGCTTTGCTGGTCGACACAGCCATCCACAATGACGAAGGCCCAGGCGACAAGGGGCAGCTTGTTGGGGGCGACAAACTTGACGCCGCGAAGATCCCAACGACCCGTCATTTTGGGGTCTACAGCCTTGTTGCCGTACTGGATAATGGGGTTGGGAAGAAGCTTTGCCGGGATCATGGGCATGGTCGGGTCAATCTTGATACCAAAATGGCTGAGGTAGCGGTCCTTGCCCCAGTCAAGGTTCTGGACCATGCGCATGACCTCGGTTTTGCGCTGCGGGGGCCGCTGGACGGCAAACTTGATCATCTCCGAGGTTTGGTTGGGGTCCAGCTTGAACGGGAAAGGGTTGAAGCGACCGATGTCGCACACCTCCATTGGGAAGAATCCGCCATTGGTCGACTCAACAAGCGGCAGGTACCAATGCTGGACGCGGTGCCTGTATTGCTGCAGGTAGTAGTCGTAAACAGAGTACTCCTTTGGGTTGCCGTCCGGCATATTCCTGGTGAAGGTGACGACCTTGGCGTTGCTGCCCTCCGAACCGTACTTGGCGTCGAACAAGAATCCCTTCACCTTGTACTCCTTGTTTCCCAAGTCCTTGCTGCCACGATGGTTGACCGTAAACCGGATGTTTTGCAGACGGCGCAGAATCTTGAAGGCTTCGGACATGCCCCACGTAGGAGAACCATCTTTCTTTGTGGTTTTGACGGGCAGGAGTGCCTTTCCCATACCCGCATAGTCGACTTTTATGAACCATGTCAGCCTCGACGCAAACCTCGACTACGGCAACGAAGCCAACTAGATAGCACGGGGTGGCACTCACGATTCTCCCACTTTCGGTCCATAGAGCTCAAGTAACTGCGTGCCAGTTGCTCAAACTTCTGGCCGATCCAGAAGGTCTGGTTGGAAACGTCCACATTGACGCCCAGTCCAACACCGGAGCCACCCAAGGAGTTGTTGAGGCGGATCGCTGAATAGATTCCTTTGATCGCCTCAGTGGCTGCATTGAGACGCCTGGTCTCCGAATGGTCATTGAAGAGAGTGCGCTTGATCAAACGCATGCGCTCCGAGGGACCCTGACGGAGAGCATGGTCGAGGAAGCCTGGGCTGTGTCAGCGACGTTCGTCTTGAGAAAAGTGCTCCGCGTTTCTCCGTTTCACTTACTGATGCACTCCAGCACCGAGTTGTCCCAGCCGATTTTCTTCTCCAGATAACCCTTCAAGGCTTCCATGCGAACCTTGCAGGTCTGCTTGACCTCGACGGTCATTATCTGGTTGGAGCGGCCGGGGCGGCCCTCATCCTCACCAAGATCAATCTTGAGCGAAAAGCTCGGAATATTGGCACTCGACCTAAACACAATGGTATTAGCACAAGGCATCCGGTCATAATCCCACAAACGTATCGACCCACCAAGCAAGCTTCCGGCTGTCATGAAGCCACGGGGCCTTCATCTCCGCCAATTTGCGCTGGAAAGCCTTGCAGTTCCAGGCCTTCTTGTAGACAATCATGCCCTTGGGCTCGGGCAACACGGCAACCTAGTAAATAGAGTTAGCTGCGTACCTTCTAAGTTCTAAGTTCTTGGAATACATACGTCATATTGGCAAATATCTTTGCCGCTGATTTCCTTGATCTGAAACTGGTTCACCCCAACCTTGATGTTCTGACCGCCGGTGCTGTAGCCGGGGCGCGTCGCATGCGGTGTGTTGACTTTGTCAGCGTGCTGGAGGCTGCATTAGTACTAATGCTACCTAAGTATGGTTATCAAGAAAATACTAACCCAGTAGGCCTCGGGGGGCAAGTCGCAGCGCTTGTTAATGCCCTCAGGGAGCTGAAGAGGGTTCCGCTTAGGGGCGGCGCCCTTACCGGCTCCGTTCTGAGACATGGTAGCAGCCGCAGTAGTGAACGGGATTCACCTGATTGCAGAGGCTGTGGGTGGGAGTGGTTAGCTACTGTTGCCTGTAAAATTGTTGGATGTTCGATGGGAAGGTTAAGGCAACTCAAACGCAAGATTGGGGTTGAGAGGGTAAATGGAGGGCAATGTGTTGTACTTCGCTTGGCGTATCAAGTTATCGCCTTTCTTAGCGGATTTGTAACGAGGGCTGCTAGGTGGGCAACGATGATTGTGTACAGGAACTGAGGTAAAGGTGATCGTAGGATGGGAAGTCGGGTTGTGGAGATGTGTTTAGGAATTTGGAGACAAACCCAAGGAACCCGGGAAACTGGGATGTTTTGAGGAAGAGGAACCGTAGGTGCATTTGGCAGAGACAATATTGACCTTGTTCGCGCGTAAAAGAGAGGATTTGAGGGAGGAGCAGAAGAAAGCTGGGGGGAAGGAGCGACAGAATCAAGGAAACTTACCTGCCTACTTGGTTTGGCTGTTGCGACAACGAAGTCCGAATTTGAAGTTTGAATGGTTTGCAAGAACTAAAACGGTGAGTCAGAACAGCTTCTAGAAAACAAAATGTCCTAGTAGCGGAATCAAAGGATTGGGAGATGTTGGAATTTTCAAAACCGAGAACACGGTAAACACGGTATTGGTTTCGAGCGGCCTCCAATATTTAGAAATTGGCAAAAGTGCAAACTCGATGGAGGATAAGAAGTGGAAGATGTAATCTTGGGTAGTCAGAGTGCTTACCGGCCGGATATTGGAGCCGAGGAGAGTTGGATGTTGAGAGCTGTGAATAAAGATTAGAGAAGATTCGAAGTTGGGCGAAAAGTGTAGGAAGTTGAGAAGACGATCGATGTATGGTATGGAGTATTGGGAAGTGAATGGGCTAGAGTAATTGATGTAAAAGTTCGTGGATCAGTTGACTGTGGTGGGTTGGAAAAGAGAGAAGTAGGTTGTAGGATGGAGAAGTTGGCCACCTAGTGGTGGGAGGCAAGCCGTATTTAAAGGCTGGCCAGGGCCCAGAACCAACTTGAGATGAAGGCTAAAAGTGGGAAACAATGGATGAGGAGGGCAAGAACGGAAACTTCTGTTTTTCGCTGCGAGAAAGAAGGTTTTAGTGCAGGTGATTGTGGAAAAGAAGGGAAGTTCCTCGAGGAGTCGGTCGTATGGCTACAGCTTTGAAAGCCTGCGTTTGGACCAACTTGTGGAGGAGTAATTCTGATGTGCTTTCTCGAATCGGCGGTGTCTGGGATAATGTGGGTTGGGAGAGGAGTGCGAGGGGTGTAGGTAGTCTGAGAAAAGGAAACAAACGAGTGCCAACTACTGTGGAGAGCCAGAACCAGAGATTGGTAGGTTCTGCCACGTTCCAGGAGGCAAAATAGAGTGGTCCTGATGCTGTGGGAAGAAGATAAATACTTACCTGATGATTGCGATATGTTGTTTGGTAACTGGAAGTTATTGGAAAGGTCAAGTGAGGATGAGCAAGAGTAACTAGGCTTGAATCGCCCGAAGGTTGATCAAGGCTAGGTATGGTTTGAAGTTGTTGTTGTGGGTTAGAGGAAGGAAAGAGGATTAAGTTCGAGGGGAGGAGGAGACGAATTTATACTCGTTCCTGAAGGGCAGGCAGCCCGGCTGGATCTTGGCTTTCAGATCTAGGAGGGTGAACAATAAGTAATAAGTAACTAAGAGTCACGGTATTGTTCCCCAGGGCTAAAGTTGGGATGGAATTTAGTAGCCAGATGACGGAGACCGGATTATGAATCACAGCGTTGTTGAATACAAGTCCCAAGTATGAGTGGTTGGGCACGTGGAAGTTTATTCTGTTTGCTAGTTTGCTCTTCCGTTTGTATTTTTGCTTGCCACCGGACTACAGACCTAATACTCTTAACTTCCGGCTATCTACCTTGTATCAAACACTCTTTCTTGAAGGCTGGACTGTTTAGACTTGAAGTGTAATCAAGAACATGTGCCAAATGGGTGGAATCAGCTGGAAATTGGACTGCTGGATGCTCTTCATTCTCATTGCATTAGGCTGGGCTGTAGCAATGGTAGGTTTTATTATCATTTAACACGAAATTTCAACAGCAGAAACTAGTAGGGAACAACTATCACCAGGAAATGCAGGTTGCAAAGTGGACGCGACTTCTGGTTCTGTTCCTTGGAAGTTCCGTTCATGGGATTTCCAAGACTCTCATCAATGTTTACCGTTGTGTTCTCCTGAAGACCCCCTAATAATGACCATTGTCAACACCGTCACGGCGTAGTGAATGCCTTCTAGGCAGCGAATCCGCGAAACTAAAAGAAAATCAGGATTATTTTCCAAGATCAGGGAAGAACAAACATCACGTTATTATCCAGTTATTCAAAGCCACTTGATCAGTTCATAGCACGATATTAGAGATGGGCCGGAAAGTTTGTTGACTCTTGTATTATGCCTAGAAATAGCAGAGTAAAAACCGCTGCCCATTTCCCCCAAACTCAGCATGTTTCGCTGGGATTCCATCCAGTCAGTCAAAGTATATCTGAGGTCATCGACACCCTCAAAAATTTGCCTCCTGGTGTAGGTATAGTATGTACATGAACAGCGCTGCCATATTGCCCCGTCAAATTGTACGAGGAATGGCCAGCTCAACTCTCAAATCTCCCAAGTCAGAACCCCAGAACTGCTCAGACTAAGACCTGAGTCTTGGATCCTGTAAGCTTGACTGACTGTACCGGGCTAATAGACCCTCGCGTAAAGGTCACAGACCCCAACGCTCACCACACAGAGCCCCATTCGGTATACTAATAAGGATGCGGCGGATACCGCGGGTACCCACCACCTTGGGGAGGAGGCGGCGGTACCTGGCCGTACAAGTGAGGTGGAGGAGGGGCAGCCGGATAACCCTGCTGCACGGCAGACTGAGGCGGATAAGGCTGCCAGGTCGGGACGGCACCACCTTCGTACTGTACCGGTGGCGGGGCTGAGTAACCAGCCTGAGGAGCAGGCGGGCCCTGCGCAAACGCGGCCGGGGGAGGTTCGTAAGACCCGCTGGACCCGGGTCGTAGGGAGCTCTGCCTGTATGAGCGACTACGGCTAGAGTCACCGCCGATGTAGGGGCTCATGGGCCGGCCGGTTGGGGCGGGGGAGTCACGGTTCAAGTACCCCCCGAACTGGCTGGGGTGATCAGAGCCTTGACGCGAGGTCTTCCAGGCCGAGTACTCCGGCACAACAGTGTCTCGCAAGAGGTTGGCCACTCGGGCAGGGCTGAAGCGGTGGAAGTCGTAGAGGTCGGGCCGGGGGATTTGGCTAAGGAGGAAGGTGATGTCCCGGGCAATGGGAGCTGGCGTTGCCGTGTATGAAGCCGCACCCTGACCCTGCATCCTGCGCTGTTGGTCCAATCGGCGGCCGGCAGCTCCCTTCAGAGGCGAGGCACCCCGCTGGAACTCGCCAAAGTCGTTGCGCTGGATCTTGCGAGGCGGCTCGTCGAAATCATCGTTAGGCAAGGGCCGCTTGGGCGAGTTCGTCACCGGCATGAACGGAGGCGCGGCAGGACTAGCGCGGGTGGCGAAGGGCAGCGGGCGGGGCGAGTTCTGGAGCGAAGGGCCTTGCTCGATGGATGGCATCAATAGCTTGGGCCGAAGCTGGGTGATGGGGGAGACAATGATCCGAGCGGCGATGGGGTCGAACTTGTCGGTTGAGTACCGCGCTGTGAAGTGTGATAGCTTTGGATCATCCGGGTATAGCTCCGCCATGCGCTTTTCCAGCTTGTCGATTTGAGCCAATTCGCCAAACTGCGACTCGTACTTGTGGAAATAGGCATAGAGAGGCTTGGCCTTGTGGACGAGCTCAGGATTCTGCGTCAGGCGGTTGACAACCGTTTCGAACAGGACACGAGCATCTAAAGAAGGGTTAGCTACTCCATGTTTGTTTGGGGAGGACAAACACGTAATCACAAACACACAGATGGGGGTGCTTACTGGTGAAATCATCACGGGAATGGAGATACTTGATGTTCTCCAACGTAAAGTTCTCGTCCTCGGGAAACAGCTTGGCACCACGGTCGAAAATCTTGCCACCGGCCGGATCCTTGTAGATAGTCCACTCAAGCTGGGCCACGGCCGCGTAAACATCGCTAGTGAGGCGGCCGCGGTGACGAGCGTCTTGGAACGCCTGCCGCATACCGCCGAGCTCTGTGTTCGGCTTGCCTTTGCCCTGGACCCGGCGCATTGCCCGGATCAAAGCAATCCAAACGAAGGAGATGGTTCGGGAAAGCAGCTGAGTTTGCGCGGCAAATCCTTGTTTGATGGCCCGCAACTGGTCGTCCGTCCTGCTGTCCCTCGCGCTCCGGTCCACGGGGCCGTCATCTTCATCATCATCGTCCAGCCTATTCGAGTTGTCGTTTGCTGCCTTGGCCGCCTCTTCAATACGGGTGACCTCCGCAGCCTCGCGGTCCTTGAGGCGCTTGACAATATCGTAGAGGGTATCCAAGACCTTGGTGTAAGGGGCCCGCACCGCTTTGCCACGGGCAATCTTGGACTCGTCGGTTTCCTCGACGGGGTGGGTGGACTCGAGGTAGTCGCCGTGTTTGAGAGCAAGCAAAACACTCTCCGGGTTCGCATCAATGCCCCTAGTAAGGAAGTCAAGGCCTGTCGGGCTGCCGTCCTTGGATACAACGTTGTTGTCAAAGCACCACTGGGCTGCATCAACCCACATCTCGGGCCAGTAACGGAGCGCCATGAGAGCCTGGCTGTAGACATAGAGGATGCGCTTCTGGTACAAGCCAGGCTGGTCCTTGTCATCCCTGAGATCAAGCGGGTCCGACTTCTCCCAAGACACCCACTTCTTCCAAATCTCAACCTGCTCTAGGTACTCTTGGTCACCATCAAAGCCAGGGGCTGGCGGAAGGCGGGGGAGGGTCGTTCGCTGGAGACCACGAGTAATATTATCGAGGGCAGTGTTGGCGCTCTTGGCCGACATGTATGACGGCGATTTCTCGGCCAGATACTTACGACCGGTCAGCTTGTTGAGGCCCATCTCAAACTGGTCGTACTCCTTCCACAAAGTGTTGACGTTTGCGATGGGCACACAAATAGCCCGTTGGTACACCTTGCGGAGCTGGTCCATCTTCTGCTGGTCCTGCCATTGGCTTCCTCCTACGGTACCGGGACCAAACTTGATGAACTGGATGTACTCGGCCCAGATCTTGCCCGCATCCTTGTCTAGGCCGATGTTGTCAATAACAAACTCATAGGCGCGCGACACAGTCTGGCGGGCGGTGCCAGTGCTATCATTTAGGTCATTCCTGCGGCGGATGTAATCCAAGTATTTCGTCCACAGGTTCACATTCAGCGTGGACATGAGGGACCTGTTGAAGATGAGCTCGGCCTCTGGGAAGTTGTTCACGTCGAGCTCCATGGCAAGATACTCAGCCCAAACATCAGCCTACGGGGACGGTTGTGGTTAGTTACTTTGGTGTGTGGAGAGAGTGGGTGCGGTGCGTGCTTCAGAGGGTTCAAACTTACAGCTTGGGGAAACACGGCGAGAAACCGATCGTAGATCTGCCTTGATTGTTCGATGTCGTTCTTGGACCGGTGCTCTGCGATCAACGCCAACCAGGCTTCCATAGCACCGCGGGGGTCATCGCGAACCCGCTCCTCCAGCTGAGCAGTCTTGTCAATTGTCACGGGGGCACCGACATCGGGAGGGGCCGGGAGAGCAGAACCACTTCCATTCCTCAGATGCCCCGCGGGGGGCGCGACGTTCACCGGAGGAGCAGGGCTGGGAGCGGACTGGGCAACTGTGGCCTGTTTGGCGGGAATGGCATGGTGGTCGAGGGAGGCAGACTGGGCAGAGGGTTGTGATGCGGCGGTCAGACCGAGACCACTCGGTGCAGGGGCCGGCGCCGCTTCGTCTTCAGAGTCGGAGTCTCCCACTAGGAAACCTCCTGCCGTCCGCGGCTTAGGCTTAGCAGCGCGTGATGGTTCGGGTCGGTGGGCGATCTCTTCCGCCGGGGGCGCAGCTGTGACGGACGCTGGGTCGTAGTCACCAACGTCGTCGGTGGCGCCATCAGGAGATGGCATGTCACCTGAAACATCTTGGGCTGAATCAACGGAATACTCTGCTTGATCTTCATCGCTGCTATGCTGCTGAATAATGTCTTCTTGATTGTTGCCATCTGCCACCTCGTAGCCCTCATTTTCATCCCACACGCCGCTCTGGTGAGCGGGATCGTAGTCAGCCATTGTGTTGTGGGTATTTTGCCCTCGAGAAAATCGACCGCAAGACTCGACGGTTTTGTTGGATGGATAGGATGAAGAGTCGGGAAAAAGACTTCGGCGGTGTCAAGAAAGGTCGAACGAATTGAATGGCACGATGTCGTTTTGCCAGTCGGGTTCCCGGTGGCTGGTCGCTGTGTTATTCGAGTCGTGAGCTGAAATGGGCGAGCACCTCGACTGGTCGGTAACTAACAGCGGCGGGAAGCGGAAAATGGAGGATAGGTTGCCGGATGATCGAATATGTGAGGGCAATCAATCGGTGGGAGCCTGTATCGCGGCTGTTGCGGAACACTGCTCTTAGTTAAGGGGAGGAGAGAGGATAGGCGATTGCTGCATGCTGAAGTCAAAAGCGACGGCGCGCAGAAAACAAAGGAATGAAGTAATAACTGTGAGCGAAGTGCAGCTGCGCTCCAATGGGAGAGATACTGGGTATTTACTATTGTGCGCAATTGATTGTGCACGAACTGGTATCTATTCAGATCGGCGATGACTATTGTGTGGGTTGGCGGCGGTTTCCAACTTCGCAACAAGTGCACGCGCTGAAAAGAAAAACGAGGTTCGTCACACTCGGTTGGCCAGCTTTGAGATGGAAGCTCCAGGCTTCTTGTGGCTAGTGTATGGCGGTGCACATTGTGGGGCCCACTTGCCGGACTGGTTTAATTTTCAGCCACACCAACGCTTGGGTGTGTTTCGCATCGGGCGTCAGCGACGCGTTCTGGGCTGCGGTCAATTTACGCGACCTGACCCCTGTTCTTTGTTTGACCGCGACAAGACTTCCACAAGCAAAAGTCCGCCGAAAAGTGCGCCCACTTTGCTGCCGCTAACCCCTCTTTCCAAGGGCCCAATCTCGGATTTTTGGATCGGGAAGGCAGCCAAAACGCACCCCTGGACGGAGTACCTCGACCTGAGTTAGCCTTTTTTTCCCAAGCACCTAACATTACCCTGAACACCGCTCTTTCCCGTTGCTCAGCTGAGTGGAAGCCTGCAACAACCACTCCGCTCCAATCCCCGCTCTCAACAACCCAACCGAACCACGTACCACGTACACGCGATCCATTGAGCGTTTCTGCGGCGACCACATTTTTTTTCTCCTGTCCCAACTACAATAACGCGTTTTGCTGGAGTATTTCACCATCCCATCTTGATTGTCGCATCTCATTCATCATCACCATCAACATCAACATCTAAACACCGCCAAAATGTCTGTCGTTTCCCTTCTCGGGGTCAATGTTGTCAACAACCCCTCCAAGTTTACCGACAAGTACGTGTTCGAGATCACCTTCGAGTGCCTCGAACCTCTGCAGAAGGGTGTGTATTCTCCCGTACTCGACTGGCCCAACCCTAGCGAGGCGATAAAGAACCAAACAAGCGAGATCTAACCCCTTTCACAAACAGACCTCGAATGGAAGCTCACCTACGTCGGCTCGGCGCAATCCGACAACTACGACCAGGAGCTGGACTCGCTTCTGGTGGGGCCGATCCCCGTGGGCATCAACAAGTTCGTGTTTGAGGCCGACCCGCCCGACACGAAGCGCATCCCGATCGACGAGCTGCTGGGCGTCACCGTGATCCTGCTGACGTGCGCCTACGACGGCCGCGAGTTCGTCCGCGTGGGCTACTACGTCAACAACGAATACGAGAGCGACGAGCTGCGTGACGACCCGCCCGCTAAGCCCGACGTCGATAAGATCCGCCGCAACGTGCTCGCCCAGAAGCCGCGTGTCACGAGGTTTGCTATCAAGTGGTATGTGTTCTTATCTGGTTGTCCCGTGCAACACCAATCATAGGGAAGGAATTAGCTGACACAACCTGCCTAGGGACTCCGAGGCTTCTGCCCCCGCCGAGTTCCCGCCTGAGCAGCCCGAGGCCGACCTGGTGGCCGACGAGGAGGAGTACGGCGCCGAGGAACTGGCGGAGGAAGAGGAGGTGGAGGGCGCTGAGAACGATGGGGAAGCTTCTGGCGATAAGGATGCGCAGATGGAGGGCGTCGAGGGAGCCGATGGTGCCGAGGGTGCCGAGGGCGAGCATGTTGCCGATGATGACGAGCTCTCCGTCGACGGCAGTGTTGATATCGAGGGCGAAAGCGAGGATGAGCTGGAGGAGTACGAGGCTGAGGGTGAGGCCGCTGAAGGCGACGGTATGGAGGTCGACCAGCCCGAGTCCGCGGCACCGCAGCAGCAGCAGGCGCAACACTCGGAGGCCATGGTTCACTAAACTTATGAAGTGTGGCATATATAGGACACGAGACGATGATTATGCGATGTTAGATGACGCTTATTTCGATGTTGGGGGCCCACGACTGGATTATGATTTTGTATGGGTTGATTGGGGGGTCAGGCAGAAACAAAATTCATACCCTAGACGTCTTATATCTCAATTGATCGAGTTAGCTAGCACCACTGCTTTCTGGATGTGTAGGAAGCCGAAACAAAATAGGCCCGGTGGTATTGCATTGTATTCAACGTGTAACATGCCCGACATCAAGTCTCGGTAAATATTCATTCCAAACTCCCCACGCGCTTTAACATCATGCACCCTTAACCTCGATCTTCTCCACCAAATCCGCCCCTATCCTCGCAATCTCCGCCAAAATCCCCTCCTTATTAATATCCACCAACTCCGACTCCCCTTCCTGGTCGTCACCATCCTCATCCTCACCCCCCTTGACACGATTCCTCTGCTTCCCCGCAGCCGGTTTATACGACCCCAGCAAATTAATCCTAAACGCCCGCCTCTGCACCTGCGGGTTCCAAATCGCCCCAATCGTCGTGTCGTCCGCACCCCCGCGGAAAAACACCAGCGGCCCGCTGTAAGCTGTGCTGAGGTGTTCCAGGAACAGGTCGGCTGGGTGCTGGGCGAGGGGCAGTGGGTCCAGGCCGGTGTGCACGTCGAGGTTTTTGAACTTGGTAGCCCGGCGGTTGGGGTCGTTTTCTTCGTTATCGTCGTCTTCGGGGTGGATGGTGGAGTAGGTTTTGAGCATGGACTTGAGAGCTTTGGGGTTGAGGTGGATGAGGGCGTCGTAATCTTTGAGCGAGGGGACGAAGAGCCGGCGGTAGTCGAGTTCAAGCCCCGCGTCGCGGATCAAGCGGGATGCGCTCTTGGCGAGGGAGGACATGCGCGCCGCGACGACCTTCGAAGGCTTCGCTTGGCCGTTGAGGGTGGTCCAGGCGGTTCCGCTGGGTTCCTGGGCGGTGGCGACGAAGAGGACCGTGTGGTTCATGTTGGGGTCGATTTTGCGCCATGCTTCGAGCCGGGTTGCGATGGCGGTCCGTTCGGAGTTGGGCATCTCGCCGCTGGTGTCGAGAACGAGAGGCTCTGAGCGCCAGTCCCAGTGGGAAAGGAAGAGGAGGGTCCGGATGAAGCCGGTGCTGGGGCTTGTTGGGGCGTCCCAGGGGTGAGGCGAGAGGAAGACGTGTAGGGTGGCTAGCTCCATGAATTCTTGGGTGAAGTGGTATGAGAGTTTATGGGCGTTGAACCAGTGCTTGATTAGGCGGGTCGTCGGGGACAGCGCCGGGAACCGGGTGGTGCAGGTGGTGATGTACTGGTTGTGCAGTGGCAGGTTGGAATACAACCGCCGGAAGGTGGCCAGGAGAGTGGTAGCGCGCTGTCGGAGGTACTGCTCTGCGGCCTTGTCCTTGACTTGACGTTCTAGTAATATCTCTTCCAGATCACTATGGACTCGCAGCCGAAACGCAGGACCAGTCTCGTATATCACATCGAGGAAGGCCAGGTTTTCAGTTTCGTGCTGGGCGTCCTCGAGCCCAATATGCGTCTTGATCTCGTCCGGCTTGTTGGTTTTCAGCAGGCTGCCGATCATTTGGAGGAAAGCGATCTTGGTTCGCTGAATGGCGGCGAGGCTTTCGGGCCACTTGCCAGATGCCTCAAATGATATCACGCACTCGAGTGGCTGTGGGCCCGACTTAGACGACCCAAAGGTTGGGGGTTTGATGGACGCGTGGCGGAGCTCGGGGCAGATGGGCGCTATCTGTCTTACACGGAGTGGTAGCTCCTCCAGGCCCCTGATGTCGCGCTCGAAGGTGCCAAAAGCGTTCTTTGCAGCATTGAACAGCGTAGTATCGGCGGGTTTTAGGGCCAAGATGGAAGGAAGTGCGTCGCCATAGACGGTTAATTCGTCATCGAGTTGACCGATGCGGAGATGACGACCGATGATGTACCGCATGATCTCCTCGCAGAGACCGAAGGGTGTCGTCGAGGCCCAGATCAGCGTCTCTCGGATGGTGTCGCGCTCGAAACGTCGAAGTTCTGACTTGTCCCCCCAAAACCTCCGGAACTCCTCGCATTCGGCCTTTTCCTCTGCACTCGGCCCAGCAGATGGGCCGCGGTCAACAGTTCGTGCCATGTTAGTTGGGTCAAAGAGAATACCAATTTCGATAGGTGCTCTAGTCCCTGCATCTGACTCCTCCGTAAGACTCCATGTCCCAGAAGACGGCGGCTGGATGTGAATCAAGCGAGCCCTCTGCCCCATCTCCTCATCAACCAGCGCTCTCCGTAGCGTCCGATACACCTTCTGACCGACTTGCCATGTGAACCCACGGTAGTCCGCCCCTGTCGTCGTGGACACGGAATCGATATCGAGCTTGGCAATAAGGTCAAAACTAAGCGAGGGGACGTCGGCCTTGAAAATGAAAGTCGGGCTGAACTGATCAGCGGTGGGATTCGCTAACAAACTGCGTGTCCATTTGGCGTGTTGGTGCAGTAGAGCTGCCGACCAAGGCCCCATTTTGAAGGCGATATTCAACTGCCTTGCCGAGTCGTACAGAATGGGAGTCGACTCAACGTAGCTCTCCAGATCTGGATTCCCAGCACCTAATACGCACGACTTTTCTGCGAAATTTGTCACCGAAAGAAATTGGATGAGAGCCTTGAAAAGCTGGGTACTGCTGAGCGAAGAAGAGAGGGCGGCACCCCCTTTGCTTCCACCGCCCTGGAGGAGGAGCGCGAGGAGAACAGCCCACTCGAAGTGGCCAAACCCGCCTTGCGATATATCTCCTCCAAAACCCCGCTGTTGCAACCAAAGGCGACCCAAGATACAAGCATTTCTGAAACCGCCGCACTTCTTCTCCGCTTGACGCAGGAACTTGAGGTACGGGAAAAATGCACCCTCAGCGACCAGCGTGGAGTTGTAGAACGTGGTAGGTTCCCCGGTGGCTGTTGAGTCATCGTCTGCCCCCTTGCGTACTAGGCTAGCTCCCAAATGGAGCTTGGACTTGGGGAAAAAGCCATCGGGCGCGCTCGGGAGAATTCGTATCCTGAAGTCCAAAACCCCTTTCTTGTCCGTCTTTGTCGTCCCCTCCGCTTCAGTGCTGGTCGGCTGGATCGCCAGGATTGGGCAAAGAGGGTTGCCATTGAGGTGCTCGTAGGACAGCTGGGCATCACCGCCAAGTTCCTTGCGGACAGCGGCGGTTACGGTGGCCAGGTAATAGGCCCGCTTGTAGAAATAGCGCAGGTCGAGGTAGTCCTTCTCTTGTAAAATCTCCTCGGGCAAGACGATGACCATGTCCACACCATGGCCCTTTTGGGTCTTGACCATGGTCTTGGAGACATAGCTGCCGACGACATTAAACTGGGACGGCTTGGCGAAGGCGACCTTGTAGTTGGAGTTCTCTGGCGGCGGCGGGTTCGGGAAGGGCACCTTGATTTTATGCCTCTTTTCGAGTTTGGACGCGGCTTGGACGATCTGGCGTAGGTTAGCAAGGGTGTTTATTCGCAGGTCGCAATAGCAATCTCAAGCTTTAGTGTACTCGTACCGGCAGCGCATCATGGGGTTTTATCGCCTCAATTGCATTCTTGGTACGATGCAAAAGGCCATCGGCACCTTCTAGAGCCGTTGCGTAGTCCAGGCGCACGGAGTCGAGCAGCTCCTCGGCTTCGAGGACAAAGGCCCTCGACCGAGACACGCCTGTCGACGCGGCCGACTCTAGGGCCAGCTCGGCGCCGTCCGGAGCATGGTCGAGTTTCCGTCGCTTCGCGGGGGCCGAATCCATCTTTGAATGGGGGTTGAGTTGAGGACGACTGGGCGCAAAATAGGAAGCGGACGTCCAAGTGTCGTCAGGGTCTTGGACGGAATGGATGCTGTCGCGACTTTTTTTCTGGGGAATTTTGCGATAAGAACCAACCGGGCCCGATAAGAAGACCCACGGAAGTCGGTGATTCAGCAGCCCGGCGGGGTGCTTCAGCGCCTTGGCCCTGGGACTGCAGCTGATTGGTGTTAAGGTTCTTAGGGGCGATGTCATCTCATACACTACCTACACCACACTGCAAAGACAGCGTGTGCGGTTGGACCCTGAAAACTGCGGGAACCTAAAAGCACGGAGGGCGTGCAAGGTCGTCATTCCGTCTTTGACCGAAACCTATTTAAACTCCTTTCCCTCCCTAGTTCTATGGTCGTTGCTCGTATCCATTCATCATCCTGAGGACAAAAAAGCCCCGCTTAACACCTAGGCCCCACCTCAACACAGCTTCATCAACCTCTCACTCAAAACTAGGACACCAACAACCGACAACTGAACCGGATCAAGCTCCTACAATTACACTCAGAGAAGAGGACTTTCTCTCCACCGGCCGGCGCCATGTCGGGCACCAAGGCCTTGCTTAAGGGCATCAATGAAGCCATCAAAAAGCAGAAATGGAAAGAAGCTGTCACAGCCGCAGAGGAGGTCTTCCAAAAAGATGCCAAAAACTACCAGGCGTAAGAGCTATCCGCATAAATCTGGTGATATCGTTATAACTGACGGCCGGTTTAGACACATCTTTCTCGCCTTTGCCCTAGACAAGCTAGACCAGCTGGAAGAGGCTGAAAAGACCTACACCGCAGCGACAGGATTAAAACCCAACGACCCGCAAGCATGGCAAGGACTCATCAAGCTATTCCAACGCCAGGGCGGCGTAAAGCTAAAGCCATACCAGCACGCGGCCCTCAAACTAGCCGAGATCTTCCGGGACGCCGAGGAGATGTACAAGTGCCAGGACGTCGTGGATAAGTTCATCGACCACGCACGAACCCACGGCGAGCGAGCCCAGCTGGTGGACGCACTAGACCTCATCCTCCCCGGCAGCCCGATCTACCCGGCGCTAGAGGGCCGCGTGCCGCATCCGGCCAAAACGTACGAGACACAGGCGCAGATTGTCGAGACGGACGAGAAGAAGCGGATCAACACGCTGATTGGGGAGCGACGCACACGGATCGGTGCGCGGGTTAGTGAGGTGACGCTTGAGGTGAAGCGGGAGGTGTACAGCCAGAGTCGGCTGGGGTATGTGTACGGTCAGTTGATCGACTGGGCCACGGATGACGATGTTCGTCGGACGTATGAGGAGAAGCTGTTGCAGTATTGCTATGACCGGTTGGTGGCGTGGCCGCCTGGGGAGCAGAAGCAGCGGGAAGTGGGGATTGTGCAGAAGCTGGCGAACGATATGGTGATTATTCGGCATCCGTTCAAGTTTGCGTGGGATATTGCCATCAACTGGCAGGACCACAAGGAGATTCAGGCGTGGGACGTCACGGTGCTCAGGCAATACTGCAGCTTCTTCCCGGATAGTGATCTCAACCGGGTCATTATGGGGTTTCTCACGAGCGACATCTCGCCGTTCCCCAAGGAGGCATCATCATCAGCATCACAGCAACAAGACGGGACGTCGGGCGATGCAGCAGCGGAAAGCGAGGACGAGAGCGAAGACGATGAGGCAGGCGGCGCACCAACGACGTATGTCCCGCTAACGGAGGAGGACAGGCTACTGATGATTATGGAAGGCGTCAGCAGCGTCGACTCGTTGTTTGCGTTGCGACTAGCGGCGGAGTACTACCAACACATTGAAGACCACGAGACAAACGTCGAGCTGATGCGCAAGGCGCTCGAGCACCTCAAGGCGGAGCGGTCCCGGACGGGGTTGCCGTTTCAGAACACGGAGGATGCATTCTCCCTGTACTTGGGCACAGCGCTGGTGTTTTACCAGTCGCCGCGCCATCACCAGGAAGCCAAGAGCCTGTTTGACGGCGTGCTGGCGCACGACGCTTCCTCGACGGGCGCCATGATTGGCGTGGGGCTGATCTACGAGGAAGAGGAGGACTACACGGAAGCGGTGGACTTTTTGGAGCGGGCCCTGCAGCGCGACCCAGACAACCTCCGGGTGAGGACAGAGGCGGCGTGGGTCAAGGCGCTGAAGGGGGACTTTGTGACGAGCCGGGCCGAGCTGGAAGCGTGTCTCCCGCTGCTGACAAAAAAGGGTCAGACCAACAAGGAACTCCTCGCGCAGACGCAGTACCGTGTCGGCTATTGTATCTGGAACATCGATACCTCCAAGTCGGCACGGAAGAGTCGCTCGGGGGCATATGCCTACTTCCTCGATGCGCTGAAGAGCAACCTCAACTATGCACCGGCGTACACGATCCTGGGCAAGTTCTACGCCGACTACGCACGCGACAAGAAGCGAGCACGACGGTGTTTTCAAAAGGCTGTCGAGCTGTCCCCCTCGGAGGTCGAGTCGGCCGAACGCCTGGCGCGGTCCTTTGCTGACGACGGCGACTGGGACCGGGTCGAGCTGGTCGCGCAGCGGGTGGTCGACTCGGGGAAGGTGAAGCCCCCGCCTGGGTCGAAGCGCAAGGGCATCAGCTGGCCGTTTGCGGCGCTGGGCGTGGCAGAGCTCAACAAGCAGGACTACCGCAAGGCGATCGTGTCGTTCCAGGCGGCGCTGCGGATTGCGCCGGAGGATTACCACGCGTGGGTCGGGCTGGGCGAGAGCTACCACGGGTCTGGGCGGTATATCGCGGCGACCAAGGCGCTGTTGCATGCGCAGAAGCTGGAGGAGACGGCCACGGTGAACGGGAATGCGCCAGCCGAGACGTGGTTCTCGCGGCTTATCCTGGCGGATGTCTACCGGGAACTGGGGAACTTTGACGAGGCTATTACGCTGTACCGCGAAGTGGTCGCCAACCGCGCCGACGAGGCGGGCGTGGCTATATCTCTGATGCAGGCTACGGTGGAGAGCGCCCTAGACAGTCTGGACAAGGGGTTCTTCGGGAAAGCAGTTGACTTGGCCGTGGAGACGCTGGCCTTTGCGTTGCAGGCTCCTGAGGAGATTAAGGCGACGTTTAACTTTTGGAAGGCGGTGGGGGATGCTTGTTCCTTGTTTTCGAGCGTCCAGGGGCGGCTCTCGCAGTTTCCGATGGAGAATGTGGAGCAGCTGCTGGGAGTGAACGAGTCGGGTCTCGTCACGGTTGCTGCAGTGGATGGGGTCAACGGGACCACCACAGACGAGAGCACTACAGTTGTCGACCACGACCTGGCAAAGGCCGTCCACGCGACCATCCTAGCACATAAACGGGCCATCCAAGTATCGGCCCATGACGTCCACGCGCAGGCGGTGGCCTACTACAACCTGGGATGGGCCGAGCACCGCGCGCACATGTGTCTGCCGGGCCAGCGGCTGCGGAAGAAGGCAACCAGCTACCTCAAGGCGGCGATCGCAAGCTTCAAGCGGGCGATCGAACTGGAGGCAGGCAACGCCGAGTTCTGGAACGCGCTCGGGGTCGTCACGGGCGCCGTCAACCCAGCCGTAGCGCAACACGCCTTTGTCCGCAGCCTACACCTGGACGAGAGCGGCGCGCACGCCTGGACCAACCTGGGCACGCTAGCCCTCGCGCAGGGCGACATCCCGCTGGCCAACGACGCCTTTACGAAAGCGCAGTCGGCGGATCCGGACTACGCCCACGCCTGGCTCGGCCAGGGGCTGGTAGCGCTCTTGCTGGGCGACGCGAAGGAGGCTCGCAACTTGTTCACGCACGCCATGGACATCGCCGAGAGCTCGTCACTCGCCAGCCGCCGGCATTTTGCGGTGTCCATGTTCGACCATATCCTGGAAGCCCCCTCACAGGGTTCTTCAACCGTCTTACCCGCGACGGCCCTGATCCAACCCCTATTAGCCCTCAGCCAGCTGCAGGGTCTCAACCCGCGGGAACTCGCCTACGGCCACCTGTCAGCGCTATTCCAGGAGCGCAACGGCGAGCACGATCGGGCGGTGCGCACGCTGGAGACGGTGTGTGTGGCTGTTGAAGCCGAGTACGAGGTCACCGAGTCGGCTGAGTCGCTGAAACGATTCGCCATTGCTAAAGCCGATCTCGCGCGGGCACATCTCGCTGTCGGCGCCAACGAAGAGGCCCTGGAAGCGGCTGAGTTAGCCATCCAACTCAGCACCGTCGACGACGACGAACCAAACACCAACGGCGACAGTAATGGGGGAGGGGGTGAGCTCACAGCGGAAGAACGCACGCGCGTCCGTCTCGGCGCCCACGTAACCATGGGCCTAGCACGCTACTTCACCCACCGTGTCGACGACGCAGTCAGCTGTTTCGACCTGGCCCTCGCCGAGTCCCAATCCGACCCAGACGTCGTCTGCGTACTAGCCCAAGTCCTCTGGGCCACGGGCCACGAATCGGCGCGGGAACGTGCCCGCGAGGTGTTGTTTGATGTCATCGAGCGTGTGCCGCATCATGTGCCGGCTGTGTTGTTGTTGGGTGTGGTTGCGTTGTTGGATGAGGATGCGGAGAGTTTGGAGGCGGTTGTTGCGGAGTTGCAGACTTTGAGGGGGAGTGATGAGGGGGTGTCGGCTGCGGAGCAGACGCGGTTGGGGGAGGTGTTACGGGGGATTGCGGGGTTGGGAGTGGTCGACGGGGTCGACGGCGCAGATGCGGATGCCATGGCGAAAGCGAAAGCGGACCAGGCCCGGGCGGATATCATGTTCCACCCTTATCTACCGCACGGCTGGTCTGGATTACAGGGACTGGGCAGCAGCAGCACCAAGGGGGGTCAGGAAGAGGAAGAGAGATGTGCAGCGGAGATGGCGTTGCGGGTGGCGCTGAAGGGCGTTGCGCCGAGGGGGGATCTTGGGGCGGAGGAGTTGGCACGGGCGTATGCGGGGACGGGACGGGCGATGGATGCGCAGAGGGCGGTTATGGTGGCGCCGTGGGAGACGGCGGGGTGGAGGGCTTTGGGGGGGGTTGTGAGGGGGTAGTGTACACCTGTAGAGGTCCAAGTCAAGAAAAGGAAATAAAGGGGAAATCAAGAAAGATAAAGAAATCATCAGTGTAACCACAAGCAACTACGCTTATACGCCCCATCGGTGTGCCCTCCTTATGATGCACTACACATGCCTCTAAGGTGAAGAAGTAATTAGATCTTTACAGGGTATCAAGTCAACAAAAAAAAGAAAAAGAAAAAAACAATCCATAAACCAACCACAACAACCCACAACCCACAACCCACAACATGGACGTCCTACTCCCCCTCCTCCCGTGCACCCTCCTTCAACCTCGCCAACCGCCCATCCACCCAAGCTCGATGCCACGCCTCAACCTTCCCACCAAGAAAAACGCACTTGGCCGGGTCCAACAAGACCACCCCGCGTGCTATGACCGTCCCAGCGCGGAGAATCATCTTCTCGCCGATATGTGTTTTGCCTGGGTTACTGTACGCAGCAGTAGTAGCCCCGATGCCAGTTCCAGGGGTGGGAACGGTAGGGCTGATACTGAGCCGTTCGATGCGTTGGAGCTCGAGGGCGTAGATCTTTTGGCCGCGGCAGTCTTGTAGGACGAGTTTGTGCATGGCGTTTTTGGCTGGTGGGCGGGCAGTCGCCGCTCTATCCTGTCCTGGCGCACCCTGTCTCTGTCCTTGTCCTTGTCCCTGCTGTTGGGGTTGTTGCTGTGTCTGTCCCCGCTCGCCCTCACCTTCACCTTCACCTTCACCTTCACCTTCAACCTCACTCCCCAAAGGCAACCTCACAACCTCCCTCCCTCTCGTCCCCTCTCCGCGCGCCAACCCCTCCAACTCCTCGACCTGCTCCCACCTCGACCGAGAAATATCCTCAATATCCAACACCTGCACCGCTACATCCGTGGGCAGCGTAGTCTCCCTCGGGGGGTCTCCCCCTCCTCCACCTCTCCCGGCCCCTCCACCACCTCTCCCACCGGCTAACCCAGCACCACCCGCACCCGAACCAGAAGGAACGGACCCAGGCCCAGAAGGAGAAACAGGCAAAGCGTGAGTAGCGGCATACGCCTGGTCCAGCAGACCGGGTGTGCACAGGTCGGAAGCCAGTAAACGGGCGCGGGCGGTAGCGACGAGGGAGGCTAAGGGGGGAAGGGGGGTGGCGCGGGAGGAGACGAGGTTTTGGAGCCAGGTTAGGGAGGGGAGGGGGATGGTTGTGCTCGCTAGGGAGGTGTGGAGTTGGTTGGAGGTGTCCATGTTTTTTTTTGTGTATTTGCTTGGTTGTGTAGGGTTTCTTGAGTTTATAGTGAGAGTTGTTGTCCTTGGTTTTATTTTGGATGTGCTGGGTGGGTTTGTGGACAGAAGTCGGTGAGTTGTTGGTTTTGTGTGTGGATTGTGTTGAGGTGTTGGTGGATCGTGAATATCGGTTTTGGAGTTGTGAATGCTGAAATCGCCTGACTGAAATGGCGTTCCTTAATCGGTTGGCTACCACGGTGTTTGGATTAACCTGGGTTTTAAACTGTAATTTTTGTCAGTTTCAAAAGTTATATCACCAAAGTTCAAAATAAACTTAACTCGCAATGTTAACGTACATTTTATCTTGTGGAACTTTGAAGTCATCAGTTACCTCTGGACTCTGGAGTTAAATGTTGAATGGCCTGGAATAATACCCCTGCTGGGCCCCTGCAGCGCTAGCACGGCCCACAGGGTCCGCCCCACAGTGCAACTTCACCACATTAGCAGCTCCAGCACAGCTTCCCCTGTAACATTCCAACCTTCAAGAAAACACACCAAACCACAGACAACCCAACAAAAACATCACCATGTCAACAATCGCCACCCCCCGAGACCCCTCCGGGCCACTGCGCCGCACCAACTCCTCCATAACCCCCACCTCCTCTTCCCGACCCAGCCTCGATAACTCCACCGCCGGCTCTCCCAACCCCAACTCCAACCCAACCTTCAACTCAAAAGACACATCATCCTCCTCATCGACCGCCCCCCAATCCAAACGCGCCAGCCGCGCCGCCCTCCGCGAGTACTACAACCTCCGCAACAACCCCTCCACACCCCCCCTCCCCCCAACCGTCGAAATCACCGACCCTCCAACCAGCCCCAACCCCGAAACTGGGGCAACTACAATACTAAACCCATCGACCTCCGAACTCGACACCCCAACCTTCGACGCCCCCACCTACGTGTCCCACCTCCTCCGCACCAGTTCCCTCGCCGAATTGTTACGCACATATACCCGTGTATTGGGCGAGATGCGGGCGCTGGACGCGGAGCGCAAGGCGTTGGTGTATGATAATTATAGTAAGCTGATTGCGGCTACGGAGACAATTCGGCGGATGAGGGCTGCTGGTTCTGCGGGGGATACGAACACAAGCAGCGGGGGGGTAGGGGCTGGGTTGGGGATAGGAGGAGGAGGAGGAGGAGGAGGGGGGGGGTTGGGGGGGGGGGGGGGGGGGGGGGGGAGGGGGGGGGGGGCATCAGGAAGTGGTGGATTTGTTGGTGCAGGGGGGAACGTTGGAGGGGGTGGTGGAGGGGATTTATAAACGGGCGGCTGCGTTGAGGGAGGAGTTGAGGGCTGAGGTGGAGAGGGTGGAAGCGGCGAAAAAGGAGGAGAGTGATGAGGAGAAACGGAAGAGAGAAAAGGTTGAGCGGACGAGGGAGTTGGCCAGGGAGGTGCTGCAGGTGCCGGAGCGGTTGAGGCGGTTGATGGATGAGGGGAAGGTGGACGAGGCCAAGACGGAGTGGGAGGCGCCGAGGAGGTTGTTGGTAAGGTGGAGGGAACTGGGGGTTGGGGGGGATGATGTGGGCGTGTTGATGGATGAGGGGGATGCTATACTGCGGGATGGGCGGTCGAGTGGGGAGAGTGAGAGTGGGAGGAGTCCTAGTTGAAGGACGCACAACGCTGGGAGCATACCGAGATACCATCTTGATCGTTTGTTGTATGCAGTTTGGGCTGTTACGTCTGTCTACTCGGGCCCCCAAATCTCAAACGGATCCTCGTCCTCCTCGCTCACCACCACCTCCACCCCCTTCTCCTCTTTCTCCAACACCCCCAACAACTGCGGCTGCAACACCTCCCTTAGGAATCCCCTCTCCGAATTGCTATGAAATACCGTCAACACATACTTCCCCAGCATCGTCAACCGCAGCGCCGCATGATGCGACATCTCCCCCGTGATGATCAAGTCCGCCTGGTCCGTCACGCTCTGTAGCACGTCGGCCCCGGACCCTGCACAGATGGCGACGGTGCGGATCTTGGAGGAAATATCACGTTGGGAACCACCCCTCGGCCGAGCGAGCAGGACATGCCGCATCCCCAGGCGCGCCGCATACGTCTTCAGGATCGTGTCCAGCTCGGTGTCTGTGCCAAGCCGGACTAGTCGGCCGTACCCGGCGCCTTCGAACCCGGCTGGTGCGGGGCCTTTGGCGGGTTGGACCACCGTGACAGTTGTGTTGACATTGGGGACATTGGAGTACATGGCCGACTTGAGGATGTCGACGAGCCAGTCGTTGACGCCGCCGAGGACTGCGTCGGCGGCGGTGTGCGGGCTGTAGACGGCAATGTTGTGCTGGGCTAGACGCAGGACGATGCGCTGGTGGGGGTCGTTGAGGGTGATGGATTTGAGGCCGCGGAAGATGAAGGGGTCTAATCATTAGCTTTGAAACTTTCATAAATGTCTAAAAAGAAAGTCGACATTTAATGAGTGACAAAACATACGATAACTGATAATAACCGACGCCTTCTTCTGGATCGCCTCCTCAGCCACCCGCAGCGTCAAATCGTTAGTGAGCAGCACCCGCGCCGGTACACTACCCTCAGCCGGGGCAATGTTTTCCTGCAGCAGCCCGACGTTATCCCATGCCCGGTCGGCCAGTTCCTCGGGATACCTTTGGCGAGTTAGCGTATCCGAAATTTAGCCTCCATGTAAACACGAATACACGTAACATACAGAGCCCGCATGGCCTTGACGACCCGCTGCGTAAATGGCGGACTGCGTAATGACGGGTCCATGGCGAGGGAGTAGGGCCGAGTGGATGCCAGAGGGCGGATGAATCGGGCAGATGCAGCTGTGGCAGTCCTCAGTAGAGTAGGTGTGAAGGTCATTGGAGCTTGTGTGAGTGTTGTTGGTGGGGTTGAGTGAGTGCACAGTAAAAGTACTGCTTTGTATGTAACATCGGAGAACACATACTAAACCCTAACCCTGATAATCACCTGCACGCCAAGCACAGCGGGGGGGCATTTCGTTATCTGATCCGCTCACCATTCATTCTCACTCACCATCGCGACATCTCCCGCTGAGAACCAAAATAAAATAAAATAAAAATACGCGCCCCCCAAAAATGGCACAGTCCGCCATCACCGAAGACACATTACGGGCCGCTCTGGTCGAGCGGCTCCAGGCGACACATGTTGAGATTCAGGATATGTCGGGTATGTTTTTCTGACGTCATTTCATGGCCGGAATATCCGAGCCTGCGATGGTCGGTTGTTGGTGTATCTATCTCTTGGTGTATCACCATCACCATCTATCACAACAAAATAAACAAAAATACCACCCCCTCCTAAACAAACAAGCCACAAACAACCACAACTCACACATATTCCCCTTCACCAACAAAAGACACACTCCCCACTTTCCCCTTCTCCCCCCTCTCAAAATCCCCCCAAAAGCATACTGACAAATACGAATACAAACAGGAGGCTGCGGCCAAGCCTTCACCTCCCTCATAATCTCCCCCCAATTCACCGGCAAAACCTCCCTCAAGCGACACCGACTCGTCAATACCGCACTGCGCGACGAGATAGCCCAGATCCATGCGTGGAGTGCGAGGTGTCAGACGCCGGAAGAGTATGCGAGGGATAAGCAGAAGGAAGAGAGTAGTAGTGAAGGGGTGGAGGGGCCGCCTTTGGATGGGACTGAGGGGGGGAGGGTGGAGGGGACGACGGCGTAGTGTATTTGGGGGTGGGTGTAGAAGGGAAGATGGTTCGTTGTGTGAATATAGGATGGGGTTTATATTGTCTCTCAGCCAAGGAGATTCACAGATAGACTCAAAAACTGAGTAAAGGGGTCAAGATCAAGTTCACATCCTCATCATAACGCTACATAGCCATCTCAACCCCCAATACCTAGGCTCCTAAATAAGTACTCACGCCCCGGCAACAACAGCCAACCCCTCATAAATCTTCCTCCTTACCTCATAAAACGTCCCCAATCCCCCAGCCCCAGCCCCAGCTCCTGAGCCAGACGAAGCAAAAGGCCACCCAACACTCTCCACCTCAACCCTACCCATCCCCGTCTTCCGCACCGCCACACTCCCATCAATCAACAGCGTGCCCTCCCCACGAAACTCGGCCCGGTGTCCGGCGGATAACATCGCCCGTCGTAGATCGGCCAGACGCAAGTCGCCGACGTGAAGGGGTTGGGCGGCCGAGCGGGCGGTTGTGGATGTGGAGAGGGAGGATGTTGTTGGGAGGACGTCGAGGGTTGGTAGGGAGGGTTTGGCGTTGGTTGTGTCTCCTTTGGTGGTGACTAGTGCGTTGTCGTCTGTAGCGGCCGGGGTAGACGACGACGGGGTGCCGCCTTCGAGTTTCTGGCGTTTATGCGACGCTGTCTCGTCCGCGTCGTCGTCGTTGTCGGCGGCGGTGGTCTGACCGTCACTCTTTATCGCGTCGGAATCTTGGATCGCGATGTCCCCGCCTGGTAGTAACAACCCGGTAACCGTCACAATGCCCAAACCCCGCACCGTCTGCCACTTGAGACGCTTGACGAATGGCTCGGCGAGCTTGACGACCCAGGCGTTGGTGTCGACTGATGCGTTGACGGTAGCCCCGACTGCTGGTGTGAACACGTCGATCACGCCCTGGGATGTTGCTCCTGCCGACGATCCCTCCGTAACAAGCTGCGAGCCAAGCAGTTTCTTACAGTCAGCCGCAAGCGCCAGCGTCTCGTCCTCAGCGCCCGCAACCAAGATCAGCTTCCGCGGCTGGATGAGCGGGATCAGCATGTGCAGACTGCGCTTGTCGTGCAGACCAGAAAAGTCGACAAAGGCGATGCGCAGCTGCACCGAGACCGTCCCCGACCGAGTAACCAGCTTGGCCGGGCCGACAACACCGCTGTCTTCATCTTCCACATCGTCCAACTCGTCCAGCTCGTCCCGCTCGCTGCCCGCCTGACCGTCCGAGTGTGCCGCCTTATTGTGATGTTTACCGCTACGATGACCGTCCGGCTCATCAGACACAGCCCGCGATTTCGTCTGGCGCTTGCTGGCCGCGCCGACGTCGTCAAACTTGCGCTTCTTGCCCAGGCCCTGCTCCTGTCGGTTGTTCTCTTGCCCCTGCTCATCCGGCCCATCGGCGTCCTCGCGCTCCTCGGCGCGGAGGTACTCTTCAGGGCGGATCAGCTCGCCGAACTCGTCGTTGCGCTTCCGCCGCACGACGGTGGGGAACATGCGCTCGCGGCCCTTTTTGCCGCGGACGTCGAAGTCGTAGACGCCCTTCTTCTTGAACAGGATGGTGATGCCCAAGTCTTCGTCTTTGAGTACCACCTTCTTGCGGCTAGCTTGGCCGATGGTTGCTGATACATTCAGGGCCTTGCCCTGCTGTTCTGTCTCGGACTCTTCGGATTCTGTTGTTGTTTCTGACGCGTCGTCCACGACGTCGGCGGCTGACTCCAGGGCTGTACCACCGCCGCTCTGGAGTGTTGCTTGCAGCTGTCGTTGTGTCGCGAGCCACTGCTGGTAGATATCAAGCTCACTCCCCTCCAGTGCCTGGCGGCTGGCATCCGCGACCTCCAGTTCCCGCCCGCCTCCGTAGACCTGCTCAAACGTATCGCCACTGCTGGTCTGCTCAACCGCGACCCCGTCCTTCCTCTCCTTCCACCACTCCCACAGCGTCCGGGCGATCGACGGCTTCGTCGCGTTCAAGTTCGGCTTCTCCGTGAGAACAACCAGATTCCTAGGATCCCCCGCGATCGCCCGCATCACGTCCTTCGAAAACCCCCACTCCGCACTCGAATCCGTCGCAATGATCACCCGCCCGCCGCTGGGCTCGGCGCCCCCAGCCCCCTCGGCCACTTGCTGCAAAACCCGCTCCACCTGCGCTTTCCGCTCCAACAGCCGGACATACTTGAAATCAAACGGTCCAACCCCTCCCCCGCCGCCGCCTTTACTTCCACCCCCACCACCAGCACCGTGTCCAGCGCGAGTGCCCCCAGCGACGGCCTCAAACTCCCGCACGATGCTATCGTCCATCCACTCCAGCATACTCCTCGCATTGCGCATCGTGCTCCCAATACTGCGGCCGGCGAGGTATACCTTAGCCGACTTAAACACCTGGCTATCCTCCTTCCCAGCCTCGGCGCGCCAGGCATGTTCCAAGAGATACGACAGCTCCAGCACCCGCGCGCTCGAGTCCACAGGGATCAGCACCGTCCCGCCGCGGGCGATACACAGCTTGATGGACTCGAGCAGCTGCTCGTCGCGGCGGGCGCGGGGGAGCGCGGCTTCGGGGGTCCGGCTGCTGCAGACTAGGGCGGTTGGTTTGCGCAGCTGCTCGATTACCTCGGCGCCGCTACCGCCACCACCAGCACCGCCGTGGCCGCCTCCCAGCCAAGCGGCGCCGGAGAAGACATTTTCGCGCGCTTGGTTCCAGTCGACGGCGTAGACGATGGATTCCAGGCCGTGCTGGATGTGCCAGATGGTGCCGCCGAGGGTGTGTCCGGAGTTGTAGGCGGTGATGCTCAGGCCGTTGAGGGGTGGTGAGAAGGGTGAGGGGAGCGGTTGGTGGGGCTGGGAGTACTTAAGGGGCTGGATGAGGGAAAAGTAGCGCGCGATCTCTTCGGAGGTCGGCGGTTGTAGGAGGAGGTTGTGCTCCGCGGCGGAGGCTGTGCGGGCGTAGGAGTAGGATACTTCGGCTAGCGAAGTCGGTGGTATTGTGGTCGCTGCGAGGGGGGTTGAGGCGTAGAGGTCTTGGGTTAGGGTGCGGCCTAAGTCGATGACGGGCCGGGTCGCGTAGACGGGGATGCGGGTGAAGAGGGGGAAGTTCTTGCAGCAGTGGGCGTATGCGCCGAGGTGGTCGACGGTTGCGTGGGTGAGCAGGATCAGCGAGAGCGTGGGAATCTGCCTGAAGTCTCTATTAGTCTCTCTCTTTCTGGCTCCGGCTCTCAATTCTATGTTTTCCCTAATCTGCCTTAGCCACATACTTTTCTAGCTCATGCAGCTTCTCGACGTCAAAGGTCTCATCCCAGCCGACATCTACCAACACCTTGACGCCGCCATCGAGCTCCAGCAGGGACTGTGATGCCGTAGCCTCTGAGAGGGCGCCCTGCAGCGGGCTAAAGGTGAACATGGCTGCGGCAGGTCGGTCGGTCGGTCGATCGCTGTGATGGCGTGTACTACCGCAGCGCAGGCATAACTTGTTTTAGGGATGGCGATGCGCAGAGTCGACGGTACGGGTTGAGTGCGGGTGGACGAGATTTGGGAATTGGTGAGTTGCTGGTTATGGTCGCGATGGTAGGACCAGCTGTGGTGGAAGATGGACTGTGGGATGGTGTCCGGATAATTTGCTCTTTGTCGTCGTTGGCCGTCAATTGGAGAACATTAGTGCTTGGAAGCTGCAATTCCAGGCTCTGGTTGTCGCGTCAGGCCTGGCACGCGACGGCCGGCAAACGCCAAGCTTCGCACTTGCAGGCGGTCAAAGGCGGTGGCAGATGGCAGATCTCAACGTCCGGGCATTGCCCAATTGCGGCCACGGAACCAAACCATCGGAGGGTCCCCGGCTTCCGTGCACCAAATGGCGGGCCTGGGCCGACGAAAAAGGACAGCTGGAGCTCCGAGTGGGACAACTCTCACAGGGCATCCATCCCACCCGCCCACTCCACCAACAACTTTCAACTTCCACGTCGGCGTCCGCTTCTCGTCGAGTTCCACTCCGCTGCCGCTTTCACATTCAGAGGATCCGGTTAGGAGAACCTTTGCGCAAAGCACCACAACACCTGCGACTTTTCCGCCTTTTTTGCCCTTTTCGTCTTGATTTTGCTCCTCAGCGCGGGGTTGCAGGGAAGAAGACTTAGCTCCATAGTTCTGTATCCCGATTATGAGCCAAACCAAGCGACACGAACAGGGTCCCCGGTGACACTTTTCGACAGACGACAAGGAATCAGACAAGAAGACTTCGGCGAGACATTTGCTCCCGATTCCGATCGAACACGGCATATCCGATAGCCCAGCTGTCCGACTATAGTTTTTATAGTTCCTAGAATTCTTGCATCCCGATTCATCCTCACTCCCCGCCATGGCCGACTACTCCATGTACCATGCCCTCGGCCAGGGCGAGAACCTCGACCCTAACGACCCGAACCGGACGAGCCAGCCTGCCCCGCCGCAGTTCCAACCTCCCATTGCGCCGAACCCCTACCAACAGGGCACGCCCCAACAACAACAGCAGCAGCAGTACCAACAGTATCAGCAGCAGCAACAGCAGCAACCATACTATGGCGCTCCCCCGCCCGGGGGCTACGGCCAGGGAGCACCAGGCGGACCAGGAGGGCCAGGAGGACCTGGAGGGTACGCGCAACAGGGAGGATATGCACAAGGGCCGCAGTCACCGGCAGACGACGGGGGTCTGGCCGCACAACTAGGGGGCATGAACCTCGGGGCCGACGCGGGGACCAGCAGTGTCCGGAAGAAGAAGAAGGACCGTCACGCATACCACAACGTTGAGGCGCCCGTGGGGTCGGCCCCGGCGTTCAACGGCATGCCCCCGCCAGGACCTCCAGTCGGTGGTGTTGGTGCTGCGGCCGGCTTCAGCCCCCAGATGAACCAGTTCCCAGCACCCGTCGCCAGCCCGGGTTTCATGCCTGCGCCCGCGTCTCCGGCCGAGTTCGCCGCGAGAAGCGGCTTTGCCGATGCCGCCGCCGCAGCAGCGCCCGCAGCGCCCGCTGTGGTCCCTACCTCGGGCCAAAACCAAGTCTCCCCCGACGAGATGCCGAGCGTGCCACTCTCCCGCGACGCCGTCCAGCAGCACTTCTTCAACAACGTGTACCCGACCTTTGAGCGGCTGGTCCCCCCACCGGCCACCACGTCCTTTGTCGCGTTCGACCAGGGCAACGCCTCGCCGAAGTATGCCCGGCTGACGCTGAACAACATCCCCGCGACAGCCGAGGGCCTCAAGAACACGGGGCTCCCGCTCGGCCTCATCCTGCAGCCCCTAGCACCGCTGCAAGCCGGCGAGCTGGAGATCCCCGTGCTGGACTTTGGGGACGTCGGCCCGCCGCGCTGCCACCGTTGCCGCGCCTACATCAACCCGTTCATGATGTTCCGCTCCGGCGGCAACAAGTTCGTATGCAACCTGTGCGGCTACGCCAACGACACGCCGTCCGAGTACTTTTGCGCCACAAGCCCGCAAGGTGTGCGCGTCGACCGTGACCAGCGACCCGAGCTCACGCGGGGCACCGTCGAGTTTGTGGTCCCCAAAGAGTATTGGACCCGCGAGCCCGTGGGGCTGCGCTACCTGTTCCTGATCGACGTCACACAGGAGTCGTTCAACAAGGGGTTTCTGGAAGCCTTCTGCGACGGTATCTTACGTACATTGTACGGAGCCGGGGAAGACGGTGAAGAAGAGAAGGACGAGAACGGCGAGCCGCGCAGGAGGATACCACCAGGCGCCAAGGTCGGGTTCGTGACGTTCGACAAGGAGGTGCACTTCTACAACGTCAGCGCGACGCTGGAACAGGCGCAGATGATGATCATGCCCGACATCGAGGACCCGTTCGTGCCGCTGAGCGAAGGGCTGTTCGTCGACCCGTACGAGTCGCGCGCCGTCATCAGCGCGCTGCTGACGCGGCTGCCGCAGATGTTCTCGACCATCAAGAACCCGGAGCCGGCGCTGCTGTCGACGCTCAACGCGGCCATCGCGGCGCTGGAGACCACGGGCGGCAAGATCTTTTGCTCCATCTCGGCGCTGCCGACGTGGGGGCCGGGTCGTCTGTTTATGCGTGATGACGGCAAGCACCCCAGTGGTGAACCGGATAAGAAACTGTTCAGCACGGAGCACCCGGCCTGGCGCAAGGCGGCCGAGAAGATGGTGTCGGTCGGGGTGGGCGTCGACTTTTTTATGGCTGCGCCGTCAGGGGGGTATCTCGACATTGCCACGATTGGTGGGTTTTTGTGTTTCTCAACTCCAAGCTTGTTAGTCTTGAGGGGTAGTTACTAATTCTCGCTATTTATAGGCTACATCTCGGCCACGACCGGCGGCGAGAGCTTCTACTACCCCAACTTCATCGCCCCCCGCGACAACACCAAGCTGTCTCTCGAGATCCAGCACGCCGTCACACGCGAGACCGGCTACCAGGCACTGATGAAGGTGCGCTGCTCCAACGGCCTGCAGGTGGCCGACTACCACGGCAACTTTGTGCAGCACACCTTCGGCGCCGACCTCGAAATCGGTGTCATCGACGCCGACAAGGCCCTCGGCGTGACCTTCCGCTACGACGGCAAGCTCGACGCGAAGCTCGACGTCCACTTCCAGGCCGCCCTGCTGTACACCTCCGCCTCGGGCCAGCGCCGCGTCCGCTGCGTCAACGTCATCGCCGGCGTCAGCGAAAGCCCCCGCGAAAGCGTCAAGTTCATCGACCAGGACGCCGTCTACGCCATGCTTGCCAAAGAAGCCTCCACCCGCCTGGCCACCTCCAACAACGCCCTCAAAGACATCCGCCTCGGCCTCACCGAGCGCACTATCGACATCCTCGCCAACTACCGCAAGCACTTCCTCGCCCACGCCCACCCCCCCGGCCAGCTCGTCATGCCCGAACGCCTCAAGGAACTCTCCATGTACGTCCTCGGCCTGCTCAAATCCCGCGCCTTCAAAGGCGGCGTCGAGACCTCCGACCGCCGCGTCCACGACATGCGCCTGATCCGCCACATCGGCGCCCTCGAACTGTCCCTCTACCTCTACCCACGCATCATACCCCTCCACAACCTCCAACCCGAAGACGGCTTCCCGGACCCCTCCACAGGCGGCCACCTGCGCATGCCCCCCGCCATCCGCGCCTCCTTCGCCCGCGTTGAACCAGGCGGTGTTTATCTTGTTGACAATGGCCAGCAGGCCCTGCTATGGATGCACGCGCAGACCTCGCCCAATCTCATCGCTGACCTGTTTGGTGAAGACAAGACCTCGCTGCAGAGCCTGGACGCATATACTTCGACGCTGCCCGTGCTGTCCACCCACCTCAATGCGCAGGTGCGGAACATTATCGAGTTTTTGCGTAGCTTGCGTGGGTCGAAGGGGTTGGCGCTGCAGTTGGCGCGGCAGGGGATTGATGGGGCAGAGTATGAGTTTGCAAGGTTGTTGGTGGAGGACCGGAATAATGAGGCGCAGAGTTATGTCGATTGGTTGGTGCATTTGCATAAGGGGGTGCAGTTGGAGGTGAGTCTTTCTATATATCCCCAGCCCAGATCCGTTTCTTTATCTTTTGAGGTTCTTTACTAACCGTGTGTCTGTCTATCTAGGTCGGCGGCCAGAGGAAACGCGAGGACACGGGCGAGTCGTCGTCCACGATGACGGCCCTTGCCGGGCTGCGGCCGTCATATTGGTAGATCCCAAACGTGATGCCGGTTGTTGGTAGGGAAAAGGACAGATTTAAGTTTGGGTTGAGTGGCTTTTTGGGTGTTTGGGAGATGGATGGAGCAGGAAGTATATACGCATACAGCACACACATGGGGGGGGAGAGCCATTATGCAAGCGGAAAACAGATGCAAGTGAGAGTGGTGACTATGTTAGACGGTGATACCAGAATTTTTGAAGGTTGAAATTGGTGTTGAGTTTTTTTACGTGCTGGTGTCTTGATGCTAACCAAGCCTGATTCCCGCTCTCAATCACACTGTAGTGTACTTCTCTCACTTCTCACTCTCTCACTCACCCACACACTCTCTCAAGGTGTGTATCAATAGCCCCCTGATTAAACCCACCCCGCTACAGAGTTACACAGTTGTCCTTCAAAGACTTTGACGGAGCAGGTACCCATATGGACAACACCTTCCCAGGCAGCTAAGTATTTTCCTGACGATCTCATGTGATGGGATGATGCGATCAATGGTAAGGATCAAATGGTAACGTGATAACTCCCAAGCTATCAGTGTGTGTAACGTTAGGACGTGAATTTGCTGATTGACTCGACTAGTTGGCTTGGCTAACTGGCCCTAGCTGAATCCAAACCAACAACAAAATACAATTTCATGATGGTTATTCGCCCCCGTGATGAATTTCTCCTCCTCTTTTGTCAATCTCAGCTCGCCTCTTTGACCTCAGCCGCATTCCCTTGTCCAGTCCGTCCTCTCTTCCTCACGATGACTTCTTACGTTACATCATCCATCCATCCATCCATCTTTTCTCTTTGGAAGGGAAGGAATTGGTACTTGCGCAAGCGGCGGGTCTCCCCGCTCCTCCTACTCATCTTTTCTTTCTGTCCCTCTTTCTTTTTCAAGGGGTGGCTGGCTTAAATCCGATCTATACGAGCACCGTCCGAACGAACGAACGAACGAACTGTATGGGAAGCAAAAGACCACCAGGATCTCGGCCCTTGTACCCTGTCTCCCGCGTTCAACTTTCTTCCATCTATTGTTCGATAGTCCGTCCGTTGCTTTGGAAATGCGCTTTTTGCAGATTCCCGTGTCAGGGAGATATGTCTGCCCATCGGTGATAGCAGGAAATGGTAGAGCAGTGTGGCAGTGTGGTAGTGAGGGTGGTGATGAGAGACATGCATATGTCCCGTCCATGTATGTCCGGTTCTGCGTCGCGCATATGTTCCGGACCCTACCCTACCTATGGTACGGTCCGGTATGGTATGCCCAGCTGGGTGCGTAAAATGCTTGGTGCTGCATGATGAGCTCCCGGCTGACCCTCTGGCCGCATCTCATTGCCCCTGTTGTCGTCGAATCACGACGGTGATGGGCCAGTGACGATGATGACATGCATCCAAGACATTCTCATCCGCCTTTGCAGCAGCAGCTTTTTTGCACCGTGGCAAAGCGAGGCTAGCCTATCTATTGTGTCTAACAGCTTCTATGAACACCCCACTGTTCATCATTTCTTTCCCTCCATCTTGATATCACGTCCCATCCCCCCAAGGAGATGCGAATTTCTTGACTGCCGCCTCAACGTTGCAGTGTGCGTGCGCTGTTGCAGGTCGGCGGGCAGTCAGGACTCAGCAACAACTCCACCGACCGCTTTCGGGTTCGAACCAGTGATGAGGTGATGAGTGTGTATGTTGATCGTGTCTCTTGTTCAAGACTTGTTTCTGAAGGGAGCGGCTTCCACTCTGTCGCGACCCTTTCCTCGTTCAGAGTTACCTTGCGATCCTGTCTCCCTGTCTTCGGAGTAAAACTAGTGTTGCTTTTTCCTTGATATCAGTGGTGTTTTAGTGGGGTAGTGGGGTGCGGGGTACAAAGGAGGTCAGTCAGTCCCTTGATGATTGATGAGATGCTGCAGGCGTAGCGTCGAGGAGTGATGAGCGAGCTCGCAACCATCCTAGCTTACACTAAGGAGGGACAGGGGGGAAGTGAGCAGATTGCCCGGTCTCTTGTTTCTTTGTCTGTTCTCCTGTCGAGGATGGAGAAATGTCAAAAAAGGGAAAAGGGGAAAAAAATCATGTCGCAAGCAAAAAGTAAAACTCTAGATCTAGCGTTCGTCTATCTGTAGATCGGTCTGGTGACTTGCTCCACATTCCAACACGCAACACCATCAGTCTCATTTTAACCCCGCCCCCTTTTCAGAAACCGTTGGATCACAGGCACTGCGGGGATAGCTGAGACAGACATTCATCATGCTTGACTAATGGTCTCAGGTTAGTGTACTGTAGGGTAGTCTGCAACTGTCGTTGAAACAATCGTAATTAGATACGGATCGTGTACTCACTCGTCACATCATTTGCTGTGGGACAGCCCTCGCCGTTTCTCTCCGCATCACGCCCGAGAGATTAAGGTTGTCGGAGTTTTGTGGTAGTAACGCACTCAGTAATTGGAATAAGGTCTTATTTTCAAGGGATTCTCGAGCTAAACCCGCTTTCGGAATAACGTACCGTCGTTAATTCGTCAACATCACCGATAACTCGGTCCTGTTGACGATGTTGTCTCGGGGCATACAGACTGACACAGGGAATATTACGAAGTACACTTGTAAGTGACGACTAGTGTAAGTCACCGTTTCATCAACCAACTACCGGAGGGCGTGTCTTGGATAGTCCAAGTGATTTGCCACCTCGGTCTTTGTCCGGTCACGTTTCCCTCGGAGTCAACTCCTCTCTTGATAGCCATGTCTTTTTCCACATACACTACCCTAGATCTACTAAATGGTTTTAGGTTTTGACATCCCACGTCAAATTATTTCCGCAAGGTCAGGTGTTTTTTTTTTTTATGCAGACCACACCCTTGCCAACCCACTTGCTGGAATCCCCAACGTTGCAATGGCCAGCTCTTTTTACCAATTCCGGCTTCTTTGCCTGCCGGAAGACCCGGCCGAGTTCTTCAGCTCTCTCGTTCGCCGCGGTTGGTTCGCGATCAACCCCCGGGAGACGAGAACGACGGCAGGGAAGGTTGCAACAGAGTCCGCGAGTCAAGAGTTTTCTCCCATTGCTGGGATAGACGTGTCATGTCGAATGTAACGATACCCATGGCAGAGGTCGGGCTTTGGTGCTTTTGTTTGGTTCCGTGATGCACGATCTCCGATCTGTATGACTCGATCTCACACGGCTATCGGCCTGTCTCAGCCTGTAGCTTGTGTCTGTGTGTACATACGTACATACTGTGTACGATGTCTCTATTTAGCTGGGTGTGCGTACATATTATGTGAGGGTCCTGCCTCAAAAGGGGGGCGTGTGCGGACGGGTGTGCGTTTGTTTTCCTCTTAGAAATCTGTGTAACTACCCAACGGGTTCGGTTCGGGTATCGACCAACTGAGAGGCGTGTACGCTTGTATCACCTCGTCGTTCCCTCGCTCCATCCCCCCCTCTCTCCTTGCCACTCATCCTTTCTTATCGTCTTCGTTTGTTCAGAGGATCGTCTGGTCTGGACGGGTAGCAGCAAGGAGCGAAAGGCAGCAATCCTAACCCTCCGAGCCCCCCCCCTCGGCAAACAGGATATCATTCCGGCCTATGGGAATCGATGCAAATGCAGCAATCCCTCGCTTCCCTGTATTGTGACCAGTACGGGGCCGACAGGAGGAATCGTCCCGGCAGATCTGCAGTGCCGATACCCGGGGCGGCTAGTGAGGCTGTCAAGACCATGGTGTTGACAAGTCGCAAAATGGAGATGAGAAAGTGAGACGAGAGGATGACTGGTGTAGTATAGACAAGTTCCTGGCTAGTGAAACTGACAGAAGAAGACTCCACAACCACGACAAAGTCCCGGTTTGCGCTTGCTCATCAAGAAACTTGCTCACGGCGCGAGCAGCGAGCTAAACGCTAGTGCCCGGCTTCATGAAGACCCGAAGCTAGGATAGTCGTGTCAGAGATCGCAAACCCGCTCGCCCACCTCATCTCGACTCGTCGCGGCAAGATCTCGGCGGCCCGCTGATCTGGCTCCTCACCTCTGGGTCGGTGAGGTTACATGTATACCTAATATACTACCTCGGGAACAACAAAGCAGCTTACCACTGTTTCCGGTGCGACGCTATCGTTCGTTTGATATCCTATTTCGTCGAGGCCAGGCAGTCGAGGATGGAGGAAGTGAGGTCGGTTTACTAATCACCCAATGTCATCCTTACAACAAACGCAGATTTGCCACCCATCTCTGTAAGCCTGTCAATCTGTTTTCTTCTGGCCTCAGTTCCTGGCAGACATCCGTTGCTTCCGAGAAGCAACGGGCTCAACAGCCTACCCACTATGCACTGTGTTCGTGCCGAGGAGATATGCAAAGGTCTGTCTGTGGAAGTACCCAGTATGCATCCATTGTCGACAGTCAGTCTAGATACTTCACCCACGGAGTAGCAAACGGAAACGAGAGAGGTTCACCCATACCGTAATTATCCAAGAAATACGAATACTTTTGTGAGAAAGGAAAAGAGCCTCCAAAAAAAAAACAGGCATGGTTCCCTCAAACAGTGGGTCCAATCCAACAACACCAAAAAAAAAAAACACCCCAAAAGAAGCAATATCACAAATTCCCACCGAGTTTGTCACAACTGCAGCCACCTCCAAACGAGGTATCCCCGCTCACGTTGAGGTCTCGCGATGCCTCTTCTAGCCTGGCGGCAAATATGTGCCGACGGGGATGAATCTGCGCCAAGTACCCAAAGCCTACCCTGGAACCCGTCGGTCCCAACCTTTCGGGGCATGCGGTTTGTTGCTTGATGAATGGGTTGCGCCCATCAGTCCACGTTCCCACAGTTCGCACGCAAACGCAACCAAGGGGCTGGGACTCGGGGAACGGGAGAAGGGGGGGGCGTGTAATGTCGTGAGCCATTCATGATCAACCTCATGCAAGGCCCGTCACCCACCCACAATGCTCTCCCTAGTCCTAGTCGTAGTTTCTCTCGCTCCCCTCTCTCTGTCTTCATCATCATGCCCGGCCCGTGTCTGAGACGGGATTGACAGCTCGTCACAATCCCAGCCCTGCCCCTCCTCATCTGCCGACCCCTCACTATCACCCCCCCGGGCCTTCTCCCCCGGGCAGCGAGCATTCTCGGGCCGCGACTTCATGACCCAATCTTCGGCGAGCCGGGGTTAGGGATGAGGAGTGACCCCCCAGTTCCCAATTATCCAGGGACCTCCGCCCGCCCGCCTGCTCTCCCCCCCGGGAGACTCGGGACAATGGCAAAGACTGAGACAAACAAGCGCGCTTGCCAACCGACTTACTCAGAAAAAGAACCCCCAGTGACGCGCGGAAATGGCGCCATTTCGTATCCTGACCATCGACATTATCGTCATCATTAGGGAGGAGGTGAACTAAAAAGTAAACTAGCGGTAATGTTTGAGACCGAGATATGCAACCAAAAAAGAAAAGACTCCCAAGTGTTTTGAACTTGTGGTACCCAACCTCCAAGCCGTTGCCTAAAATGCTTGAGAAGTAAACCCCAAAAATGAGACTCAATGTATCCACGCCCAGACAATAAGAGAGATTCCCAAAAGAAAATCAAGCAACATCCTCCTCTTCCCCACCAGCCCGAAATGTCAGAAAATTGGCCCCTAGTAACGCCACCCCCTAACCCAAACGCAGAAAGAAAGGAACTTCATGAAACGAGAAGGTTGTTGAGGCCGTATCGTGCGTCAGGCTCCGCAAGAAATCTTTGGATTTCAGCCTCGGCAAACACTCGCGAAAATATCTCGGCGTCGGTGGGCGTGCTGCCAGTGCTGCTTCCTTTCGTCTTGGGCCGGCTCGAGGGGGAGGAGGAACTGCTTCCCTTAGACTTCTTGGCGATGTCGTCTAGGATCAGCTGCGCGGTGTTCTGCGTTGGGTCCTCAAAGACAAATGCCACACAACGGATGCGGCCGCGGAGATCCGGGTCGTACAGGAATACCTCGCGCCACAGCTCGGCCAGCTCCTGCGGCGGATTCCGATACCCGTTACCCAGCCCAAAGTCGCCGATCACAACGGTGCTGTAGTTGTTGTACGCGCAGATGCGGAGCGCGCCGCGCATCTTCTCCATCACCATCTCCCGCTCGTCGGCAAACGAGTACTTGGTGCCGTTCTGCGTCAGTTTGGGCCAGCGCGGCGGGGGCACCGATACAACGGGCAATGCTCGCCACTGATCAGTCGGGAGCTTCTCATACTTGTCGTGGGGCCCGCGAAACACAACTGCATGATCGAGTCAGCGGGTGAGCGGTGGTGGCGGAAGTAAGTGAGCGAGATAGGAAAAGAGGGGCTGGCATACCAACGTGCTGAGACAATATCCCCGCGCATGCCGGGAGCGGGTAGTGGCTGGCGTCCGGAGAACCCTCCCCCGGCGTTGCAAGACACGCCGCGAGGGTGCTTCGCCGGCAGAGACGCTCCTCGTAGCCTACTACGCCAGTTTCCCAGTCACCGCCCGGCCGCTTGTCATTGGCCGCGCAGATAAAAGGGATGGCACATTGTACCGAGTCAACCCAGTCTAAGACGATGTTCACCGGGTCGCCACTCCTGACAACTATGGAGCGGGGTTGTTAGCACTCAAGCCTCCCCCTCAACATAATCCGAAAGTGAGAATGATAGTGCTCACAGAACTGTGGGGGAGAAAGGTCCAGTGGTCGCTCGGTGAAATTAATTTGCAGGAGTGGCTGTTGGTAGATGTACGAGCAGGTAGACCAAGTCGAAGAGTAGTTGTTCCTGATGGTGGGGATGTAGACCCTCTTAGCTTCCGAGGCCACCTCGGACGGCTTGGGTTTCGATCTTGACGTTGAAGGAGGCATCGTGTGATAGCTTGCTGGAGTCCTCACGAGGCCGTTGGGGAGAGAAGTTGGTCAAGAGCCAGTCGGGCAAGACGTTGTTGGGCTAGGTAGCGGTGATGATATGATGAGGATGATGATAGAGAGTGAGGGCTAGGACGGACTTTGACTTTGCTGAGTTGTTGAAGGGTCGTCGGGTGCTTATGCTGATGGATCTGCTAATTCCTGGAAAGGGATGGTCGGGGGCATGGGTTGCTTTATATCCCGTATGCGGGCCGCCAGGGAGAAGGAGATTGAAGAAGAAAAAGGAGCCAGAGATGACCGATTCGTTGCGAGCCACCGCAGCAACCAACAACCGGGTCGCGTGCTGCGATTCCTTGCGTAAAGAAGATCTCTGTGCTACCGGCCGGTCTCAGACATATCAGAGATCCAGCGCTTCGTTATTGCTAGTGTAAATAATAAAAAAGAAAGAGAGAAAAAGGAAGCTCAGGGCACTTGCCCTCACTCAAACTTGGTAGCCTTTGCTGTTTGCCGTCTTGTTTTTGTTTTTTCCAGCGTTCGAGGCCATTTCCACTCAGGCGAATGCAACAGAAAAGACATCGTTCTGCTGCGTTTCCACCCCAAAAGCCGCAGCTAGTTGTGGCTTTTCACTAAACAACAGAGAAAACGCAAGAAATTACCTGAAGTTTGGGTTTTCCCGACCTAGCCGTCTCCCACCAGCCAACTACTCCAGCCGAAGACTCCTTGCGGCTGGCAATGAGAGAGACATGAATTGTCACCTAGGCGAGCTGCCGAAACCCTAGGACTCGCGCTGCGGGTGCCACATCGAGCTGTTGTGTTGCCGCAAGTGCGCCATCTCGAGTTTGAGTCAATCTGGTATTCCCGCGCCACTCGACTCGGGACCAGAGACATGGGCCGGGTCCCTACCTCTCGCCGTTAGATCGGGGTCCTTCGGATATGTTGCTTGCATTGTTGAGTGCCCTCAGGCCGGGCAGCTGCTGAAACCAATATTCACTCGGGTCCTAAACACGGTTTGCCGGCCGCAAATACTCTCACCCCAGATCTCATCTAGTAAAGGGACATGGCGGGTGGGATACCTAGAGCGAACTAGGAACCCGGCATCAAACAGATGTTCGGTGCGCCTTTGTCGAACTTCTCAGTCCACGGTATGGCCCAATGTACTGTACCGCTGCCTCTGTATTGATAACCCGTAAATGCCGGCTTCCCGGGCCGGGAGAAGGAAGAGCCTCGCGGCGATAATGGCGCGTGGTTTCGGGCGGTAAAGATTGCGAAAGATGCCGTGGATGCCCAGCGAGCCCACGAGAGGCCGAGAAAAGATAAAACTAGCACTGCATGTCTGACGCTCTCCTGCGGAATGACGAGCCGACCTCCACCAAACCGCCGTCCTCGAGCGGTACCCAAGTCTCGGAGCGGGGGGTGAATTCGCCACCCCCTGTGGTGCTGGTCGGCGGAAGCCACAGTGCCCGGCAGCTGAGTTGATGCAAGCGTGAGATGCAGATGCGAGCCTTGGAAAAGCAAAAATGACCTCCTCCTTGCCATTCACGACCGGCGGAGATGAGCCCGCACAAAGACCAGGGTGCCACACCAAACTTTCCACACCTCCATAAAGTGTACACAGTAACTTAGGTACTTCCTTACTTCCTTCCTTCCCGCAGCAGCCCCAGGAGCCCGGTGGCCTGATCATGGAGTGTGGAGGAGAACCTGCTGATCTCCAGGGAGATGCCAAGCGGCAGTTTCCCTCCAAATTTTGTGGTTTATCCAGTCCAGCCAATCACCGTAAAGCGAGGTCTCGAGAAGGGCAAGTGCAGCAGCGGGGTCTGGGTAGTTCTGGGCGAATCGGTATGAGCCAGGGGCCAAGGTGGAGTGGCACGAGTGGGCGGCCAGCCGGATGCGCCTGCCCGGCCGTAGTGCCAAGACAACACTACTGTGGGAGCAACCCGCCGGCGCGTTTCTTTTCGCTGAAATTTCAGCAGGCACCATCGGTGAAGGACTTCTCTCGATGAGCTCATGCACGTGAACAAGCAACATCTCAAAGCAAGCACCGCTGGGACCAAAGAGTCTGCGTTCCTGCCCTGACGGAAATAGCCGCCGAAATCGGACGAATCCGGCCCTCCAACACGAAACCCCCAGTCTGCAAGATCGATCTCAACCCCCAGGTGACTTCTGAGCCATGCGGCCCGCTCCGACGCTTCGGCCGTCGAGGGTCTCGCGTATCTGGCTCCCGCATCGCCTCGCCGGCTTCCACCGATGCATTTCACATCAAGCAACCCGCTCTATCGCCGAGTTGCTTCAATGGCAGCCCAAGGAGAAGGCCGATGATGTGACCATCAACGGCTTCGTCCGGTCCGTCCGGTCTATGAAGGCACACCAATTCATCGCCCTCGGCGACGGTTCGTCTCTGGCCCCTCTACAGGCTCTCGTGCAGCCCGACCACGGCTCAGAGTACGTGCTAAGAGGGGGTCCCCCCCTTCTCTCTCTGCCCTCCACCCTCCCCCTTTTCCGGCATACGGATGTCTCGGTTGAGCTGCCTACGGATCCGTACTAACGCCGGCCCCGCAGCCTTGCCGTTGGCGCGGCCGTCCGCCTCACCGGTTCCTGGGTTCCCTCTCCGGGAACGTCCCAGAGCCATGAGCTGCACGTTGACAAGGTCGAGGTCTTGGGCCCGTCTGACGCAAAGGTATGGCTTCCCCTGCTTCCCGTCGACGGCGCCTAGGTACACTGTTCTGACGGGCTGCGAGGGCAGACGTTTCCCATCCAAAAGAAATATCAAACCCCTGAGTATCTCCGTACCATGCCACATTTGCGGCCGAGAACTCCGACCAACGCCGTTCTGTTGAGACTGCGCTCCGAGGCCATTGCATCCTTGACTCAATTTTTTGCAGGACGATCCTTCACCCAGACGCATCCTCCCATCCTCACCTCGGCGGATTGCGAGGGTGCCGGGGAGGTCTTCACTGTGACGCCCGCCAGTGATACGCTGGACTCGGCCAACGCCCAGGGCAGTGGTCTGCACCAGGAACCTTTTTTCCGTTCAAAAAAGTACCTCACCGTTTCGACCCAGCTTCATTTGGAAGCGCTTGCGCAATCCGTTGGTAATGTCTGGACCCTCTCGCCCGTCTTCCGGGCCGAGAAGAGCGATACCTCGAGGCATTTGAGCGAGTTCTACATGCTCGAAGCCGAAATGAGCTTTGTAGAAGATCTCGGGCCCGTGATGGATCTGCTCGAAGACATGCTGCGGTCTTTAAGCACCAACATGATTGAGTCGGCGACGGTCCAGGACCTTCTCTTTCGGTCACGCCACAGCGGTTCGCATTTGGCCCCGGCCGAAGACGTAAGGCACCGTTGGGACGGTTTGATGCTCAAGGACTGGCCGCGAATCACGTACACGGACGCGGTGGCACTGTTGCAGAAGAAGTCCGATCTTTTCGAGCACAAGCCAACGTGGGGTGCGGGCTTGCAATCGGAGCACGAGAGGTATCTTGCCGAACACCTCGGAAACGGTGAGAAGCCGGTCTTCGTCACCCACTATCCCCGAGACATCAAGGCCTTTTACATGCTCGAGACCCAGTCCCCGCTCTCTGGAATACCCGGCCCAACCGTCGACTGCTTCGACCTGCTGGTGCCAGAGTTCTGCGAAATCGCCGGCGGGTCGATGCGCGAGCACCGTCTCGACCCTCTTTTGAATGTCATGAAACAGAAGGGGATTCTCAAGCCATCATCTGATGGGCCAGACGCTGAGAGCTCCTCTGGGGGCCTGGACTGGTATGTCGACCTTCGCCGGTGGGGCTGCCCACCGCATGGTGGCTTTGGCATAGGCTTCGACCGGCTGCTCAGTTATTTGTCTGGTGTCCAAACCATCCGAGACATCGTCTCATTCCCACGCTGGTATGGACGCTGTGACTGTTGAGTAACGACCGCAACATCTCTCCATTATCTCCGCCGTTACCTCGTGCTACCTACCTTATTGTGCCTGTTGCGTAGTAGTCTCGGTCAGTACGGGCTATTTGTGTCTACTTGCCGTCCCTCGGCCCCTTTCAGCGAAAGGGCGGACACATGCAGTCACCCTTCACCGGGGACGAGAAAAATATGTTACGAGGCACGTGGGATGCATTGGAGCAAACAGTCCCGACTGCTGCTTCAGCGGCTGATGAAGTAACTCAGATGTGTGTGTCTGTGCAACGGATTTACGGCCTTATAGCCTCGTTTGGTGTCCCCCAGACCCGGCTTTCAGTTGACCATATATCTTTCCTCGCGGCTGCCCGCATCCCGGACCCGAGACGTTTGTTCCATCAAGGGAGCATCAGCGTGGAGCCCTATCGAGGAAAATTATGTAACTCCCTACGCCAAACGTCAATTCGAGCCAACTAGAAATCACGCTTTATCCCCATATTGCTTCGGCACTAGGGAATGTTCATGAACAGTATACCCGCCTTAACTCTGCCCGCCTTGGAAGCAAGATAAACCCACTCATTACAACTTCAAACCATCGAATCCGTTCTGTACCTCAAGTTTTGGTACCCGCCTCCGGCCATACCAAACGTCGCTACCCGAGCCAACCTCATCACAACTGCAACATAGTATTGATTGAGTCGGCTCTACCATTCTAGTTTCTCGGTGACTACTTAGGTGGGTATTCTACCTAGGCCTACCAGCATCCTGTTGGGTAAACTAGCCTCGCCTTGAAGCGCGCCGGTGATAACACAACTCGAATACCAGAAGCTCCTCATTGCACCCTGCGGGAAATCGGGGTCGCGGGTCGACTGGATCATAGCCATAGCTTCTGGCACCCAAATTTATGTATTGTTATCACAGAAAGCCTTGCTCACGTGCGAAAGATTCTCTTAGAATCATCACGACCCTGCTCCATCTCATCAGAGTTTCCCTCGAAGCGTTGCTACGTGGGAGAAGAGGGCAGGGGCCGCACCAGTCAAAGTAGGTAAAGTCACTACACACCGTTAGGTCACCAAGAGTCACGTTAGTTATCCAACGTCGCATCAACATAGCGGTCCAAAACAAGCATCGCTTGAGATATGCTGACTCTTGACTCTGGGCTAGGTTAGAGTCGATACTCCCTTGTGATGGCTTCAGATTCATTCCTTGTTGTGAAGACACGGTCTTAACATGACCAGATTTACAACCAAAACGGCAGAGGCCAATGCTAAACGAAATGTAATTCCCTCCTCCTTCAATCCAATGGCAGACCCACGCCCATACTCGTGCACCTTCCTTCCCCCTGCCCTCAAATCCCACGCCGGCCCTTTATAACCCACCCTTCCGCCCTTCCTTCCCAACAGCCCCCCCATCCGGCAAATACGCAACCGCGGATGGTGGATTTGGGGGGTGCGGGCACACTCGGTGTGCCCGCTTGCTCCCCTTCCTAAGTTCGATTCAGGGAGGGGGCATCCAAGAAAAACCCCCGGGTTTTTCGTAGCTGTCTACAACCTCTACGGAGGAAGTGGGCAGTGAGCTTTTTGAGTTTTTCTTTTTTTATCTCCCATACCCAGAGCACACCGCCAGTACAATTGTCATTAAGCCAGCCGAGTGGAATCACACGGATGGCGCCACATGAGATGCCGAAGGCATCAAGGCCGTTCCAGGTAATTCCCGTTCTTCAAGGTCGGGTATAAACCGGCAAACAACACCACGATACAACATCATACAGAAGAACTAGGAAAGGTACCTTGCGAGTCAGTTGGGAGACCTTGTTGCTCAAGTATTTATTCCTGTTGATTCAGATGTGTTTCGTAATCTCAATGACAAAGTATTAGTTGCCTCTTCCCGAAAGCCAGAGAATCCAATGCGCAACAATGCTGGACAGACAGCCGATCGGAACCCCGAATCCCCCACGCCTTCCATCAAAAGGTTATCAGCTACTGATCCTACGATGTATCGCCCCGACGATGCCATCAAGCACACGATGTGACAGAGGCGGTGGCTTGCAGTCACACAGCTAGACAACCACGGATGGACAACCCAGCCTTTCACTTCACGATTTACGACTAACACATCCATGATGATGCAAGACAAAGCGTCGGCCTTCCACGAGTGCCGAGCCCCGTGGAAAATCCGGCACAAGGTCAAAAAATAGATACAGCATTGCAAGACAAGAACTAGCAGGCTCGGTTAGACCTTCCTCAGACTGAGTAGGTGCTCGAGACAGCAGAAGCCTTATCGGTTGTTCCCGCTCTCTCGTTGCATCTGAAGATGCAGTGCAAGCTCAGCTCATGGATTGGGCGACCGGTCAGGGCGCATGGACACCCGGGAACTCGTCTAGGTGACCGGTGGAGAGGAGGGTGTGTGGGCACCCATTCCTTCGTGTAAGTACTCAACTCGAGCAACTCAAGGACGGTCTACGTAGCTAAGTTCTACGTACCTAGGCAAGGAGGGAGTTGCTTCAATTCGCTTTCATCGGTTTCGGGGTTTCTGGGGTCCTTAAACTCCCGATTGTTTGTCCCCAGCCCTACGCTAGAATGGTATGAAAGGAATTGCCGCTGGAATCGCCCGGTGCCTGAGAACTGTGCCATCGACGACAAGAATGCCGAGTCCGGGTCGGTCTTCGATCTATTCGATAATATGGGCCCCCGATTTTCACCGAGAAAGGACGGACGTGAGGGAAAGAGAGAAGCGTAATGCTGAATTTAGCACCAACGCCTCTTTCGTTTTCCTCGGCTTCTCCACAGAAAGGTGATCCTCGAACGGTGGGTTACTCCCACTACCACCATGCGCACAGGTAGGGTTTCGTGGTGGAGTGAGCGGAATGAGCGCCGTGGAGGGATTGAATGGAAAAGACACGCAAGCCAGAGTCCGATGGGACGAGACCGATGGGGACTGGAGTCTCCCGCCGCTCTGTCGTCTCGCTCGCTCGCTCTTCCCGCCTCCTCCCGCCGTCGATCCCGCGTTGCATGCCGCGGCTGCCTCATTCTCTTCTTGTCTTTTGTTGTATTTTGATGCTGTTGAGCGGCGGACTTTGTGCGGGATCCGACAAGCCTCCATTGCCCGGCTCTAGCCCCATGCGAAACAAACCCAACCTCCTCCGTCGGAGTCGGTTTGTTTTCCTTTCGGCAGGAAAAGCCGGCGGTCCTATTTTGGCTCCATTTTCGTGGCCGCGAAATGGGCGAGGGCTTTGTCGGCGTTAACGGCTTTTAGACAGGGGGGCATGGCCGCCGCAACAACTGCCCCCCCCCCTGTGTTGCCGGTCAATGCCCTCCAACGGCGTTCGGAGAGTTTGACAAAATGATATTTGTGTTTTCTTTTCTTGTTTTTTTCTTCGTGATTTGATACACTTTTCTGTTGTGTTCCCCTGTTATCTTGTTCTCTTGTTGAATATGTGGTTGGATTGACCACCCATCTTGTTGTGTCGGGCTGTTCCTAAACCCGTTCAAGTATAACGTACTGCAGGTTGATCGTGAGCTGTCCAAAAGTGGAAACTCCGGTGCCGGTTTCGTTGTTCATATTTACCGCTAATATCGGCATGTCGTTTATCTCTTGAAAATTCTCTCCCAGTCATAGACTATGTACCATCTCGATCAGATCTCCGCTCTGCGATAAATGTTTTTAAGTAAGCGGTTTGCTTTGTGATTGGGCGGGTGCAAATGTGCCTGAGCATGTCGTCGGGATTACATCGCAGCGGACTTTATGTGCCAGAAACCCGCGCACTTCATATCTTCCGCGCATGTTCGGAAGTGATTTAACTGGGCCGAGTGGTTCTGAAGTTACACCGATAATCATGTTTGACTTCCTTCCTACAGCAAGATGTGACTCTGTATGGGTAGGCATGTATCGGCCCGCGGAGGCTAAACGCTGCGGGCAAGTTGAACCGCCCAACCTTACCCAGACTAGAGGGACGTTGTGGCGCTTCGGCTCTAAGCTTAGCCCACCTGGGACCCACGGAAGGCAATATCAAGCCGTTTGACGATGCGGGCTGTTGGTTCCTGGAATGCTTGGCTCCGGTGGTTCTGGACGGGGGGATGGAAGGCTTTCGTTGAGTGTTGGGTGTGTGGCAATGATGGCACCAAGACTCCACCCGCTAGCGACATAGTAGTCGAGCAAGAAAAGAGGTCCGAGAATTGGGTAACTATCGCGAGCCTGGATGTTGCGAATTGGGCTTCCTTCGGTCGGTGCTGGCCCACAGTCTGGTGCGATTGGTATCCTGATTAACAAGCTTAAAACTCCAATATGCCCTCCAACCCCCCTCCGATGAACGACGAATAATTATTCAACAAACCCACAGTACATATGAATGTCGAGACCAACCGTGACAGCACCATTGGTTGGAGGGCAGGCTAGCGGATCCCGTCCGCTATAGTTAGGTCGTTAACCCACTATGCTGTTGGTTGTTTGAACGCTACCACCTTCCCAAAGCCGACGGGAATCGGCGTCGGAGTCTCGTCTCGGCGGTCGCGAGCTGCCCGTGGTAAACCCGGGAAGAACGACGGCAGCGACCCTCTTTTTTGTTTCGGCGACGACTCCGTCCTGCGGACGAATCTCCGGATGAAACACGGTGGCCATCGAGTCCACAAAGTGGCATCTGTGATCGACAGCCGGCTTTTGTTCTTCACAAAAAAACAACTTCGTCGTGTACACAGCAACTTATTAATGAGAGGCGACACGCATCAAATAAGGATGAGGTCGTGCAGCGCCCAGACTCGCCTGCTTCTTCGACGTGCTTGCCCGGCGGAGGAAGTTTGTTGCTCTTACGTACAACCAGGGCCGCTGGAGCGGAGTTGGTGATGATCCGATGGAAGGCCAAGTCGGGCCAAGACGCGAGGTGTGATACATAGGAAGGTCGTCTCGGGGGGCTTGGTTGGTTTCACGGGCCAGGTTGCAGTTCTGCGTTGCTTTCGCGTTGGGGGGGGGATACAGTGTAATGCGCTGGAATGTCGCATCTGCTGTTTCGTGCAAGGCAAC